AACTCTGGTAAGTCTCCCTCCATAATTTTCGCATTTTTGACTATTTGACTAATCTTTTTTCTAACCCTCTCCTTCTAGCTCTCTTCCCTCCTGCTCCTCCTCCCCCCAACTATTTTCGCATTTTTGACCATTTGGCAAGTCTTTTCTCTGACTCTCACTTCCTCCTGTCTGATCCTCTCCTTCTAGCTCCCTTCCCTCCTCTTCCCTCAAGAATTTTCGCAATTTTCACTATTTGGTAAGTCTTTCTTTTTTTTGTATTCATCTTTCCTCTCTGATTCTTCCTTCTAGTTCTCTTGCCTCTTCCTCCTGTAATTTTCGCATTTTTGCCTGTTTTGTAGTTATTAGTTTACATATATTGTAGTAGTTGAAATATAATTTGGAATTTTCGCTTTTTTTTAATTTTGAGAACACTATCATGGCAACAAACAGCTATTAAGAGAAATTTTTGCTTTGTGTTTTGAGCTATAATAGCTACAATAGTTGTGGTATGTTCCACCCAGCTATAGCAACTTTAATAGAGCTATATAGCACTATACACTGGTGTAGTAAGCCTGCACAATTGGGCACTTGGCTATATGAGCTATAGGGCTATGGAGTCTGTATAGCAGTCTATAGCGCTATGGGTGGCTATATAGCCTTACCACATTTTCCTGATGCATGGACACTTATCTATACTTATATGGACATATTACTTACTTACCCTTGACCCTGGACCCTGACTTACTATCATATATAAGCAGGTTGTAGTCTCGATGATTCCTCATCTTGACCTACGCTGGAATTACCCAGATACATCCTTGAACTACTAGTTAGACACTAGTAAATCCACCTTGATTCCTTTGACTTCTCTAGAGTGTCACCTCTAGTAGATTGATTGACTTAAAACCTCCTTTGATTACCATCAGTGTAACACTGATGGAACCGCCTCAATAGTTTCAATGTAGCTCATGAATTCGGCCCTCCATGGTTTTGATGGATCACCAGCAGACAAGGCACCTGGTTCTGGTGCAGAGTCATCTTCAGAGTCACTCTGAACCTCCCGAATGAGTTTCTTGAGGCTGCTAACCTTGCTTTTCGTAGTTGTGGGCTGCAATGATGCTGGATTTTGATGTAGCTCATGGTAGCACTGTTTGAACATGGTGTGGGTTTCAGTTGCTACTTCGATATCAGTGCAACTGTGGCCAATTCAAGTGCATTTGACCCTATAGGGGAAGCAGTGCAATGCAAACCATGAACAACAAGTTGTATTGTCCAACCTAATAGTCAATGCCAATGCCAATGCTGATGCTGACTCAGCCGAGCGAAATTGAGCGAAGAGAGTGAAACTGAGTGAAGTGGAGCGGCCCTGAGTGGACCTGAGTGATGAATGAGTGGAATAGAGGAGGTGTGTGTGTAGTACAATGAACATCTAAGAGAGTTGGCCAATGACTCAATGAGAAATCACACAAGAAATCATTCCAAATGAGAATTTGCTAGAGAAACTACTAAGAACATGGGCGGAATATATAGTAAATAAGACTAAGCGATGAAGGGGAACTTCGGGTCGCTTAAAATGCCTCATGGATCACTAAATACTTGTTTCTCTGTGTCCATGTAATAAGGTGTGAGGTGGGGCAATAAAAGGCTGATAAGTGGTCCGATTATGTGAATGGGGATGGAAAGCGATCAAAGTAAGAGATATATGTACCAGTAGACAACAGGCCAATGACATGAGACAATGGACAGTGACCAATTGCGTGTGCAAACAATGTCTGACTTGGATCAATCGTGACCAACTAGGCCGACTGTCGGCCGACATCAATGTGGAGCGGCAGCGCAGGAAAGTGGGTCGGAAAGATAGGGGATACTAGCTTAGTAGCAATCGGCTTCCTACAATGGTCTCAATGCAAGTAAGCACATCATCAAGCAAGTTTGACGGCCAGTGCTTTTTGAAGTATGCAAGTTTTGCCGTCGGATCAAGTACTATGATATTAAATGTCAGAGTCACATTGACTGAAACAGAAAATGATGAACCCATTGCAATGATGTAGGCCAGGGAGTCTGTAGTTTTCTCATAATACTCATCTAGTTTCGTCGCTGCTGCTTTCAGTGCACTAGCGAACTGAGCCTACTTAGGCCTTGCAGCTCGTGAAGACCAAGATTTGTGAAGCATCTCGAGGGCAGGTACATCAGTAATTTACTAAAACTAAACCTTGCACAGTGTTTGCTAATTTTCACAGCTCTCACAGCACCACAAAACCTCACAGAACTTGGCAATGCTGATGTAAGTCATTGTTCAACTTGTCGAAATTTTCAGAAGTCTTTGTTCTACACTTCGACTCTTGACTTCTACCTGCACCACTGCCATCCTTCAAGTAAGTCTTTTATTTTCTTTATTTTCTTATTACTGCTTGCTTATTATTCACCTTATATGCCCCATCTCTCGCGTCGTCGTTCCCATGCCCCATTTCTCGCCCATCTCTCGTGCCCCATCTCTTGCCCCATCTCTCTTGCCCCGTGCGACATGCCATCTCTCTCACCCTGTGTGATCTCTCACCCTGTCTCTCACCTGTCTCTCATGCCCTGTCTTGCTCGTCTCTCATGCCCCATCTCTCGCCTGTCTTCTTGCCCCATCTCTCACCCATCTCTGTGCCCCGTCATGCCCTGTCTCTTGCCCATCTTTCTTGCCACTCGAAGGTGTGTTTTTTATGTATGTATGTACATTACTTAGTAGTATTTTCATGCTTTTTCATGTTTGCGCTTGTTTGTTCGCGGTGTGCAATAGGTGCATTTTTTTCTTTTTCTTTTATATATACATTACTCACAACTTGTCTTGATTCAGGTGTACGAAGGTGAGCGTGCTTGCACGAAGGACAACAACCTCCTCAGCAAATTCGAGCTCTCCAGTATTCCTCCTGCTCCCTCAACTTGTACAAGCAGAGATACTGCCCTCGCCACAAACAAATATGACAACACTATCATGACAATGATGGTGACTCAACAACACAACACAACAACGACACAACAACAATGACAACAATATGACAACAACAAACAACTATGACTACAACTATGATGATGACCCATTCTCTCACACTGTTGCACTTTGATTATCTCACATCCTTACTCACTGTTTGTATTGATGAGTCCAGTAGAGTAGTTGCTTATTTTGCAATCCATTTGTTTTAATTTAATTTTACATGTTTGACTTGAGTTAATATAAAAATGAAAAAAGCAATTTCTAATATGTTTGGAAGGTTCTGTGTAACTAGAGGCCTACTGTGGAGCTCTGGGAAGCTCTGTACAAAGCTGTACAGAGATGGGCCTGTCTGTGACAGTCTGTCTAGTGGGGACCAAGCTGTGGCTCTGGTGAACTGTACAGCTCTGTACAGCTCTGTACAGACCATTGTGGTTTACTGATGTATTGCAAGATGGAGAGTCAGTCCTCAATCAGATGAGAAAGCTTGCTGGGCAACATCAGCATATGAAAGAAGGTCCACAAATTGACCAACCTGTGTCCATTCAGGAGCTGACAAAAGTTGACATGCTTTGCAGCTTCTGCTGCACGAAATGTGTTGATGGCTTTGGTTTGAAATGGGAGAGCCGCCTGCTCAGAATGCTCAAGGAGTGCAGCAGAGGGCTTGACTTTGCATACTGGACGCACTAGTCAAGGCTCATCATCACTATCTGAAAGTATGGTTCCAACCATTAGAATTGAGGATTTGTGAGTAGGATAGCGATGTACTATTGTAGCTTTTATCTCAATGGTACTATCAAGATTGTGATGGCAGAAAATGGTGTATCTGTTGGAATCCGACCATCTGAGAATGAGCAGGATCAATTATGACATCGGCTGAGAGTTCTCGATATTGCATCTGTCCACTCCTTTGTTACCACTCTCCAGATCGATTCCAACATCGGCAGCCAGTACAAGTTGGTCCCAATGAATGTAAGTGAGCTGTTGGTGTAATGCATTTGCACTCCATGTACTGATAAAAGTGATTGCTCTTACCTTCCGTTGGCAAAAAATCCATCTGTACCAGAGCTCACAAAAGAGCTGTTACCATTCTTGGTGAACGTCCTTGAGTGAGCTGTATGAGCAGACCGAGGTTAAACAGTACATTTGACGCCAGCAGCCCCATGCGGACCCACACATCAATAATCATGATCCAGAGAAGAGTCAAAGTGACTGAGTGCAGTACTTATGTAAAGAGATGCGACTCAGAGGGACAAAGATTCAAAAAGACAATTGGTAACATTGGGGTCAGAGTGATAAGTTAATAATTGTGCTCATCATCTCAGATGTGAGCGCACCACTTGAGTGAAAGCCACGGCTCAAGCCGCCAGCTCCGGCTTTTCAATTACCCAAGCCGAGCCCTAAGCCGTGGTCAGGCCATGACTGGGGCCTGGCTTGGCTCGGCCTAATTAGGGCTGGCTTTGGCCGGCCTGTGGCTCAAAGCCAGGCCGTGCACATCACTACCTCCTCCAGCTGATACACTCCCCTGGGAATTTTTTCTCTGGGACTTTGGCCCTCAGAAAATGTAGGGGGCTTATTACTATGTATATCTAGAGTATATTGATCAGTTAACCACACCACTGGACTAACAGGAACCTTCTATACAGGCTAATGTCTCCCCCTGGTACACCACAGATGATTTTCGCATTTTGTGATACTTATATCCTTGTAAATCATCCAGACCAGTTATCTATCTGTAGTAGCATGTCTATCATGTCTTTCCTCAGCCAGGATAAGTTGTAGATACTGCAGATTAAGGATATATACTGTATATCTCCCATTTTCACTGATAAGCTCTTCTGCACAGATCAAACATGATATATTATAATCAGACAGTTATAATATGTGAGGGACACTGATGAAATACTAGAAATATAGGCGCAGGATGTAGGGCCATGAGATAAGTGTTATAGAAGCAATATAACATAGGAACTGCATGGGAAGAATTGCAAAAACATATAAAGAAACATAAAAACATGTCATACTGCACTACACCAAACCTCCTATGGTCCAAATTATGTGTAGTATGATATATTGACTTCAAATATACTATACTTGACAGTCTTCAAGTATAATAGGTCAAGTGTGTAATAGTGTATGTATATGCAGTGATTCTACATCAGTAAAACAACTGGTTGCTTTTCCCGCTTATGTTACTTAATTTTTAGCAAAGTAGCTAAAAACATTGCTTTTTCAACTTAGTACACTTTTGAAAAAGCAAATTCAGTGCATCTCAAACTCGCAAGTTAGATAATTAAAAAAAGTGAATTCAGCACAATAAGTAGTACTACTAAGAGTCATATATACTGTTGTACTAGTAAGAGTCACCTATATTGTCCAAAAAAAGAAACTGCCAGTAGACACCGATTATCGAGTAAGTATCTTGAACTCGAAACTAAAACACTATTGACTCACATATACATCTTAATGCCATCAAAACTTTGCAGATGGGCCCTCAAAATCCTGTAAGTAATTTACATGCTGTGTAAATCATTGATCGCTGACACGATTGACAGCAATTAGTCTGATATGTACCACATCGAAGTGCCAGTGGCAACAGATGCAGCAGTTGGGGAGGATGCGGTGCCGAAAATGAACAAGTTCAATGTTCTATGTAACAACTTGAAAGTCCGATTAGTGTGTGCAAGTTGATACTTTTTTGGGACTTACAAGTTTTTCAACTTTCAAACCCATTCCTTCTCACCCCAGCAAAAGTATCATCCTTTGTGACTCATAACCTCATCTCTTCAGCCATGTCTACCATTTTCTAGCATTCAAAAGCCCCATTCGTCAGCATCATTTCAAGCCCTTACTTGACACAATCAGTGCAGTTCTCCTCTCACAGTGCGTATTTCATCTTCCCCTCCTTGCAACCTTATCAGAGTCATATTTAGCTCGTATCTCACCCGTATCTGTGCTGTTTCCCTCAATTCCGGATACATTAGAAAGCCCTCATTTGCCTCGTCATTTCAATACCATGCTTACCCTACTGCACATCGCGCTTGCTGTGCAGTACACCTGCAATGTGTTCTCCCCTCCTTTATCATACTTTTGACCATATCTCACCCATATCTGCGCTGTTTCCCTTGATTCTGGATGCGTTAGAACGCCCTCAGTCTCCTGTTGCTGACAGCAAGCCACATAAGTTTTTGTTATTTAGGTTTCATCCTACTAGTACTGACATCCATGACTACTACAGGATTTGTTTTCATTGTATCTGTCATATCCCGTACCTCCGGATCCGGAATTCCGGATCTACTTCATTGAAGTCCGTTCCTCTGTCTTACTATTCTGCCCGGCACTCCGCCTTCATCTCCGCACTCACCCCTAACTCCTTTTAGATTAACTATTGCTCCAGTTACCGGTTATGTCCTATTCCACTATGCTTACTGATCCGTCCATTCTTACTTCATTTCCGACTTCACTGCTTTGATCCATTATACTTAGTAATAGACTTTCCACATGCTTCGTACATAGCCCTTACCTTTGCTGACTGATTTACCTACATAATACCTACAGTATATAAACCCCTGTAATACTCCGGAACTCCTCAGTTTGAATATCATCTTAGTTCTGCTCATTCCTGCAATCTCTGGACTTGAGTCTCATCTCTTGTCCACCTCCGAGTCTTAGGGGTTAAACCTTAGGACTACTTCTCCGGCTCTACCTTAGGGTAGTCTAACCTCTGTTCAGTTTCTACTCCGGACTTCCATAGTAGCCTTACTCCGTCCCAGTATAAACCTTCCGGAGTTCCGCCGAACTCCACTGACACTAAGTCCTCCAGAACTCTCTGGACTTCTGTTGGACTTCCCCTCTGTCCCCCGGAAATTAAAGGGCATGTACTCGGGTAAGGGGTGCAGCGCACGAGCTGAAGCCGAAGCCCTTTGAGTAACCTCTCCCTTGAGCACGACCTTAACAGTATCTACATGAATATCCGAGTCACTATCACTCTTTTGTCCCTGCAAGTCCCCTTTTTGGGAGTCTCCTTAATTAGCTTTTCATGTGTAATACTACCCCTTTTCATGACATGCTTTTTCCGCTTTTTCTGGTTTTTTTAAGTGAATTAAGTGTACAAAAAGCGAAAATTCAGAGATTGAGTGGGCTTAATTATGTGACTCGCACTTTTTCACTCAAATGACTTAATGCTCCTTTTCACGTAATTAAGTGACAAATTAAGTGAGAAAAGCAACCGGTCGTTTTACTGATGTAGCTTTCTTGCATCAATGTACAATGTTCAATCTTACAGTTGCATACTAATTTTCGAGTTTTTAGTGACCGCTTACAGTCACTTGAGGCTGTCAGGTATAGTATAAAATCGCTATAAGTAGCCTGAGCAAGGGAGAATTGAAACGCACGTGCGCACTAGCTCCATGTAACACCACCTAGTAAAGACTGGGATTGTTACTCAGCACGTGTTTTAGGTACAGTGAATTCTCAGAGGGGATCGTGTCGATGATTTGACCGACGCGGACTTGACGCGGACTCAAATTGGACTGAAAGCCTGTTCCTATTTGTTCGTTGGTACCCCCATATAGATGGTGAGTTAAGCATCGGAAACGAAGACAGATGCTAACAGCAAAACGATTCAACGCGCAATCATGTACAAAGTGGCTACGTCGAAACTCCACCTCGTCGACGTGGTCACGATTCAAGTTTCACTCTTGACTTACGCTGCAAACCCTTCATCTGCACACCCACCAAAATCATGCGCTACATGTAGGGCATCCAATATCTTCTCAAGCTGGGGATTCCCGCCAAGGCGTGCGATTTCCTGCCGGATCTGGATCATCAAGTGTAAAAATCAGCGGGGAGTGTGCAGGCACAAGCCAAACAGACCTGTCGCTCCAAGCTGCTCATCACCGCGAGCGTGTAGTCAAACGACTTCGTCTTTGTGCGGAGATGGTCGATGGCATGATGCTTTAGAGTCGGTGTAGTAGGACGTTTTTGTAGCACGCCTGTATGACAACAACTAATAAATTTATGCACCCACTAGGTGTGTATTATCACGCACTCATCAGTAATCGATTGTCTTCTTCCGCACGTATTCCGTGGACGATTGGGAAGGAGAATTTTCCCTCTGTGAGGTCTTCTGCGAAACCCTTATTGTCGCTGTACTGGAAAATACGTTGAGCTTTTGCTTCTGGCAAAAATCATGCGCTATGCATGGACGACGAATAGTCTACGGTGCATCATGACCAGATGATGGTTGATAGACAGGCGGGGCACAAGCGCAAGCGAATGGCAGGCTCACCTCTGTGCTTTGCAAATTCATGTAGTCATCCCGTATCTGGAAATACACTCCAAATATATTCACCAGAGGTACGAAATCGCTGAGGATTCCATGAGCAGCGATTCACGGCACATCCTCAAGTGGGAAGACTCACGTATGAAGGTTCTTCGTTGCGAGCGCCATCATCAACTTGATAGCCATCCTAAAGAGACCACCCGTCTCTGTGCCACAAAAGTTAGTGTCTAACGTGCTCAAGGGGCGCGGACGTACTGCTGTTTACCATAGAAATGTAGTCTTCCTCCGTCGGACATCGCAACGAATCGCGCCAAAAGATTTCTAATCCCTGCCCTCGATGCAAATTTAAAAGCTCGTCCGTAACTATCAAATCCAATTCCCTAACGCCCACGACACTCGCCTCCTCCCCGTTTACGCCAAGGTGCCGAAGCTTGGAGAGCTCCTTATATGCCGAGAAATATACATAGTTAGCGGTGTTAATGGTTTGGGGGATGCCGTATATCTTGTGGGTCACAGGCTGCCCCCTTCGCAGCTGCGAGTCGTCCTCTATGTCATCGATCATCAAGCTTGCATTGTGCAGCATTTGAATTACATGTTCGATTACTTTGAGCTGGTCGCTCGGAACTGCAAGCCAGGAGTTGAAAGCTTCGAGGAGCAGTGTGCGGATTTCCTTGCCAGCGTTGGAGGTAATATAAGTAAATGGTTCCAATATGAGGGCTTCGTTAGCTTGTGACCATTGGGAGTCTAGCACGGACGGGAGCGAATTGAGGAGCTGGGAAGACGACATGAGAGAAATATAATGAGAGAAGAAGTTACGCTTGAGATACAAGTACTGCAGGCCTGGGAGAGAAATGAGCTGTCACTTCCTGTCACGATCAGCGGCTTTCTGAAACTCCAAAATGATGATGCGATGAATTTTGATATGTTAGCTATTACTTATGTAGTACACTTACGAGCTACGCTATCGGCAATAAAGAGCTCGAGCAGCTACTACTACATACACCCATCAATGATTGCATTCGCCGTAGAGTGGCTTTATGTAATTTCATCAAGAATGCACATGCATACGGGGCCGAAATGATAAGAGAGATCAACGAGCTATGTAAACCCTCGGGAGTCGTCAGTCAAATTATTTTACTATTACGTTGGACCGCTGCTAGACTTTGTTTCCGAACAGTCACTGGCATCTACGCAAAGCGGCAAGGTTTCTACAAAATTTGATGAGTAGCGATGAAAGATGGAATGAAGGCGAAGGAAATATCACGTCTGTTCGCTCTCAATTCCATGTCTTCTGATTCTACAGGACATCACAGCACCGAGCTAGACGAGATCGACTGATAAACATCGAACCGGACGAATGCTCGCACTACGACGCTGGTGCTTGCTGCTCCAAAGGATTGACTTCATGCAGCGAGTTCCTGAGTCAAGCTTCTCCATGCTTCTCTCCTCGATTTGCATCCTCAGTTCTTCCAAGGTCACTCAAGCGAGAATGCCTCTGTGCTCATGCTTTACCTCGAAGAGTTTGAGCACTTTCAGTGGCATATTGGAGCCGCTGCTTCACTAGAATGGTCGTACAGGTTCGTTGGAACGGGCACGGACTGCGAGGGGAAACCCAAGCCAAACAGGCTCTAAGGTGGAGGCGGTTATGGTGGCTCTACATATCGAGGATGGACTACAACACTACCTACTACGACCAGGACTCCAGCTACTGCGCCAGGACCCTTGGCACTTCATCGGAGGATCGGCACCAGAGCTCCCCGCTATATCGTTCATCTACCGGTAGTCTGTAGATAGGGGAGACCAGTCCCTTCTGGATACTGCAGGAATTAGCATTTCCTGATTTGAAAGGGTGAGTTATAGACCACATACTAATCAAAGAAGGTGGACAAACTGGTTGGCAAGGAAACGTGCAAGGCATATTTTTTCTGCCAGGTAAACTTTGACAACGCTGAAGACAGGGTAAAGGTGCATTTGTGCAGTGTGCGAACAAATAAGGTAGCCACTAATGTCGACAGAACGAAATCAGGCAAGCCACAGTTAAACGAGACCGACACAGGAAGGTATCCGATTTGATGCCTTGTCAATTTGTCAAGGTGAATGAGTGACCACAGCAAATAGTTGCTCTCACCCAACCGCAAATCTTTCTGCTAACATGAATCATTATGTCTGCGCCATTTCAAATGTTCAATCAAGACCAAAATCACTCATAATTGCATCATATTTCCTAGTCAATATCATATTGAGTGTTTGAGATGTTCCTCTATCTTCTATTGCCCAAGCAGTAGCCGAGACTCCGAAAGCTATGCATTGCGCCATCAACCACAGCACCAATGCGAAAGCAGAAATATGACTCACTGTCCCGATGTCCAACTCAGGCTGCCAGCTCATAGGACTGGTTTACGTTGCAGAATTTAGTACCGGTGAAAAGATGTATTACAAGGCACAAGGGGTCGCGGTGATCCAAAGCAAACCACTACTCACAAATATTCTTATTATTGCACTTCTTGCTGCAGCAGTCACTGTTCCTTTGGCACTACACGCCTGTTCGCTGGCATGCAGTGACAGAAATAGATGCTGTCAAAGCGGCAACAATGACGAGGAAGGGGAAACGCATTAATTATACGAGATTATACGAGATCTCCCAATGAGAATCTTTCTGAGATGGGGGGACGTTGAAGACGGCTTGCTTTTATACCCTGAAAATCGTGTTGTGGGCAGGACTCGGACGTTCTGCTAATCAGTTGGCAGAATGGTTGCGCCTGGTAGAGCTCTACGGCGAGAATTTAGCCGGGACTTGAAGCTTGAGGTTCGGCGGATGAACAATTCAGAATATGAAAACCGTAAACACATGAACTTACATTGATACAGCCTGAGTGACGGAGATGCATATTGTGGGCCATGCTAAGAATGCAGGCTTGTTCGTGGCATCTGCGAAGTCCTGGCCACGGACAGAGTGGTCGCCTGTGCGGAGGAAATCTTGGGAGTCGGACCCGTTCATAAACCCAGTACCATAGTGGATGAACGACTCGAAGCCATCTTCCTTATAGGTGGATCGAAGAAGCACGATTCGGAACTGTGGACCCTGAGTGAATCCCGAGTGTGTGGCAAAAAAGTGTATTTTCTTATCGAACATAACTCAAAGGTCGAGTATCGGAGTGGGATGCCGACCTCGATATCATTATCGAGTGATCTTGCAGTCCAAGAAATGTGATGGGACTAGTTTACCGTCCGCAATTACTTATTGAGGTCGCCGAGAATCTTGCAGTGAATCGGAGTTCAACAAAATCTAGTCATCAGTGATCTAATGAGATAAACTGCACGGAATTCCAGTAACACCTCCTGTTGGACATTCAGGATTAATTCAATGATAGCGATTTTCTTTCGATGTTTGTGGAAGCAGACCTCCAGCTCAACAGTCTATCGAAGTAAGCGAGTGAATAATCCACGTAAGGTCTAGACTTACCACACCCTGCCCTCTGCGAGAGGCAACTGGAACCGCATATAGGTGTACAAACCGGGGTGGCCGACATTGTCTTGTGGAATAGTCGTGTTGTCTACTGGTTTACTTGGACATCGTGCACGTCCATCCCAAGCAAATGTCCGACTCCGTGAGGGACAAAGACTGAGCTAATTCCACATCGCAGAATCTCGTCTTTCGAGCTTTTGAAGAGTCTCAGGCTGAGGAACCCTTCCACAAGAATCTGTTGGCAGAGCAGCTGAATGGTGTCCCAGTGGACACCAAGTCTGAGAGTTTTCATCGATTTCTATGCAAAAGCATTACATGACGATACAAAGGATGCACAGTGTACCTACCTGCTGCATCTCCAGCATAAGAGAGTATATCTGCTTACTTTTCTCAGTAAACCTTCCGCCGTTTTCAACAGGCATCCTGCCTGACATATAGTTGTTGCCGCTCACTGCCTGCGAGTAGCAATCCCATTCGCATCGTCATTAAGGAGTACTCGAGGCGCCAACTGCCTTTCGGGTGCAGGGCCGTGTATCAATTACCAAACGGTTGCCACCAATAATTTCAGTTTTACCAGCGATATGATTTAGCGACTGAGCGCTGAGCGTCCGCGCCTCGCAGAGACCTAGACACGCTTTAAAACATTTTATTTCATGTCAACAATCAGAAGACGAACTGATTCTAGCCTGAGACCTCCTTCACAGGCGATCTGCACGTTCCGTCATGATGAACATGAAACGCAACCTTGGGGTCCGTGCGTTATGTATGTGGGAAAGTGTGATATGGATGTGAAAACCAGTTTGGTCGGTAGGATCGTTCACTTTGACGTCGTTGGCTGTCTTTTTTTTTCTCTCTTTCGTCTTATTCACGTTTGGTGCCGCGTCTGCTGTCGTCGCTGTCGTCGTCGTCGTGCTCGTCGTCACCCACGTTCCTGCGATCTTTGTTTATTATTTCGCTGGGACAGTGAATTAAAGAGACGATCTGTCTTGACTTTTATTGTCTTGACTTTGTCTAGCTAGGCTCCGAGCTAGCGTCGTTTATCTATACAGCTCGCACTCTTCTCCGTCTTTTTGTGCGTGTTTTTTATTCTCAGTCAATCTCATTTTGCACAGGGCAGGCTACGAGTACTAAGAGTACAACCACACAGCACTAGTACTTGTTGCATTTTCTGCCCTACCCACGCTCCCTACCTCCTGTCACTCATTATACCTTGCAAGACCTTTTCTAACTTGTTCCTCTGTTTTTTTATTATATCTACATATTTTCCGCCGTTGCCCTCCTTCTCCATCCATTTCATATCCCTACACCATACCCGCAACTATGGACGACTCCCACACAGCTTTCGCAACTCACTACCATTCTTACGGTTTTGATCTCGACATGATGAAGGTTTGTCCTTTTTACTATCTCATCATACCACGGTTGACGTCCAAAACAGAGGTCTATGGAGTCCGTTGGCGGCCCTGATGCTAAAAAGGCCCGTTGGTCCCCCACATTTAATGGCTCCAATACTTCCGCTGCGACACCTAGTACTGCCACTCGCGATGTTTTTGCCAACTATGGTTACGGTCCACATGCCCAGATCAACCAGCCTTTCCAACCTGCATCTCCTGCCTTCTCAAACCCGCTTTACTCTACTCCGAATCTTACGATTAACACTGCTGTTAATGGTGCGGGCATGAACCCTCAAATGAGCCCCGCACATCCAACTGCGTTTGCCCAACAACAACAGCAGCACTCACCCCAGCCGAACGGTATGGGCCCATATGCAGGATTTGGGTACAACATGCTTGGCATGGGTTTACCCGGAATGAACATGCTAGGCGCCTTTCCCTACGGTGCGCAAGCTGGTAACTATGGCCAGGTACATCCCATCATTCTTGACACGGATATTGGTCCCATTGCTAATCTCATATATTGTACCATGTGCAGCAATCCCGATTACCTTCTTTAAATGTCAACATTCCCCCAACCCCAGGTGCTTACTCGCCTGCCGCTATTTCTGCTGCCCTTTCTGCAACGACCAATGCCACTGGTCGCACTGTTTACGTCGGCAACCTCCCCGCCACAGCCTCGGTTGATGAGTTACTTAATCTCGTGCACTTTGGTCCCCTCGAATCTATTCGTGTTCTTCCTGAAAAATCATGTGTCTTCCTGTCCTTCCTGGACGGTGCAACCGCTGCAGCGTTCCACGCCGACGCCACCATCAAAAAGCTCTCCCTCCACGGTCAGGAACTCAAGATCGGGTGGGGGAAGCCGTCTCCTGTCAGCGCACAAGTGAGCCTTGCGATCAGCCAAAGCAACGCAAGCCGGAACGTATACCTCGGTGGCCTGGATGAGAACACGACAGAAGAGCAATTACGGGACGATCTCAGCCGGTTCGGGTTGATTGATCAGGTCAAAATTGTCCGCGACAAGAACATTGGGTTCGTACATTTCTTGAGTATCTCGGTTGCTACCAAGGTGTGTGTTATTTGAATTTTTCACCGCATTCTGGTGTCAATATACGGTCATTCAGGTGGTTAACACGCTCCCTACTGAGCCAGCTTGGGCTGGAAAACGCGTCAACTATGGCAAGGATCGTTGCGCGTACATTCCAAAGTCTCAGCAAGCTGCTGCACAAGCTGCCCAGGCTGCTGCCGCGCAATCTCTCGTCGCTCACTCTGCCAATCTCAGCCCTGCTCCGGGTCCGAACCCCTTCGGCTCGCCATTTACGCCATACCCCTTTGCAACTGACATGACAGGCGGCCAAAGCCTCAATCGCACGGTGTACTTGGGCAACATTCATCCCGAAACGACAGCAGAGGATCTGTGCAACGCGATCCGCGGTGGTGTGTTGCAGAGTGTAAGGTACATGCAGGACAAGCACATTGCTGTGAGCTCTTTTTTTCCTAGCATGAGTTAGGTGTATTTGCTGATATACTTGGGTGATGGTAGTTCGTCACCTTTGTCGACCCGGCGGCGGCGTTCACGTTCTACCAAGTGGCATCCTACCAAGGCCTCACCTTGAATAACCGTCGGCTCAAAATTGGCTGGGGCAAAAATTCCGGTCCACTGCCGCCTAGCCTCGCGCTCGCTGTGCACTCAGGAGCCACGAGAAACGTATATGTGGGCAGCATTGAGGACTTTGAATCGTTCAACGAGGAGAAGCTCAAGAGGGACTTCGGGGAGTTTGGAGATATCGAGCTGGTCAATTTCCTTCGGGAGAAGTGCGTTCATTTTGGCTGGCGGCTGATGGTGATTTCTGACTTTATTATTTGCAGGAACTGCGCCTTCGTCAATTTCACCAATATCTCTAACGCTATCAAGGCCATTGATAGTATTAAGATCAAGGCAGATTACGCGAACCTACGCATCGCGCATGGCAAGGACCGATGTGCCAACCCGCCGCGATCGGGTCCCCAAGGTGGCTCTTCAGTCAGGCGGAGCGCTAGTGGAAATGGGCCGGCAAGCGCAGAGCCCATAAGCGCTATCGAGCTCGTCGAACCTTCCGGATTTGCGGCTCCTGAGGACGAAGGGAACAATGCCAATGTCATTATATCTGGGCCAGAGGAGATGGAAGCATCCATTTAAATCTGGATCGCCCAAGGAGTGAGATGTGCTTTGTGCTGTGGATGTGTCCCGTATACCCCGTGTTTTGCGCCCGCTCTCTCAAAAGTCGCCAACCACGAGTGGATGAGAAGGATGGCCTCGGATGTCCTCGCGAGGGGGGACCCATTGGGCTATTGGTTGTGGTGTTTTTTATTCACTTGTCTTCCTCATTCTGTCCATTGTCAGTGTTACCTTATTCACCTTTTTTGTGTCCACTTTATCTTTCACTTTCTTTTCATTCGATGTTCTCACTTGATTCGCTCCTCTTTGTCCAACTGTGTTTCTCGCACATCCCACGCTCGTTGCTTTGCTTCACTTATGCCTGTCATTAACCCCGTCAACGTGGACTGTACCCCTCACATATCGCGCCCCATACCGATCCCGACCTGAGACGATGTGGCTAATTTCTCTTTTTCACTCACGCTCATACCGCTACCGTAGCTCATTTTCTCCCTCGGGAGACTACACATCGTTTTCGCGACCTACTTACATACGTTTGTTTGTCTTTTCAGCTGTGTTTATTTGTGCAGTAGCAATATATCGGAGTAATCGCAGCGTTTCTTGTGCAACCCTGTGCAATCGTAGTGTACTATGTACATAACTTGAATTGATTTGTCTCTGGACGACGGGGAACGGATGATTTGCCTGTGGATGGCCGATTCCGAAGAACGGATCTTTTTGCAAGGTTCACATGTTCCATCGATCCGGAGATGGTATTATACTCTGAAACACTGCTAACTCACTGCTAACGTTCCATAGACTGCCGGCTGCCAGGGACACATCGTTTCCATGGAATGTCGAAGTGCGAACTCCCGAGTTCCGTTTGTCGGGCCCGTGCATTTGACGCTGGGGCTGTCCATTCATACTGACCATTCATGCTCAGCGACACCCTCCGATGCGTCACATCATATTCCTGCCTTCCAACCAATTATATTATTGCCGCGGCCGACAGCCGCGTCTGATATGGATCGTCACTGCCAGAAAATCTCTGGAAGGTTTTGCTTCGCAGTGTGTAACAGTGGGTAACGTGCTTGAGTACTACGGCATTCCGACGCCCAGCGACAAATTTTTTCGTCGAGGTACGCACGGAGGGATGACGTCCAAGGCATGGTCCAATCAGCTGTCGACCTCCATTATGATCCACTAACCCGAGTCCATAGCGTGATTGATTGCCATTCATTTTCATCAAGGGTCGTTGGGATCAACCTCCACTCGAGGACCCTTAGTACCGGCAATCGTTGCCTCATGGCCCATATATGTCCTTGAAGGGAAAACAATTCATTTTGGCGCCTACGTAGGCGGTCTCACTCGTTCCGCTGCAGAGGTCTGCTCGTTCTGAGTCGCCGTTTATGACCTCCAGCGATCAACCTGATCATATCACATCGTGTGGACTTCCCATGATTCCCTGATCCTAATACCGGCGGCCCAACGGCTTCTGTCAGTTCAATTACTGCTTCTCGACAGAGAAGGGTATGTAGTACGCAATTCGTTACGTTTCATTTTCATATAAGGTTGGTTCACGCCTTCACGTTGGGGTACTTTGCTTTGGATAAAGATAGCGATAGGCGCTTCGTGACGAGACCTAATATTTTCTCCTCCCGAGGTGTTGGTGGTCTGAGCTTGCTGTGATATTTTCTGTTGAATCCCCTTCATTCTTTTGCAAATTCTCTTTCCGATGAACTTGAGGTGTACGACGTTGACCGTTGACAGGTGCACTCCTCGTGACCGTTTCGCGAGAGTCGCCCAGATATCGTTCCCAACATCTATCAGGACAAGCATTGACGATTCATGCCTTGACTCCCCCGTAAGTACCGACATTACCTCTCACCATGGCTTCTGACCAAGTATATAACACAGCTCTCCCCGTTCTACTCTCCCACCGGAGAGTCCTTTGCTCGCCCCCGAGCGAGTTCGGAGGCGTTCAGAGGACCACATTCGCCAATCCACAATACTCGCTTCGCATGCCTATTCCCAGATTACCGCTACGATCACCCTGACCCCCCACGCTCACCGACGCCTATCGATTCCTTCCACCCGCCGAGTCCGCCTATGCACGCTTTGAAAGCTCTCGTATATACTTCACACGAGCCGCCAAGCCCTGCACTTACCTCGGATCTCTCGAGTCCTACTGTCGCCGATCCTGTCCCGGTGACCCCAGGATTTGAACCATCGCACCCTATATGGATTTTTGACAGCTCGTTACGCGAAGTAGACTTTGACGTTACCTGTCTAAACGCTCTAGACGAACAGCTTCTGCACGCTCCAAAGGACTGCTTCTTGGATATCTGTTGGGCAGAAGCTGTGTATGACGAGGATGAGGATGAAGAATTGCATCCCGAGCTGATGGAGAAGCCCTGGGTGAGGCAATCCCAACCAGAAAGGGCAACCGATTCGGAACAGATGCGCCCAGATCCTATCATGATGCGGGTGGAACGCAAACCTGTGAGTGTTCTCTGATGCTCTCGTGTAATTACCACGTGTCTGACCACGGGATTCAAGTCGTTCCTTCCTTCCCCTGAATCATACGCGGCACAAACTCCCCAGCGCGTGATGTTTGCGGCGTCTGAGTCACGTATGTTGTACCAGAACGCGAATCACTCGGTGCACTTCTTCCCCGTGCCGCAGCAACGCGACTCCCGCCGCAAATATATGGCAGAGGACCCGCCTGATATTCGTTCCGGGAAGCTCAAGCTCTTCTCGGACGCATACGACACGCTCACTGGACGGCGGCGTACTACATCCAACTAGTGACTCCGAAGCACTAAATAGTATTCACATCACCACCTTGATTCGACCCACGCGCTCCTCATCACGCTCCTCACCACGCCCTGATACACGCTCGTTATCTTAATTATATTTATCAGTCGGAACGCTCGCTAATCCGCTCGTATTCTGATCAACATGTATAATGACAGGAACTATCCGGAGTATTAGAGCGCTATACTGTATACATCGTAGCTAGATTATAGCATGGGAAACTTAGATACGTACTAGATACCACATCTTGTTGAATGCAGCTATTCTTAGGCTAGCGCGTCCGAAGTGACGAGACTTTTAATCAAGCTATGCAAGCCGAGTTCGCGTTCCAGCTGGGATAAAATTAGAGGACGATGATCAGATCAGTGCAGAGCGGTCTCATACCTCGAATTTCCGTTTGCAGTCTTCCTGACCTGCTTCAGAACCAAACACCGCATCCATCTCTTCGAGAGAAACGCCTGCCGTCTCTGGCACAACGTAAGTAGACCACAGATAGGCCCCGAAACAAGCACACGCAAAAATCATAAAGGTCGCGCTGTGAAAGAATGCAGGGTCCACAAACCATTCTATATGACTGCCGATATATCTGGATATGAAGGATAAACATACGCAGAAGAAATCTCCATGAGTGGCGGTGTGATCAGGCCAATCAAGACTGCGAAAGAGAGGAAGCGTCAGTGGAGAAAAAAAAATCATGTGACTTATGTCAGTGTGGAGTTACGGAAACAGAAAACGGAACGGACAATTGTTGATCCAGTTAGAAGCCGTTGATACGGAAACGCCCTTGCTTCGCATAGAAAGAGGGAACACCTCACTGGGAAGAACCCAACCAATAGGTCCGAGGGACATGCCATAGGCTGCAGTAAACGTGTATGTGCAACTGTTAGGGATTACGGATCACTCGCGTGGATAAGGCGAACAGAAGAGGGTAAAGGAACTTACAACACTGCTACCCAAGCAGCTATGGTGTTCGATCCCCAGTCATCTTGAAACAAGTAGATCTATACAAGAAGGATTTCGTGTGGTTCAGAAGATGCTGGTCGTGAATAGAGGACGCACGAGGATTGCGATCAGGAAATGTGATACCGACATAATCGCACTGCCACCTTTGCCGCAGTGAGTCACAAGGTAACTCGAGTATAAACATACGAACCTTTGAGAAGGGGCTTGCGGCCTATGAGAAGCACACTGAGAACTAAACATTACAGAATAGACAAAAACCCACCCCAGCGGTCGAGCAATATAATGGCCGGGATAACTGCGAGAAACTGAACAATTCCGATCCCGCCTGAAACGAGAAGTGTGACGGTGTCCCCGCGCATCCCTATACTTTCGACCAGAGTAGGACCATAGTAGAGAAGTGCATTAATGCCGCTCCATTCTACAGCACGGTCCCTGTTCAGGCACGGACTCGTATGCAATATACAAAGATGGTCCTCACGTTGAAAGAACATGATCATAACACCAATAAGCGTCCGTCTAACGTACTCGCGGCCAAAGAGTGTTGTCCATGATTCGCGTGAGAGTCCGTTTTTTGAATTCATCCCATGTTGAATGAGAGCGACGTTGATTCGCATTTCCAATAACTCAAGCTATGATGCGTCAGTTACTGGATAGACGCCAAGGGGAGAAAAAGTACCTGAATCAACGGATCTTTCTTTGCTTCGTCAGGGGTACGCAAACGGAGTTTGGCTAAACTTTTCCGTGCGTCATCTATCCGATCACGGAGCACCAGCAGTCGGGGGGAAGGCGGTAGAACAAAGCATCCAAGGCAAAGCGAGATACCTGGGAGGAACTGAAGTGCTAGTGGGATCCTCCATGAAGCAGATCCAGCCACTAGGAACGCGACACAACACATGAGAACAGCTCAGATTCGTGACAGAAGCACGAACTATTCCTTGTAAAGAAACCTGTCCAAAATCCACACACAACTCCGAGGACGATAGCGAGTTGCTCAAGCGCCATGAGTGAGCCGCGAAGCTCTGGAGGACTAATCTCGGCAATATAAAGCGGTGCAAGCATGCTATCTCCCCTCAGTTAATTAATGGACATTCAAGTTTCGAAATCACCTCAGGGCCCCAACTCCGAAGCCACCGATCGCCCGCCCGATGATGAGATCGTTCAATGACTGTGCACCGCATTGCAGACCTGAACCGATGCAGAAAATAACTGACAGAGTGATTAGGGCAGTTTTCTGGGTGCAACAAGGGACCTACTGGACGCGAAGAAAATCGAATGACGTCTAGAATACTTGTCTGCCAAAATTCCGCTAGCAATTGCACCAAATAATGCACCGAGTTCGAGAACAGCAGCTGCCATTTCCAACATGAGTGGGGATACTAAACGAGACTGAGACTTAGCATACTCATTAATCCCTTCTCCCATGGACCGATTGGCCATCGAGCCAGAAAGTCTTTCATGACGAGGACATTTGCAATAACGCCTTGGTCGTACCCGAATGAAATACCACCAATACCAGCAAACGCAGCGCACGCGACAGCATAACGATTGCGAACTAGACCTGGAATTCCACTTGGTCCGTATGAATAGTTATAGGTATGACCATCTTCATGAACTATTAGAGAGCCTCCATGCGGTGTGTCAAGCGTGACGCCCTTCTTGTCTTCTAGTAAGGATTCTAAAATGAGATCAACGCCCTCGCTGACATCTTCCGTCTCGTTTGACGGGAGAGTTACATAGCCATGATGTGTCTTAAGGAGGCCGCATCAGGATTCAGTTGTGGTGTACATAGGGATGTCGACTTACCATCGGTCCATAAAGTTATTCAGAGCCAGATATTCAAAAAGAGTATGACGACTCGGGGTGTCACGGTCACCTGCAAGGGCAGCAAGGCTTAAGCGGTTTATGCAGCTTACGTAAATACAACCGAGACAGAAACTGTTTGAATCAATCTACGCTAGGATGTGGGTCGAAAAACTCATCAGTGCAGATGTGCACGAGCAGACGGTGCACAGAGGACTAGTGTGCGACGTGCAAAGAACAAGCCACGTCAATCAGACACTTATATCCATCTAAAGAGGGGCCTCTAAGATCTAGTGACGCTGAGCCACAATCGACCAGCGTCGTTGATTGATTCAACTTGCTTGATAAACCAGTCAGCCAATGAAAATCGTTCACCGTGCTGGGACAGTACAGCGTCACTTGCTCGACAGTGTTGTACGAGTCAGGAATCAGACAGACAAGAATCTGGTCAATTTGTCAACGATCTGTGCAGCGCCTGACTGTCTCGCGCCGGTGTTATATCACGCCCCATAGAGTCATGTAAAAAGGATCGCTGAGAGTAATATCTACCTAGGCCTGGTTCCACTTCCATCCTTCAGCTGCCCACTCTGGTATATCCGTCTCAAAGCACCCGAGGCTTGTGGTATATCTAAGGGCGTGCAAGAAAATATACAACTTTTCTGGCTTCGGATCAGGATGCAACGGTAAGTAGCACTCCGAGCAATACAGTGTTCCTGTCGCTGGGTCAACAGCTGGTGGAGGGGCCTCCATCTGCGAGAGTTGTGCTAGAGCTTCTCCTTGAGTCAACTGTAGGGCCAATGACACGTCTTCTGGCAGAGGAGTTTGAGGGAGAGAAGGACCTCCTTTTTTGCGTTTGTTCTGTGGAGGAAGGGGCGCACGAGGGATGTCTTTTGGTGCGAGTGAGCCCTTCGCTCGAAACACGACATCACGCCAGCGACTCCAATCCTCGTCTTCATCCTAATTTCTATGAGTACGTTCCATATCCGCTCATACTTTGGATCGCCTACCTTCATACTCCGGAGCCTTGTTATGATTCCCACTGTTTCAGACGACAATGGGACAGGTGATCCCATTCCAATATCGTGTCCAGTTTCGCGGGGAAGCAATTTCGCTCTCGATTTTCCATCGCATCCCCCTTCCGAGGCAAGCAATAATAGGGAGTCTGTGTTGTCGGAGGGCTTCGAGTTAAAAGCTTCCGGACTATTATCACTCAGTAGATGCGGTGGTGGCGCTGGTGCAGCACGGTGCTCGCAAGGAATAACATCAACACCCCCTTTGCCAAGATGAGGTCCCTATGAAGGGTGAGGGTTATACAAAGCATTCTTGAGACTAGACGAAGACCCTCACCCATATTCGTTCCTCAGAGTAAACGGGGTCATTGGCTATTGGATGACCAAGGTATTGTAGATGGACTCGTATCTGATGTGCTACAACGAAGTTGGTCAGGAACATCCGACGCGTCAATTGTGTGATCCCTACATCGACCTGTCATGGGGCGACCTAAGGTGAAAGAATGAGTGCATCCATAAAAACACAATATATAGCTGCAAGTCTCACAGCGGAGTACACTCGTATGGGTGGCAGAATCGTAATGGAGCCGGTTGAAAATCGTCTTTGCTGGCTGGAAACCGTCGAAAACTCCACTGGCAGCATAGGCCTGCACGTACCTTTCCTTCTGGGTGTACTATATTAAGACCCATTTGTCGATCGACAGTCAGGAGGGGTTCTTCACATATTATTTCCTCGCTGTGCCCAATTCCTCAATACACTATATGAAAAAGAGTCGAAAATACTCACGCGGGAAACTCCCCTTTGCAGCGAGCAACATATTCTTTGCGGACTAGACCATTGACGAATTCACCTGATAACGAACGCGCTAGATCAGCATTCAAGGGTACAATCATTAGGCCAGATGTAAGTCTATCCAGGCGATTAATCGCTATGACACAGTCAGTAAGCTTGATTTCGAGCAGATGTGAGACCCACTGTAAATTTTCGGGAAACGAAATTCATTGCGAAGGATCTCCACTAAGCTGTGGCGGTAGTACCGACCAGAGGCGTGTACTGGCTGTGTCACGACACTAGATTAGTTGCAATGTTGGGGAAATTACTAAGGACGAACTATGCTACCAGGTTTGTCAATAACCAAGAAGTCGCGCTCCTTATCATGCAATACAATTTTGACGGGTGTAGACGTGACTGGAGGCTCATGCCGGTGCACAACATTTCTATGCATGAAATGAATAAAGGCAGGCATTCAACGTAGAAAGTATGCGCTCACTCTATACGATCGCCATTCCTCACGATTGTGTCTGGTTTTGCGACCTTGCCATTAATTGTTGTCACGCCAGATTCAAGGGCGTACCGCTGCGCGATGAATAGTGACTTCTAGAGAAGGAAAAACAATCAACTTGTATGTACCTACATAGTACTCCATGGATCGATCCCTAAATTCTGTCGACACGATTTCTAGGATCTCCCGCCCAAGCCAGCGCTCCTTTGCCATGGTCGTATACGGGTACCAATACGGTGCAAGTTTCTTCAATCCCGCATCATTTTGTAATGACGGAGGTGATCGTGCCTCATCTGATGCGGCTCTATCAGACATGGCTGCGGTTAGGAACCTCGCAAGGACGTGACGAAATTGGCCGAGAGATGGTAATGTTGTGAGTGGAAGGCGCTCGCGGGACTCGCGCTTGAATTGGAGAATGTGGGCCACGGACGACGTTGCTCCAGAAGAGCTTGACAGCCTTGAGTGAATTCAATGCGGCAGAACGATCCTAATTCAGTTCAGCTACTAGCTCTGCGAACCCCATGATTTACTCACAAAAACGTCACAGGGAACGTACAAGCAGCTTGAGGTCAGAGGAAGTACTTTTAGGAATTGACAGAAGGAAAAGCTTGTGTGGCTGTGCACACTAGGACACCATCACTTACATACAGGTAGCGGGAATTACTGTCTTCCGCTGTTTCCTTCATGCATTGCGTGTTGACACGGCAGGAGCTAAGGTACCGAAGTAGGATCTTTGAGGTCATCATAACTCTCTAATTTTACCAGCTTATCTTAGCCGCTTTCATCGTTCGTCTGTCGAGCATATCGACCTTCTCTAGTTATGGCTCCACTTTTCTCTCCAAGGCCGATCGGAACGGCGTCAACCAACTAGCAGCCTCCATTGCCCCTGACGGGTTTTCCGCCATGAAGACAAAAGCCGCATCATAACGCATCAAGTCAGCTGAAAGTGTCTTGGCCGAACAGCATGTACCACTTACCACTAATATCGGCCATCTAACTAATCAAATCCTGTCCGAGGAGGACCCGAGTCATTACGCGTTAGGCTGTTCGGAGCTGTCACCGTGCTGTTACCTGATCATCGCTTTTCTCACTCCTCTCTCATGTCAAAGGTTCCTGATGACATTGCATCCACTGCCGGCGCACGTCAGTCGGTCAGGCTGCGTTTCAAGATTTCGCCGATCAGTAAGACGACCTTCTCTAGGAGTCGGGAGTAGTATCTGCAGACCCCTTCTTTGCCAGTGTATACTGGGCGGCCTTTAGTACGCAGAATTGGATCACAGCTCACCATGACATATTTGGGGAATATCTATGGACTCATGAATATTAGTAGAACAAAATTTTAAGGTCCTCCTATGATGGCTTGGTGACTGCTCTCAGGGCGCCGATGGACTTTTCAAATCGTGAGGCCGAACACTAAACCTTGTAGATTCGGACACATCTATATCCCCTGGAGCTGATTGCCGGTCAGGGGGACCAATCTACTGTAGACTGACTTCTTGGTTAGTCTTATGACCTAAGGCAAACCTAACGAACTTCCATATGCGGCGCGATATCATAGGTTCCGTCACTGGACGTGTGGTACTAGTACTCGGGCGGTGACGTTGACCCGATTGAAATACTGGTGGCGCTGGTCCTCCAAATATATAAAGGCACTCTGTAGTCCACTGACCTCCCCATACACCGAGATTTGACAGGCGCCGCCATGGGCAATAAACACTCCTCTTCCGTTGTCCCCCATCCGTCTCGCGAACAGCGCATCGGCGTGAACACCAATGACGGTCATTCGGCTCCGGTATCTCATATCAGTTTGAGATGTCATAAATCGCAGGCTTCATTAATGAAATCAATATCGTCGGACACGATATCGAGCGAGAAACCCGTGTGGCCACCCCGTAATTATCATCCGAACGACACTCGTTTACCCCCGCTGCTGACAACATACACGCCCTTGACGCCCTCCATCTCGCGACAAGATGCTGAGGCACGCGCATATAGTGCATTTCTCAAATCCTTTCCCGAATATCAGAGCACCTGGATACTTGACACCCTCCGAAGAACAGATTTCGCCAGATTGGACCGAACCGGGGAAACATATGTAGACTACATGGGTGGCGCACAACACCCCGAGAGCCTTGTTCGCGTTCATAGCGCATTCCTCACCGAAACCGTCATGGGAAATACACATTCGGTCAGTAATAGGTATGGGGTTTCTATAAATCGGTCGTCGATCGTTACTCATTTACATAATTACCGTTAGCTCTAAGTTATCATCACAGTACGCTGACGAGGCGCGGGTTGCGGTTCTTTCATTCTTTCGAGCGCCGCCGGGGTACACCGTCATATTTACGGCAAACGCAACAGCTGCATTGAAGCTTATTGGGGAGGCGTATCCCTTCACGACCAATAATAGCTATATTCTCGGTGCCGACTCCCATAATAGCGTCCATGGAATCCGAGAGTACGCTTCACGTCGTGGAGCTGAAGTGCATTACATTCCATCAACTAGTACTGGAGGTTTCGTTTTATCTACTGCTAAGGTATGTCCTTGCCGCATATATGCGCCTCAACTTCGCGTAACTAGCAGCTGACTGCTTATTTCTCCGCGGTAGGATATCTTGCGTCAGCACAAACCACAAAACGCTTCCTCACTTTTTGCCCTGACGGGCCTTTCCAATATATCTAACGCGAAAACTCCGCTTTCAATCATCGAATTTGCATCCTCACTTGGATATCACACACTTTTGGATGCTGCCGCGCTGGCACCGTCATCTGTCATCTCTCTTTCGGACACCCCTGTTGATGCTATGGTCGTCAGCTTCTACAAAATGTTCGGTTACCCAACGGGTGTCGGGGCCCTAATTGTCAAGGAGTCGTTCTTGCAGATCTTGGAGCGTCCATGGTTCGCTGGAGGAACCGTTGATGTCGTCCAGGTGCCAGGTTCGATTTTTACTAGAGGAAGTAATCTTCATGAACGGTTTGAGGTATGCTTCTCTCCAAATTTATGTGCTTTCGAATTTATATAATGACATTGCTAGGATGGAACCATAAATTTCATGACGTTACCAGCGGTCACAGATGGTCTACGATTTCTCTCTGCATATCTCCCATTCCTCCCTCTCCGCCTCTCATGTCTTACCCACTACCTTGTCGCCTCGCTCTCTCGTTTGAGACATGATTCGGCTGGAACCCCTGTCGTTAAGATTTTATCTAGGCTTCCTTCTAGACAACTTAAGTCTGTTGGAGAACAGGCTGACAGTGGATCTACGATCTCTCTTATCTTCCTCTCGGCAAGTGTTTAATTTTCACTACTTTGCTATTCATCTTGATGAAATGTTGTACGGCAGCCTTCTGGAGAGATGATATCCAACAGTTTCATTGAACATGTTGCGGTGTCACGGAACATTTCTCTTCGCACAGGTTGCATGTGCAATCCCGGGGGTGCGGCAACATTACTGGGTATTCAAGACCAAATGGAACGACTGTATCCAGGCGTCACGCTCAAAGACTTTGAGCGGGTCGTTGGTCGCGAGCTCGGTGTTGTGCGGATTAGTCTAGGACTCGCAAGCAATTTCCAGGACGTGTGGAAAATTGTGATGTTTGCGTCATCCTTGGCAGATAGCCGCACACGACAGGCGCTCTGGGATACTTGGACGAACGTTCCTATCGGACAGGCTATGTAGACCGCTTTTGCCATCGGATTTCCTGAGTATGCGGAGGGGGGGGGATCCCCATTGGACGGATAGAAACAATAAGAGCGGAGCCTTTCTGGTTAGACCTTAGATATCTTGGATATTTCTAGCTTCTTCATTTCGTCACACACTCATGCATCTCTTTCATCACGGATCACTGTATAGCACAGCACCCATCTTATTGTACTCTTGTACGTGCCATTCTACATTTGACCCTCCGTCTCACATGTCATTTTTTAGACTCTTACGGCTTCCTTCTCGTAGCTTCTCATTGCTATCTTCCTTAGTGTATGCTTCTACGCCCATAATTTCTTATGATTAGGCAGTACGTACACCCCTCCCCCCACCTACATTCCAATTCTGTGAACACCCACACATTTTTCGTTCCAGACTGACCTCGTCATACTATACTACATTTTATCGGAGGGATCTTAGACTTCGGTTAGGCTGATCATATCTATCCATGCCCTCCACTACGTCGCTCAAGGAATATTAGCTGTGCGTATGGCAAACAACTTCAATGTGCTGTGAATGTCAGGAGCGCCCATCGAATTTCTGTTGTGGGTGCAGATCTCACTTCTTCGTAGTCTCATGCATTGGTGCTGGGAACAGAAGAAAACTAATAAAAGGAGACCCTTGCAATGATCGATTTTGACGTCATGCGCGAACATCGGGGTCAGGGAGATCATGAGTATCCCTATCCCGCCTAAGGGGTAAATAGTATGGACAGGCGAGATGTTAAGATGTGGAAGTGCCTGAGCAAAATTGGACATCGATGCGTTCTATCACAAACTTAACCCAAACTGTGCACTTCCATTATTAACTAAAAGTATGCATGAGGGCTCACTCGTCGTCGTCGTCATCATCGTCCTTATCCCATTCGTTCTCGAAGACCTCCATGCCTGCTTCTCTTATCCGCTGTTCGTTCCCTCTGAATTTAGTGCTCACGTCATCGAGGAGGACTAGAAGATCCTCCTGCTCCTTCTCCTTCTTCTTGCCCTCTGACATTTGCAAGTCGGCCTCAAGCTCCGCAACACGCGCCTCTGAGTCAGCAAACTATCGGCCAATCATAGTAAGCAGCGGTGTCCTGACACATTCATGACACACTTACCCGAATTTCAGTGGCTGATAGCCCCTTGAGATGGAGCTGCGATGCGTCTATCTCCTGCACCTGGGAGCGAATGGTTTCTCCGAGAGAATTGATGAGTATTACGGACTTACTCGTGGTAACAGGTCCAAGTGCAGAGTCAAGCGGCTGGCAATGGTCCTTGTCTTGCTACTGACCTTGGTTCTAGACCTGCGTTTAATACTATTATTTTGAAAGCCCTGCAGCTGGTGAGGCCTGCGAACTGAACGATGAGATGACCACGCGAGGACTAAGGTAATGTTCAACATCCAGATTTGTCGTGATAAGTATATGAGCAGGTCTACCAGTGTACACGTGTAGGACACGATGGGATGGAGTAGCTAAAATACACACCATTACGAATGATCTCGCGCTTATCCTCCAAGACGGCAATGACACTCGACGCACCAGCTGGGGCCTTGAGGAAATATCCTTGAACCTGAGAGCGGCGGTTCTATAGTAGTGTCGAAAGCAACTGCAATGTCGCATAACAGGTATAGAAGTGCGTATCGCCAAGAAGGGAGAACAAAATGTGAACTACCTGTTCGTTTTTAAAAACGTAGTCTGTGTTTTAGCGCGATCATATATCATTGGAATGATCATCGGATTGATAGAGCTGGGTAATAATCTCGAGCACGGCTTCTGCAATTATTTCCGCATCATTCTGTGGGACTTGGAGGTCGGGAAGGGCCCTGTCACTGAAGTCTTATTTGCAATCGCGAACCAAATCCTTTAATCAAGGACGGCTGCGCGTCTGTCCGCAAGAAGGGTAGGAGACAATTGGTCACTGAGCTTTGTGATCATGTCCTGCGCAAACTGAGGAGCACCTGTTGCACCACGAAGGACGACGCGATAAAAGTCCATGCGGAGGAACTTGAAGACCAGTATAACTAACCATCGTCACGTGATAGATATAGTTACGCTACACTTTGGAGTTGCTTTGTGGACAAACGGTGTCGCGCAGACTCAGGGAGGACCGCCAATCTAGCAAAAGAACTCCTAAAGAAGAAAATCAATGATGAGAACAAAGAGAATGTGGATACTCACATTAATACAGCCTCCTGATGAGAAGTTTCTCAGGATTCAATATAATACTCAATTTGCAGTTTATTTCTTCGATATACGAGATGTGAACGAGCTGTCAAACAAAGTGTGTTCAAGAAATGAACTGTGTTCGTCTGTCCCAAGCGCATAACACCATGCCACGAAAGAAACTGGGCGAAGTAAACCGCAAATTGAGTGGGGCTATTCAGCTTCGATTGCGCCGAACGTGGGCGGTAAGATCTTAGACGCAACAGACGAATCTACTAGTATCACCTCCAACTTTAAAGTCCGCAAGGTGGCTGTGCTATTATACCATGTCCACTATATATGGTAGAACGTCGGAAACGAGACTACGAACGCACCTGACACGTCAATCAGGGCTTTTTGTGACGTGCAGGAAGTGTCGAGCAATCAATCACATCAGCCACGGTGCCCTCAAGGGTTTAAATGACAGCATTTGCCGAGAAGAGATATCGTACCGCATTCTCCCGTTGTCCATTTCGATGACCTCGCTGAACTTCACTATAGAAGCATAGTCACTACCTCCATTCTGACTGTACGATTTGAAGATGTCGCATGCCACATAGAGTCTCCAACAGTTCAACTCCTTCAAAAACCCAAACGACGGTATGCATAAATAACAGCATGACTCGTCAGATATTTCGAATACTGACAGCCATTGGCATCAGTAGGATGGCTCGTGACCTTCGAACAGAGAATCAGACAAACCTTTTGCTCCAGAGCACTTGAATGCAGATACCCGGGAGTCATAAAAAATGCATTAAGTTACTTATCAGAGGAACCGACCGTGTGTAAGCAGTTCCGGAGAGCTGGAATCCTATAACATACCCAACCATTCATATAGGTCTCATTTTTCTCTATGCAACAGAATTTCCATCACTGGCACCGAATTCACGCAATCATCGACGTGTAACGAGGTCAAGCTTCCAGACTATTCCTTCCGACGCGCAGGCAAAGAATATGCCCATTCTCTAAGTGTCATCTAATCCGTACAAGAAATCGATAAATAAGACTTCATATGCCATTGAAATCCCGTTTCTTGCAACTATGGATTCTGTCTCTGTCGCTGCTAGTTTCGCGGCTCTAGTGGTTATCTACGGTGTATACCGTCGATACACTCGCATCTCTTTGGCAGATGTTCCTGGTCCAGACTCTACATCATTTATTATGGGTATGTCTATTCCCTGTCTTGCCAGATCCCTCCACTGATGATGTAACCATCAGGGAATATGAAAGAGCTCTACCAAGGACAGGCAACCGAGGCTGACTTCAAGTGGCAAGCTCAGTATGGGAATATCATTCGCTTGAAGGGCTCTTTTGGCGTATGTAATGACACTTGCGACATACATTTTCTGACTCTCCACCGATTCATAGGAAGACCAGCTGATGATTTCCGACCCGGCCGCCCTGCAGTATATCTTTGTAAAGTCAGGCTATCGGTTTCCAAAACCGCGTGATCGCCGCGTCCTCTCCCAGATTGTCAACGGAAAGGGAATTACCTGGGCGGATGGTAGGTTTTTGCCACGTGACAAAACTGTGGAATGGTCTGGAGTTAACTTTTTGAAGGTGACGATCACAAACGACACCGAAGAGTTATGCTCCCTGGATTCGGTGCACCGGAGTCCAAGGCCTTCTTGTCATTGTTCAAGGGCTGCGCGGAGTCTGTAGGCACTGAAGTCACTCAATACCCTCAACACTCATTAATATTAACGACGTGAATTCTCACAGATGAGCAACAGATGGGCAGACATAATCAGTAATTCCAAGGAACAGTCAGCAGTGTTCGATATTTCTGCCTGGCTGTCCCGCGCAACCTTGGATGCTATTGGGCAAGGTACATGCTATGCAGGGTACATAATTACCTTTTTCTCATCTCGTTTTGCAGCTGCTTTTGATTTTCGCTTCAGCTCCATTGATAACAATGAAAGCGCTCTTGAGCACTCGTACAGAAATATAATGTCAGTCTTGTCGTTTACCAGGCATCTGGGTTTCCCTTGACTGATCTGAATTGAATGTGTCCTCGTGGCAATAGGACTGACGCATTCGGATCTCTGTCAGACTCGCAAATATTCTTTCAGGGGGTTTCAAAGTATATCCCACCTCGGATTCTCAAATACCTCGGAGACACAAGCAAAAACCCACGTTTTGTACGCATGCGTGAGGCGAGCAGTGTAGCTACATCTGTCGCAAAGCAGATGGTAAAAGACAAGGCAGAAATGCTATTGCACGGCAAGGGCAGTCGAGATATCTTTAGCTTGCTTGGTGGGTGATCGGTCTCCACAGCCTCATTAGACCTAGCACATCTAATAAACGCACAGTCAAAGCCAATATGGATACAGATGCCAAGGAGAAGCTGACGGAAGAAGAACTGTTTGCCCAGATGCGGTGAGTCCGTTCCGTGTCTCGCAATTGCACAACTTACCGATCACGGAATGCTATAATTACACAGTACGATCCTCTTTGCAGGTCATGAGACGACCTCGAACACACTCAATTTCGTGCTTCTCGAGCTAGCTAGGCATCCTGAAATGCAGTCGCGCCTCCGGGCAGAGATTTGGGAAACAGAAGCGGCTGTGCACGCCCGCGGGGATGTGGACTTCACAATCGCTGATTTCGAGGCTATGACGTATGCTACTGCTGTTATGAAGGTGCGTGACTTACAAACAATATCTGGGTTGTTTTAACACTACACTGTAATTGTAGGAAGTCTTGAGATATTGCTGCGTAGTATATCATGTGCACCGGTACGCCAGTCAAGATGACGTCCTTCCGTTGTCGCAGCCAATCACCACGCGATCCGGAGACGTCATCCACGAGCTACCGATTCCAAAAGGCACACGAATTGTTGCATCAATTGCAGCGTACAATCGGTAGGAAGTCCCACACAATGCCGACATCTTTTCTTCTTACGTGTGCATCTCGGACAGAAACAAGGAGCTCTGGGGCGAGGATGCGCACGTCTTCAACCCGGATAGATGGCTCGATGGCACAGCGAAAGAGAAGAAGGCCACGTCAATAGGGGTGTACTCCAACTTGTAAGCTGATCTCCACTCATACAACAACGCGCGCAAACCCCGTTAATTAATTTTTTTCTAGAATGACATTCGGAGGAGGAGTGAGGGCTTGTATCGGATGGCGCTTCGCGTAAGTGTTAATGACGTTGTCCAGCAAAGGTGGGGTGAACCTGATGTGAATGTTTCACCCAGGGTGATCGAATTCCAAGCATTTCTTACGGAGATAGTCGGAAAGTTTGAGTTCGCACTAACTGATAAATCTGAACATATGCGGCGGGAAGCTTGCATGGTAATGAGTCCAACAGTAGAGGGCGAGGTTGAGAGCGGGGTTCAGCTGCCGTTGAGGGTCTCAGTGGCACCACGCATTGACAAGGAGTACTAAGCGTCATACGCGCCGAGATGTCGGGCAGCTGTTCCCCAGCGTGCCCATAAATAGTTGTCCTATCTGGTTCGCTGTGATTTAGGTGGCGACAGCCAAAGCAAAATACAGCAAAGTTTATCAGATTGAGGACCAGGACAGGCCTCGCGCAGTAAGTATTTACTTGTGCGAACTTGTATGGCGTGCCGTTTGGGCACTTGGCGAGCTCGCGAGCCAAAGTGCCCAAACAAGTGCTTGCTAACCGAGTGAGCCCGTCAAAGTGTGACGCGTTTGGTTACGCGTCTCTTATCTTCTGACTCCATCTCGCTCACTCGATAGTCTTTTCACCCGCCCACCACGACCCCTGTTGTATTAGTGTCGTGCCCTTTGTTCTTTTTCCCCCAACTACCTCACACTCGAGGATTCGGTTCTTGACGCGCCGGCGGTCAGTTTGTCTCAGCCCTTGCTCTTTCACTCGACTATTTGCAAGACCAGCACACCTGACTCGGTGTCTTGTCGCGTCGTTTCTGGATTATTTCGAGTCTTGTAACTCCGACATCAGACACACTGATCATGTGACCCGCGACACACCCTGTCTTGAGTTAGACTGGATCTTTTCATCTTGGTCTTGCTGATTTCAATTCTCACCTGCTGGAGACTTTTGTGCGAAATTGCATGGCCATATCAAGGCAAGTGGTATTTAGTACTCGTGATGGAGATAGTTAGATGCGAGGATAATTCGCGGAACCTGATCCCAGGTATAAATCATAGTAGTAATGTGCATCTCCTGATCATTCCCTGATACCTTTAGCTTTTCGGAATAAGTATTCTCGAATTCCAGAATGTTCAATGGCGACATCAAAGCTCCACCTTGTGTTGTTGTATGCCCGCTTGATGCTCCGGACGTTCAAGTTAACCAGTAAGTTCACAACTCTCAGTCCTCCATCAGATATTCAATTCAACGAATTATATCCGTAGAGTCCTCTTGTTCTGCAAAAAGCAATCATTTTCTGCTTCCGCCAAGACTGGAGGCGACATCATCATATATCATCGACCTGCAGGATCATCAACATTGTGACATTGAACCTTTCGCTGTCGAGGGCTCTTTTACTAGTATTCGAGACATGCCTTTGCTCGGCAGCAAAGGGAAGGTCAAAGCTGGTCCATCACTTCTATATAGCCCTGCTAATGTGTTTATATAGCGGTAAACGAAGAAGGGAAGAAGATGGTGAGTTGAGGTCTTACGACCTGGCATCTGCAACCATCGCAAATTTTCTTCACCCAGGAGGATCATCCGCCCCATTCGCCGATCGTCCTCCCGTCTCTCGAAGGCTGGAATTCCATGCCCATCATCTTTGAATGATTGGACAGTACGTCCCACCTGTATGTTAAGTTTGTGAACACCCATACATTTCCATTCCAGACTGACCTGGTCATACTACTTAGACTTCGTTTTATCGGAGGGATCTCGTGTAGGCTGACCATATATATCCATGCCCTCCATTAGTGGCCACGTCGCTCAAGGAACATCAATATTAGTTGTACGTAATGCAAACAACTTCGATGTGCTATCCATGTCAGGAGCACCCATCAAATTTCTGTCGTGCGAATCTCACTTAATTTCCCCGTGATTAGCTCTACTTCTTCGTAGACTCAATTTGGTGCTGGGAGCAGAAGAAAGCCAGCAAAAGGATACTCCTGCAAAGATTGATTTCGGAGCCATGCTGTGACATCGGGGTCGGGGAGACCATGAGTATCCCGTTACTAATTACAAGTATGCATGAGGGCTTTACTCGTCGGCGTCGTCATCATCTTGATCGTCATCATCATCCCCTTCGTCCTCGGAGACCTCCATGCCTGCTTCTCTCATCCGCTGCTTGTCCCGTCTGCGCTTCGTGCTCATGTCATCGAGGAGGACTAGAAGATCCTCCTGCTCTTTCTCGACCTCCTTCTTCTTGCCCTCTGACGTTTGCAAGTCGGCCTCAAGCTCCGCAACACGGGCCTCTGAGTCAACCAACTGTCGATCAATCATAGTGAGCAGTAGCGTCCCAACACATTCCCAACCACTTACCCGAACTTCAGTGGTTGATAGCTCCTTGAGACGAAGCTGCAATGCGTCTATCTCCTGCACCTGGGAGCGAATGACTTCTCTGAGAGAATTGATGAGCATTGCGGACTCTGCACTTGAACCTGTTACCACAAATAAGTCAAGCGGCTGGCAATGGTCCTTGTCTTGCTACTGACCTGACGATGAAGCTAGAGTATTAGGGTCTGTTGTCAGACCTCTCTGGATGGTATCTTCAAGAAATACATAAGATCAACGTCATGTGACGGGAGAAACCTGGCAGCGCACGTTGATTCGACTTCCAGAAGTCGACAAAAGACCAGTCAAGCCAGATTTCGCCTTCCTGTTCGGCGGATGGAGTATTTGGTGCCTTAGATGGATAGGGGAGTATCATGGATTCAGGACCGATAGACTTGAACCAGTCGTGCTCTCGTACGCGAGTCATATGACCAACAAGCACGTCTACACCCAACCGAGAAATAATGGGATGGATGGTAGCGCTGTTGAATACCCATATAAGCACACGTGAAAGACAAAGGAGGACAGACACATGCCGAGTGATCTCTCCTGGTTCCCGGTTGAACTCATAACAAACTCCCAGGAGAAAAGCGCAAAGTCCAGGAATGAGCGTTTCCGACTCGGAAGTCTGATTAATAGGCTCAACTAGCTATGCGTTCCTGGAGTTCTGGTGAGTGTTCACAGTATGAGGTGGAAGACTCACTGTGCCCAGCCCGCCGGCTTCTAGGAAATCCCTCACGGCTTTAGGGTCGTCCCAAAGCCATTGTGCAAGCAGACAAATGTACCCAACGATCAATCTATTCCACTCGCGTTCCTCACGGTCGTCCTCGGCCCTCGAGCGAGATAGGAAGGATAATGAAAGGTTCTCGGCAAAGAGGTGCAGCAAACTCTGCGGGGCATCTTCCTCGTCTTCTTCTGGCGGAGCTGGCGCTGAAGGAGAACCGTCGGCAGGAACAAAAAGTTGTCCTTGACTTTGGGCCTGTGATGGAATGCTGGAAGATGGCTTGATAGACCGGGCGGCAGTTTTTGCTCTTGGGGAGCCGGAGAGTAGGTGTGCAAAAAGGAGGGTCGCGAGATGAGTAGAGGTCACATTAGCGATGTTGAGAGGGGATGATGGGGAGAGGCAGAGTAGTGTGCAGAAGGGGCGATATCATCGGCACCTCACTTGGTTCTGCGGACAATCTGAGTCATTTTCCTGGCATAGAAGATGTTGCTTACCTTGGGGAGGAAGCATTCCTTGCACGATGGCCTGTTTGATGTCCTCTTTCCGCACAAAGTTCTGTAGTGTATAGTGTATCAATGCAGCCCTCTCTGCCACAGGATGAGGACAAACACGCACATCAAAAACAATCACAGCTGCACTCCTCAGCTCAAGCCCATCCTTGGTACGACTATCACTATATAGTCCGTTGTACTCTCCGTGCAATGCGAGTTCTACAAGTACATCAAGCGCCGATGCAGGCTCCAGTCTATCCCATTCTTCTCCACGTGTCTCGGGCACAGGCATATATGGAGTCAGAATAACTTCCGAAAGCGGGAAAGTGAACGTGGCAGGAAGAAGATGGAGCGCCTAATGCACAAATGCAATCAGGTCTTGTATTATGACGATTGCCGTATCAAAACGGACCTGAGTCTTAAGGGGTGTTGGTGCATTGGATGCGAGGGCGAGTTCGACGAAGCCTCGCACGAAGACGGATAATTCCTGACCCTAAGGAAATCCTTGAACAACTTTAAGAAGGAGATTGGAATCTACTGACGCTGCCTTTAGACCCAACCAACATCCCCATGATACCAAGCACCAGTGACACGTTTGCTACTTTTTGTGAATCCCAAAATTGCAATGCAAACTCCTGTGGAGGTGCATCTTGGAGGGAAAGTTTGGAGGGGAAGAGCAACAGGGAGCATAACAACGCTGGAAGAGACGTTTCGCGGAAGTAACTCTATCATAGATGTCAATGGAAATTCACTTCAGATGGGGATCATTAAACACCTGATTCGAGCTATTATATCGAAGAAGACTGTCGACACACCGAAGTGCGTCCTGTGAGACCACACCTCCCTCCAATCCGCCTTCGTGTGTAACGGTATTGAGGAGCTTTTCGAATGCACCTTCGAAGGCAAGCACCTTCTGAATGTCAGGGCTTTGAGAAATAAGCATTTGAATCATGGTGATGCTTTCTGAAAGTGTATTGGCGTCAGTGATAGAAATGAACGAGCCTTATGCCGGCATTGGTAGACCTGCGTCGAATACTATTATTTTAAAAGCCCTGCTACCGGTAGGGCCTTGCAAACTTAACGATGAGATGACCACGCGAGGACTAAGGTAATGTTCAACATCCAGCTTTGTCGAGGTAGGTAGTATGAGCAGGTCTACCAGTGTACCACGCGTAGGACACAATGAGATGGAGTAGCTAAAATACACACCATTACGAATGATCTCGCGCTTATCCTCCAAGACGGCAATGACACTCGACGCACCAGCTGGGGCTTTGAGGAAATATCCTTGAACCTGAGAACGGCGGTTCTGTAATAATGTCGAAAGCAACTGCAGTGTTGCATAACGGGTATAGAAGTGCGTGTCGCCAAGAAGGGAGAACAAGACATGAACTATCTGTTCGTTTGCGATGACGTAGTCTGTGTGTGTTAACGCGATATCCTTGGAATGGTCATCGGATTCGCAGAGCTGGGTAATAGTCTCGAGCACGGCTTTTGCAATTTCCGCGTCTATTTCCGCATCATTCTGTAGGACTTGGAGGAGACCAGGAAGGGCCCTGTCACCGACGTCTTGTTTGCAATCGCGAACCAAACCCTTTAAAGCAAGGACAGCTGCGCGTCTATCCGCAAGAAGGGTAGAAGGAGACAACCGGTCACTGAGCTTTGCGATCGTGTCCTGCGCAGACTGAGGAGCACCTGTTGGACCACGAAGGGCAATGTATGTCTGCGATAAAAAGTCCATGCGGAATCCAGCTTGAAGACCAGTCAACTTGTAGTCGTGGTTCGGGCCTGTATTGCCACTGTCACGTGGCCTTAAACTTAGTCGGCGCAACGAGACATAGACCAACGCCCAACACCTTCAAAAACCCAAACGACGGTATGCATAACTGTCATGATTCGTCAACTATATAATTATATACGTTCGAATGCTGACAGTCATTGTATCAGTCGATGATTAGTAACCTGCAACTGATCACAGGTGCTCTACTAGGACGGCCTTAGAACAGAAAATAGGACAAATTTTGCGGCGATAAGTGAGTACTATATTTGTGCGGTCTATGAGAAGATGAATGTCGAAATGACTACAATCAGTTGACCTATCTAGCCAGGCCTGTTATTTTTTGCTAGAGCACTTGAATGCGGGAACATGAGAGTCATCAAAATACTTATCAAGGAAGTTTTGATCAACCGTGTATAAGCAGTTCCGGGGAACTGGAATTGGAATGTCAGGTGTAAAGTCCTATGACATACCCAACTCTTCATATAGATCTCATTTCTCTCTTTTCAGCGCAATTCCCATCATCAGCGCCGAATTCACGCAACCATCGACTTGTAAAGAGGTCAGGAATGGGCAGCTTCCTGTCCGACGCACGCGCAAGCCCGGAGAATATGCTCATTGTTGAAGTGTCATCTAATTCATACGAGAGACTGATAAAGCTGGCTCCACGCGCCCTTGAAATTCCATTTCTTGCAACCATGGGTCCTGTCTTTGTCACTGCAGGTTTCGCGGCTCTAGTGATTGTCTACGGGGTATATCGTCGATACACTCGTATCTCTTTGACAGATGTTCCCGGTCCAGATTCTGCATCATTTATTATGGGTATGCCTATTCCCTCTTACCGTATGCCTCTACTGATGATGTAACCATCAGGGAATATGAAAGAACTCTACCAAGGACAGGCAGCGGAGGCGGACTTCAAGTGGCAAGCTCAGTATGGGAATGTCATTCGCTTCAAGAGCGCTTTCGGCGTATGTAATGACATTCGCACTTGCGGCATACATTTTCTGATTCTCCGCCGATTCATAGGAAGACCAGTTGATGATTTCCGACCCGGCTGCCCTGCAGTATATCTTTGTAAAGTCAGGCTATCGGTTTCCAAAACAGTGTGATCGCCGCGTACTCTCCCAGATGATCAACGGAAAGGGAATTATCTGGGCGGATGGTAGGTCTTTGGGCATGAGAAAACCGTGGAATGGTCTGGAGTTAACTTTTTGAAGGTGACGATCACAAACGACAGCGAAGAGTTATGCTTCCTGGATTCGGTGCACCGGAATCCAAAGCCTTCTTGTCATTGTTCAAGGGCTGCGCGGAGTCTGTAGGCACTGAAGTCACTCAATACCCTCAACACTCATTAACGACGTAAATTCTTACAGATGAGCAACAAATGGACAGACATAATCAGTAATTCTAAGGAGCAGTCAGCAGTGTTGAATGTGTCTGCCTGGCTGTCGCGCGCAACCTTGGATGCTATTGGACAAGGTACATGCTATGCAGGCTCCACAATTACCTTTTTATCATCTTGTTTTTCAGCGGCTTTTGATATCCGCTTCAGCTCCATTGATAATAATGAAAGTGCCCTTGGGCACTCATACAGAAATATGATGTCAGTCTTGTCTTTTACCAAGCATCTGGGTTTCCCTTGACTGATCTGGATTGAATGCGTCTCGTGGCAATAGGACTGATGCGTTCGGATCTCAGTCAGACTCGCAAATATTCTTTCAGGGGGTTTCGAAGTATATCCCACCTCGGGTTCTTGAATACTTCGCAAATACAAGCAAAAACCCACGTGTTGTGCGCATACGTGAGACAGGCAGTGTAGCAACATCTGTCGCAAAGCAGATGGTGAAAGACAAGGCAGAGATGCTATTGCAAGGCAAGGGCAGTCGAGATGTATTTAGCTTGCTTGGTGGGTGGCCGGTCTCGATAGCTTCATTCAGATCTATGCACCTAATAAAAGCACAGTCAAAGCCAACATGGATACAGATGCCAAGGCGAAGCTGACGGAAGAAGAACTGTTTGCCCAGATGCGGTGAGCCCGTTCCGTGTTTCGTAATTGCACAACTTACCGATCGCGGATTGCTGTAACTATACAGTACGATCCTCTTTGCAGGTCATGAGACGACCTCGAACACTGTCAGTTTCGCGCTTCTTGAGCTAGCCAAGCATCCCGAGATTCAGTCACGCCTCCGGGCAGAGATATGGGAAACAGAAGCGGCTGTGCACGCCCGCGGGGATGTGGACTTCACAATCGCTGATTTCGAGGCTATGACATATACTACTGCTGTTATGAAGGTGCGTGACGTCTTGCAAACAATATCTGGGCTGTTATAACGCTGCACTGCAATTATAGGAAGTTTTGAGATATTGCTGCATCGTGTATCATGTGCACCGGTACGCCAGCCAAGATGACGTCCTTCCGTTGTCGCAGCCAATCACCACGCGGTCCGGAGACGTCATCTACGAGCTACCGGTTCCAAAAGGCACACGAATTGTTGCATCAATTGCAGCGTACAATCGGTAGGAGGTCCCACACAATGCCGACATCTTTTCTTCTTACGTGTGAATCTCGGACAGAAACAAGGAGCTCTGGGGCGAGGATGCGCACGTCTTCAACCCGGATAGATGGCTCGATGGCACAGCGAAAGAGAAGAAGGCCACGTCAATAGGGGTGTACTCCAACTTGTAAGCTTTGGTCTCCACTCATGCAACAACACGCATGAACTCTGTCTAGAATGACATTCATCGGAGGAGTGAGGGCTTGTATTGGATGGCGCTTCGCGTGAGTGTTAATGACGTTGTTCAGCAGAGGTGGAGCGAACCTGATGTTAATACTTCACCTAGGGTGATCGAAATCCAAGCATTTCTTACGGAGATAGTCGGAAAGTTTGAGTTCGCGCCGACTGATAAGACAGAACGGATTCGGCGGGAAGCATGCTTGGTGATGACTCCAACAGGTGGAGGGCGAGGTTGAGAACGGGGTTCAACTGCCGTTGAGGGTTTCAGTGGCACCACGCAATGACAAGGAGTACTAAGCGTCATACGCGCCGAGATGTCGGGCAGCTGTTCCCCGGCTTGCCCATAAATAGCTATCTGTTTACTCAGTATTCAAAGCAATGCAAAGTTTATCAGATTGGAGACAAGGACTGTCATGAGGCCACGTCCAATAGTTGCGTGTTTGTCTTCAACGTAGTGTTGTTGGTTGGCGGGACTCCAAAGCCGGTGACAGACATTGAGTGGAGCTTGCTGAGCTACAAACGTGTTTTCATTAATCCTAAAAGTTTGGATCCCTTGGGGACATTTAATGATAGGCATCATGGAATATGACCAGCAGAATCTGGTACGCCACTTAGACTGGATCGTTGACGTCGACACTTTGCACCAAACATGACTGAGCGCTGAAACAATATTGAAACTCACGTTAGTATGATCTTAGCGGCGCAGAGGCGCCAATCCCCGACTCGTGCCTTTTCCACGTTATATTTCGGTACACGATGAGTGGCTAAGACTTGTACTGACTCGTGCTTATCATACTGCATGCAATCGAGAACAAACGGTACAAAGCAACCCAGCGGTCCAGAGCGTTCCTTGGAAGTAGTCCTTCATACACGAGAAACAGACGTCACGACTCACCGGCTGTGGCCGTTCCGAAACCACATGGGCGTTTTGCTCTTGGTCCGTCACATAATTTTTAATTTTCACGTTTTCATGTTTTTGTTGGCGAAATTTTGCAGAAAAGAATTAGCCCATCCTGCATTACCTCGCACAAGAAACAGCAATCAAAATAAGACAAGAGGAAATCAGATGGTGAGCTGAGAATGAAACCAACATAAAGAAACCAACATCGTCAAGAGACAACACCACGACAGTAAAGTTGCGTATGAGTTCCAATAACGCCCGCGTGCAAGGCTTCTTCGAACGGCCAGAGACCGAAAGGACGCAATCCGGATAAAACTTTCCCAGTGCCGCACGAAGCTGCAAGATAGATAATCTAGACAACCTGATGACCAGCAAAACCAGCAAAACAGAAGCATCCGAATCCAACCAAGGCAAAGCGGAATCAATATGTTCTGCACCAACAGATACATTGGGAGCATGAATGGCAGCTATCATCTTCTCTCCGCAAAGGACATCGAAGTACTTGTTGATGGAATCCAGGCGAGAACGACCGCAACATTCTTCGGCAACAGGAGAGGACGAGAGCAGCGCCTCAAGCTCCTCTTCAGTCAGAGCATAGACATGGGTGACCTGTTTGTAAAATAAATAAAATCGGCGATACAATCCACGGTCAGCTTTGCGAGTACCGTTCGAGCGAATACGCAAGCGTCAGATACACGCTCGCAGCTGGACAAGAGTGAGTATGTGAAAAACACGCGCAAAATCACTGGCAATCCAGGAAAACTACAAGGGATCACCAGTAATAACTTCAGACAAGCCGTCCATAACACAGAAGCGAGTTCACAAACCTCGAAAAATACGATCTGAGGCATAGGCCGCATAGTTTAACGTCGTGAGCGACAGCATCAACGAAGAAAGCGAACGACGCGTGACGTCATCATTGACTTTCTCACTCCCAATCTGAAATCGCTCCACCCGTCTCTACCACTGATCTAAAGATCACGATCCAAAAGAGACCCTCTGACTCCAAAAACCGATCGAAAATTTTACAACACTTCCCAATAAATCTTCTGTAACTCCTCATATTTTCTTCTACGGATTTATAAATTCGTAGCTGCTCTATATAAATCTGATTTTAAGGATTTTGTGGTGGAGTGTCGGATTTGAAGGCCGAGAAAATTCAGGGTCTGACTGGTACCATGGTCACGTCGTATCACAGCATCGGCACAGTAACGGCACCGTCAACTTTCACTTAGAGGAGACTAGTACTCTCCTATCTGCTGTCACGCTTTCATACATGTCGTCAATATTTCCTCTGTCTATAGCATCTTAAAACAAGAGAATGACCTCTATCAAAATTGTGTTCTAACACCCTGGCAAGGTGTTTGATATGCTCCGGGTGTAACTTTTTGAATATCTCTCTAGGATCTATGGGATCTGGATCATTTATGATTATACAAGGTTGCAAATCACTACTATTCCGTCTCTCGCAGCTGCAACACTTATTCTACTTGGACAGCACATCATCTCTAAGTAGCCTACAAGCACCTGAATTTTTTCGAGGTGATTCAAGCAGCGCATTGAGGTGTTTTGAACATTTTACATATTACATGCCAGTTGCAGATTCCCAGGAGTGATCAACTCTTGCGAGTCGGGAACGAGACAATCAGATAAAAAAAGCGATTGGAGCGGATGTGCCGGTGATGACTAAGCCTTCGCGGAGACGTAAAGCAGGATGGCATCAGAACCTAAGATTTGGCTCGCCACGAGGCTAAATGGTATGGCGACTGGCTCCGACTAATGAATAACAAGTCGAGGGTGGCACCACTAGCACTGGAGGATTGGAGCCAGGAGCATGTAATGATGAGATTGGTACAGTTACCCGAGTCAACATTCCGCGGTTGGGGTGAGAACAATGAGAAGCTCGACAACGTACTACGGAAGAGCCTGTGTACCGGCGTGACGTACCCAATGTATTCCATGACCATGCGGCAATGGTGTCATACAATTGCAGGAGCCACCGATTCTCACTCTAAATTCGTACAGCTTCGATCAGAGCGCTGTATAGAAGCAACCGTCAGATTCCGTCGTTCACTGACAAGTCGATGGGTTCCGAAGAATTTCCAGGAGACCGGTTAATTAATGTTGGCCTATGCGACGAAGTCAGTCACGCAGTAAGATCTAGAACAGTTCAGGGTGACACCGAAAGTTAACGTTGATCCTGGTGGAGAACTAATGCCGATCCAGAATTAATGTTGGAGCAAGAAACCAACTTCCGCTGAGACGGTCCCGGGAACTACAAAAATTGGGTTCATGACTGTTCATGAAAACATCGCCTCCAACGCCTTCCATTTACTCAAAATGTCGTCAGGCTGACCTGTGCAGGATCTACTAATACCATTCATTTGAAAATTACACCTAAATTTACACCTCCTGATTAATCACGTCCCTCCTTAAAAACCAGTGGGCTTTGTGCCTTGCTGAACCTCACTATTCCCCTCTTCTAGACTTGCCTTCAACTTTGCTTTGAGCAATTCATGGAGGAAATCCACCTTGATGCGACTTCTAACTTCCCCTCTCTATCCGACGCACTCTGCCAAGAACTCAGATCGGCCGTTCGCGGTGAGGCACACCGGAGAGGTGATCCTAGGTATGCATTCTAGAATTATTCCATGATACCTCTGATAGGCTTAAGTGTAGCTTTCTGGAATATTCTCGAATGTTCAACGGCGACATCAAAGTTTCTGCTCGTGCTGTCGTATGTCCCCTTGATGCTCCGGACGTTAGCCAGTAAGTTCGCAACTTTCAGTCCTCCGTCAGGTATTCGATTCAACGAATTCCATCCGTAGAGTCATCGTGTTCTGCAGAAAGCATTCACTTTCTGCTTCCGTCAAAGCTGGAGGCTATGGCACCGCTGGCTGGGCTGTCGGAGGCGACATTATCATCGACCTCTGCAAGATCACTGACATTGACATTGAACCTCCCGCTGCCGATGGCTCTTTTACTAGTATTCGAGACATGCCTTTGCTCGGCATCAAAGGGAAGATCAGAGCTGGTTCATCACTTCTAGATAGCTATGCTACCATGTCCAGCGGTAAGCGAAGAAGGGAAGATGATGACGAGCTGAGGTCTTACGACCTGGCGTCCCCAACCATCGCAAATTTTCTACACCCGAGAGGATCATCCGCCCCATTCGCCGATCGTCCTCCCGTCACTCGCCGAAGGCTGGAATTCTCAACTCCCGTGTCGGAGACCCAGCAGATGTCCACCTATTCTGCGACGTCGGGCAGTAGTTCCGGCCATAACACGACGATGTTGTTATCCCCTAACTCGCTTAGTTCTTCTATCGCCGTGGCTTCTACCCTCTCCTTGGCTTCTCATATTTCATCCATGGATGGTGTCACTACTACTGTTACCCCACCACCTCCGCCCCCATCTTTATCCTCGCTGGATGATCCATTTTCCTATCTGGAAGATACCCCCACCAATCCCGTACCTGTGGCCTCCACTTCTCGGCTTGCCCAGTCCATGCCCAATGCATTGTTTGCGACACCGAGTTTCCTCGAGTCTCCAACCAACATTCTGACATATGCAACGCCTATATACTCGCACGCCTTCATGACCTTTGGTGCAGGAAAGAGACAGAAGGAAATCGATCAGTTCTCGGCAGCAAACCCTCTAGAAGCAATGGCACTCTCTGGCGGACGCGGCGCTGTTCCCTACCACGTCCCATCGTAAGCCTTTTTTCTTTCCTCTGATCTCTATCCCAATTTACCTGGCGGATCAGTGCGGCTCATCCCGTTGGCTCGGCAATCATGATCTTAGGAGGCTTTGGATTCCTGGGCCGTTTACACGGCTTGAGCACTGACAACTTGGTAGAAGCAGAAGTTGTTATGGCGGACGGTCAAATCGTGATCGTCAGCCAGAACGAACACTCAGGCACGTATTGTAAATATAATATTATTTCACCTGGTCTTGACTGACGATCTAGATTTGTGGTGGGCACTGCGCGGTGCTGGCCCTGCCTTTGGTGTCGTCACACGCTACAAGGCCAGAGCTTATCCAGTTCCCGTTGTCTTCGCAGGTAATCTCATCTAGTCAGTACTGTCTCTCGTTGAATCGTATCGGAGTTGACACTATTGTTCTCAGCCGTTTTCATCGCGCAACTGCGCCATCACTAATCAAGCACTTTCGCGATTGCGTGAAGGGTGCTCCCCGGGAGTTATATGCCAATGTCCTGCTTACGGCTGGGCCTGCAGGGCAGGATTCCCTAGTTGTCATCCAGATGTGCTACATCGGTCCCAAGGTGAAGGGCCAGGAGTTCTTACAGGCCATTTCATCGTGGGACGGTGAACGGTGTCTTCTCAATGAGGTCGACGAGAAGTCCTTCCTTCATCAACAAGATAGCGTTGCGCAGGTTCTCCGAGGAAAAGGTCAGCAGCAGAATCATTTCAATCGACAGGTGTCTTCTGAGGTGTCTTGCCATTACAGCAGGAAACAAATGGTTCATACGATCTGCGCTTATTAGCTCACTTCCAGACGATATCGTGAATAAGACGGTGATCCAATTTGCGGACACGCCTGTTGGCTGCAGTACGTCTTCCTCGTCCCGTCCTCGTTTTCGATCTCTTATTGATTCTTCTCAATGCAGCGTGGCTGTTCGAATTGGCTGGTGGCGCCCTCGGTGACTTTGGAGATAATTGTATACCGAAGGCACAACGCCAGGCTTCCTTTACTGTTGCCGCGTTGCATCAGTGGGATATTGATTTCCAGGACCCGCGCTGTGTCCATTCTGCGGAGGAGGTAAGGATTATTTTCGTCTATTCCTTTTCTTATGCTCATGCGCCATGGCCGTCAGTGGATTGCAGAAACTTTGGCACCGGTGACGCTCGGTGGCCCCTTGCCAAGCGTATGCGTTTCCTCCGTCCCCACGTCAGATTTTTTTCATTCACATCGCCGACAGTTCTTAGGCAGACAGGAACCTCCCGGTCGTGTCATTGCCTGCTACGGCGAGAACTGGGCTAGGCTGTGTGAATTGAAAAAGAAGTATGACCCTGACAACTTCTTTAGGAACTCGTTCTGGCCACTTAATGCAGAGGGGGATATCATTGAACCTGAGGAGCACGAGCCTCAGCATATCCAGTTCTGATCTATTTAAGAATTTCTCGTTCCGTTATTTTAGCTAGGTATTTAGTTTAGTTACGCCTGCAGGATCTAGGGTGGGTCTGTTGTGCATGTTTGTGCACTGTACGTCTTTACGGGCTTTCGGATTACTTTCGGACCTACAGATATGGTGACTGGGTAGTATAGCTATGTAGCTTCTTGATTGGACCGGTCTCTCGACACAGGGTTTGGGCGTATATTATGTCGATGCTTTGCTTTGTTCTCTCTGGACAAGGAAATCACTATTGGTTCACTTCTCCCAACTTATGTAAATTGAGCATTTTATGTATAGGAAATACTTAATGAGAACTTGGACTGGTAAATGTTGTCCCCCCGCAGGCAATACTGCCGCAATGATTTAATCATAACAACTGTAACCGTAATTTAGTGCCCATGCGTGATTCATTGTAGTATTACCAAGTATTACCCGGTCATGGAAAAGTCATGCATAATGCACTGTGCGCCGTCATGCACACTATTGCGCTCCCCAGCCATCTACCATGCCTCCGCTGGTCTCCCGCGCCTCCTTCCTGTGCATTCTTCTATCCACTCTCTGCTGACCTATCATGTCCTCCCACACGCTCACGGCACCCAAAACCTCTTGCGGCTTCTCATACCCTTGCTCGCCCTTGCTTCGTGCAAGGGGATTTTATTTTTATTTCCTTCTTTCTTTACTAATAGAATCATGTAGTTTACTCGTCCTCACTTGGCATAACTTCCTCAGATGAGCGCGATAGTTTTTTTTGGTTAGTCTCACCATGCAATTCGATTACGGCTACGAGTCTGCTGTATCTTGTTACCTATATTCCTTCTGTCTAGTCTGTCTAATTTCTCCTTGTCAGTCACTATGTCTGCCACCGGTGTAGTACTAGAGTCACCCCTCAGGACTAGGGGAGACTAGTAAGTAGGAGTGCAGTGATCTGATGCCTCTTACGTCAAACGGGCACTGGAATGAACAGCACGCCTCGGGGAGTGGGCAAGGATGTCGATGAGGCCTCGAAAAGCGTTAGCATGACAGGTGTAATGCCAAAGGACATGATCTCTCATCCAAATGTCGAGTACTTACATGTGAATAGAGGTGCATTGGGTAAAATCTCACGGAAAGTGGATGGGCTTCGATCGATCTTGGTCTTGGCGGGCCGCGGCCTCGATCCGTTTTTGAACGCCCTCGTGGGTGGTGTGTAATGAGATCCCAGTAGTCGCATAACACACCCACGCAAGGTGTTCGAGTGCACGCGGACATTACTTACCTCGGTACTAAGATAGATAGAAACACGCATTGGTGTTAAATATAAGTCCAGGCCCTACATCAGTCTCAAGTTGAATCTTCTGGGGCTGGCGTGGTGGCCTTCCAAGTATGCTGTAGCCAAGCGCTGATAGCATCACCAAGGCAGTTTTACAAGCAGTTGCATGAGAGAAGAGTACAGAGTTGAGCTTGGGAACGATAACATTCAGCTCAAAGAAAGGTCTGCCTTCCTAGGTACTTATTACTACTTACCTTGTTAGAAGGAACCATCCTTCTGTAGGGCTGCTAAGGAGACTGTTGAGACTTACAAGCCGAGCGCATTGACTAATCATAAGAAGCGGGACTTCGCTGAGTATGTGAGATTCGTGAGATATATGATACACATATAAGCATATATACGTATGTAGGAAATTTCCGTGAGTCCATCTAGTAACTTGCTCTCCGGATCCTATTTTTACTCGTCTGCTTCTATGAAGCCTCGAGTCTAAGTACTAGCCTCGTGATCTCATAGACATGAGAGATTAGAACTTTTATGCTTGGTTTCTCGGCAGAAACACTAACCTTTCGGAGTCTTCACAGCGTCGTCACGCATCCATATTAGGCAGTGGGACTTCGTGCACCCCTTGTGTCTTCGTATCTCACTAGTGTTTTTGCTAAGGAAATTTTCGAGGATTTCATCAACCTATAACCCTACTCAATAACAGTTTATTTCGCCAGTTTATTTTTTTGAGCGAGCAGGACGAAATAAACTGGAATAAACTGTCAAGTAAGGTTTGACGTGCATTCGTGTTGCGGAGAGTGAAATAGGAGCCGCCGACCGACTTGCCGAGAGACTCTGCAAACGAACACTCATGGCGCGTGATAGCTCAGTGCATCGACAACGACGTCGACGTCAGCACCAACGGATCAGCGAGAGAGAATCTACTACGAAACTCTTGGAAACTCTCGCAGTTGTGCTTCTTGCTGAGGCGAAAGACTCCGGAGATCAGCTCATTGCTGTTTCACTTGCATTGGTGGCCTTGGACCGCCGTCGACAGGACAGACGAAATGGTAGGTGCGGTAGACGAGGACCATATGACCAACTGGTGGTGAGTAGGGATGAAATTGGTGGGAGGGTATAGTTTTGTGAGTGTTGGTGCTGATCTCGATGCTTGCGCGGAGAACGACGCATCCCAATTATCGGGTCAACAGCATAGTTGAGTTCAGCGGGTGCAGAGAGCTGATCGGAAAAATCGGGGGTTTGCAAAAGAGAGATGTGGTCCCATGAAGCAAGCTCGAGTGCGAGCTTCTGTTGTCCGTCTTCGCTCCAGTAGTCACTCATACTCGATGCTGGTATACTTTTGCTCCTCATCAATCGTACTTCGGCTGCTCGGCATCACAATCACTCTCAGTTCACTCCGACAACTTCGCGTATGAAATAAACTGGCAAATAAACTGCCACTCAATAACGCTGTCAGTTTATTTCCCACCGCTTATCGTTTGAGCAGCAAATAAACTGGTGAAATAAACTGTTATTGAGTAGGGTTTATGTAGGACCCGTCGATTTTACACTAAACCTGAATAATTGGAGTCGACAGATTTAAGTTAAATGTGAGAACCTTATTTCTGTCCTTCATCTTCGTAGTCTTCTCTGAGTCGTCGTTGAACGTTGAACGTTAACGCCGGGCGAGTCAAAGACATAAAATGAGAGCTGGTCTGTGATAGTATCGTGACGGGTTTGAAGAGCCAGGGCCCAGAAATGGTTGAACGGCATCGAGGGGTTGACGTCGCGATCGGTTCATCACGTTGGTGGACGGTCAATTTAACTTAGGTTGATTTGGTACTTCGACTCGACATTTCCACACTTATACTGCATCAAGTGGAGCGCCATTTTACATTGTGAAAACCTCAAAAAATCCTTAGCAAAAACACCCTACTTTCTCTAATTAACAACACCAACGTTGCTCTGGTAGCCTGGCTCTATTTATAATATCGCCCACCATAGAGTTTTGATGTTCGAGAACCGTTGATTCTGGAATGGCCGTTAAATTGGGCAAGGTTGCTGTGATGAAACAAGCGGTCCGAGTATTTCCGGGACTAGCGGACCTTCAACGTATGCTTATCACGCTTTGTCTGTGGCGTTGTTCTTTGCTTTTGATCTTGTCTATTCTACCACCGCAGCCTTGTAATCAGTAATCTATTCTACTTTCTCTTGCTGAATCGTCATCAGCGTTCCACCAACGAGCTCAGGGTGTTGAAAATTGCTCTCGCGGTGTCCGAGTCAAAGAGATTCATTTTCTGCTCGCAGCATCAAAGATTATCTGAGCGACACCGCAGTCTCCTCTGGATGGGCCACTATGCAGACGAATTTCTTCTATACTATGGAGCGACACGCAGGTGGAATGATTCACTCCATTTCCCCCCAAAAAATACATCAATTATTCTTCTTACATGACAAGAACTTTTGTGGTTCTTAGTACAATCGCTCTGCTCGCTGCCTGTGCCGAAGGCACACCGGGCTTGGACTAGTTCTAGAACTTCTAACTGACCTCCGAGTTGCTGCATGTTGTGTGGCTAGTAACTATGTAGTAGGGGTCCCCTGGCCGTTAGCGGTGAGCTTATTCACTTTACAGCACCCCTTATCTGCAACTGTGTTTCCTAGATTTCGGTGGTTTGCTTTCGACGAGAAGAGGGGCTGGTACAGTAGTGACAATGCGCTGCTGAATGCCCTTGTTTTTGTGCCCGATGGAGGTATGGTCGAGGAAGTTGGTTCACTCGCGCGACTCCACATTTTCGCGACTTTTGTTAGGACCTGATTAATATTCGAGCAACTGGGATCTGTTCTTGGCAGACTAAACCGCACCAGTGTCTTGGTTGAGTTGACTGTGCCAGTGGACGAAAAACTTGATGACATACGGACCGTTGTATGAGCAGCTGCGAAGTTCCGAGGGTTTATGTGTACAGAGGTGAAAAGTTCGATCTCAAGATTCCTAATTATCCTCTAGTCCGTTCAGCTGTCAAAATGTTCGATACATTCTGCCTCTATCCATCATTGTGATGGTCTTGTTCGTCGCCATCGCAATACACCACCTCCTTATCAAAAACAGGTCTGCTTCTCTGCACCAAGTGGTTCCGGATACATTTCCCTGACCCGTTGTAACTGCACCTGAGGATGCTCACACCGTTGTGTTGGAGTCGAACAACATCCTTGGACGTCGTGTGCGGACCACGATAACAGGCGGTAAGTTCCATCATGCGGAAGGTGCCACTTCCAGGTTCTTCCTCTGTCACAGTACCGTAACCACCACAACACTCCGACATCCATTGGAATTCTCCACTGTAAAGACGAAGTGGGTGACAGCGGGAGTCGAATACATGGGGCACGACGCAAGCCGAGGGGTAGTTGACTGCGAAGTCTTTATGGCATCGAACGCAGTGCTCGCGGTATATAGGCATGGTCCCAGTACTAGTTATCTTCTAACATATGCGTTAAAACTCACGGGGACCATCGTTATAGTGACTTACCAGAAACCTCGCGGGCTGTGTGCGAGAATAAGAATCTAAGGATGCGCTTGAGGCTTACGACACCTTGATGAGACTATATAGCATTTTCGTTGGAGAAGACACGGAGTATTGGCTACGCCCCTTCGTTCCCTTGGTGTGGCCACGTGCAGCAAAGGCACAGAAGACAGCTCGGAGTAGGTATCGAAGCTTTGAAGTGTGCCTGACACGAACGCTACCGTGCGGATGAAGAAGTGATCACGCTAATGGCAACCGCATTCATCTTCAGGTGCCCAATACGCCGGTCGTGAAAACCAACCAATAGCAGGGTAACCAGCACGAAGAACCAGCATCCCGAGCTTCACAGGTACAGCAGCAAGAAGTTGAAGATAATTAACTACTCATAAATGTACTATAGTTCGCTCCCGAAAGCACTTTTAGCCTCCAAACAATGATGCTTGACTGCCTATGTCAGTCCCATCATAACAGCCGTTGATACCATCTCTGGAAATACGGGCGTTGCGGGCTACGCGTGTAAAAGATGTGGGAAGAGTAAAAGTAGTACTTTACCCATGAAGGAGAATCCTTACGAGTTGACCACCTAGATTGACGAATACCTGCCGTCAACATTTAGCTGATAACGGTTCACGTTTCGCGCACGGAAACATGAATAAAGATCCGTCGTATCAAATTCTCAGACGACCTTCTGCAGGTCCCCGGGAAGGTCGGAATGTAAGACGACACGATCGTGAGGCCACGCTGTATCAATGGTAGTATCAATATTAATATTAATGGAGTGGTTCAATGGAGTAGTGGGCTTACCTGTTAAACTGTTGGACATAGCCCATTTGTGACTTACAGATAGTACACGCTAAACAACTTACTACCTAGCAAGGTGCATTCCTCAGTGGATCTGCAGACATTAATCGTAATCATTACCCTGCAAATACTAGTTCTGAATCTTACACTCTTCGGAGGCTAGCTTTAGATCCTAATACAAACAAACAACGACGAGTTTGGTCATGCCATTATCACGCTCTACTATCTAGTGATACTGCCTAATATCTAACTCAAATCTGACTGGACGAATACTTACTGACAGCCGTTCAAAACATTGAGCAGAGCAGATCTACTACCTCACTTTCACCAGATTCTAAGCTAGCTGTTGCACCGGCTTTCAAAGAAGTCGGTGATGCTGCTATCCTCAATATTGCTACTTGCATACAGTGCGCTATCTGATCCCTCCGTCTCTATCCGAAGATGAGAGGTGAACGAGTTTAAGTTCCTTTACGACTGTTAACTTTCCTATAGAGACATGTCTAAATTTTGAGGCACATCTAAAGTATCATAACGTTTCGGTAAATTGGAGTCTTGGAGAGTTTTTATGAACTAAAGGGAGTCAACTATTTCCTCCCAACTTCCTAACTCCGTAGCTCCAGGAAGTTCTATTCCGGTGGGTGGTTATCACTCTCGTACCCAGGACACATTTTCACTCAATGCAGTGAATGCATGGTATTTATTGCCTCCATTTCCCCTTGAAGCTGACCGTTACATCTAAGCATGCGCTTGAACCGGTGGAAGGGGCCCCAAAAGACACTGACTTTGGGCATCTGCTCGAGAAGCACTATGTAATTCACTAAATGTAGGCAAGAGGCTTACATGGCACTATCAATTTATCCCGGCATCTTTGCGACGACAGCTTCGAGGAGCAGAGTCATGTGCTTCCGCACGCCGCCGAGATATCGTCCCCACCTACTTGGAATAGACGTAACTTCCATACCATGCCCACATCAACTGTTAACGCATTCGCATAGAATGGGGGTTTATCGAGACGCTTCCGATCACCAGAACATTATTCCCGAAGTGAAGTCCTTCACAGAAGACTTAAAACTCGGGAAAATAGAATGGTGAGGCACTCGAAGGATTTGCATACGCACATTGATGATCCAAAGCGGGGTCTACTACTTACTCGCGATATCCGTTTTCAGGATGCTTCGCGCGAGTTCACCATAACTTTACTGCCAACCAAAGGATCGCTTAACGATGTCAAACTGATACAGTCACCTCGGGTGAAGCGGAGGCAGATTTTATGTCCATTGGGTGAAGAAGGAGAAAGGGCACCGTCTACTAGGCACGTTTTCGGAGTCCGCGAAAGGCAAATACATCATTGATACTTACTCGCCACACGTTCCTGAAGTGGAAAAAGATCGACGAAGAGAAGAAGGGCTTAGTTGCCGAGTGAAGCGCCGCCGCCCACGAAGGGGATCGGGAAGGAAGTAAATGAGGGTAATTGTACCTATTGCCGTTCCTGGGCGTGATCGCGCCAAACTTCCGTCTCATGCCTTTTGGCTTTATAGTTCCTGCTTCACAAGACTGCCCCTTCCGCGTGCGCTTGCTACCCTATTTAATTTTTGATACAAAATAGTGACGAAATTCCAGCGGAAAATCCCGCTCTGTTCAAATCAGGACTGTTGCCAGGCTCTTGAAGGACCATGGTGTTTTGTACATAGCCGACAAGTATGGAAGTACACTCGATCTCATGATTGTCGTGATGCTCCTGCTTCAGGAACAACCCTTGGGCAAGATCGTGAATCATTATGCGAAGACGTGGTGTTGCCAAAATGGACACGCTCCTCGTCCGCCGTTCGTCCTCGTGTTGAGTTGAGTTGGGACCTCGATCGACCGCATGCGACAATCCATCATAATGCGGCAATAGAGTTTTTCCGTGGGGACACCGGCCAATGGCATGAAGACGTCATGACTCAGACGGCAGTTCGTCCGTACTTCTGAGGAGTTTACCAATCAAGAGCCAGACAAAGTGCAGAGATGGAATTGTCCGTCGAGAAAGCAGCTGCCGACTTCGTCAGCATCCTTTGTCTTCGACAACCAAGTTCAGAAGAGACCGAGCAGAACGTGCGCGAGCCCCCACTACGCACCTCAGACAAAGAATAAGCATCGACCGTATGTATTAGTTCACTGAAGCCTGAGAGAACAAGTATGTGACAGTAACCCACGGAAGGTTGTTCTATTCTGTCTGGGGGTGATATTGCCTGACAGAATGTTGGGGAGCTGGGTGAAGGAAACCCACTGTTTGAATGATCGCATAATTCATCTTAGCACTCGCGCTAACGAGCATAGACACCGTGGATTTCAGATGCATAAAATTCTTATCAGAATGGAGTGGGCAGGTTGAGTTTGATAATCATGTTCTAAGTGATGCCTAGCAAGTCGTGAACCAGCATGAAAGGCTTCAAGGAGCCCGTTGTGTGGCAAGTAGAAAGTTGACCTTGATTTCGAGCATCGTGAGCTCCCGTCCAAGGAGCGCCTATACAAAAAGATTCATGGCCTGCCATGAAAAAGAATCCGACCTGCCTGGCTCGAACAGGCGACCTCAAGATGACATTATCCAATTACAGTCTCGCGCTCTTCCAACTGAGCTAAGGTCGGATGACTATTTACTTTATTTACTCTATTTAACGATGTTTCATTGTGGCATTTTAGACTTGGACACGACTACTTCATTTCGTCTACTTATGTGACTAGGCCCGAAGTTTTAGTCTGAAGAGTGTCTATGGCCTTCATTCCGAGGCGTCATCTTCTGACGAAGGTATTTCTTGCATTGACTCTCATATTGGGTGCGAAACTCGTAGTTTAGCCCGCGCTCTTCGTCATCATCGGATTTCCAATCCTATAACGTCTTTGAGCGCGTTACGGGTGTAGACAAGATTCTAAATGTCCGACAGTACAAATTCCTGCAGGCGAGAATGGGGAGAGACGCCGGGAGGGACATTTTTGATGATGTCATAGCCAACGGGGTCACTGATTACTGGAATCGCTTTCAAGCGCCATTGTGAGTTATTCTCCAAGTCTCCCATGATATCTGACGCGATGCCCTACTAGAATATTGGGACAGGACACTGCTCACGCAGATCGTCAGAGCGTTCTGACTGCTGTTGAGAGCCTACTATCTCTTAATGGCTGGGTGGCTGCATATTGTCCGACACTGGCTCGTCCGTTCGGACAAAACAAGAATGTCGATGAAGATGCGTATGATGACCTCGCCAAAGACGACAGGCTCTATTTCGTAGCAATGGCAATTCACTCAGCCGACCATTTTCTAGTCGATCAACTAGCTGTCATCGTCCAACTGGCTAAGCGCCTCGGTACTTCCAATATCTTTGTGTCCATGTTGGACTATGATTCTACAGATTCTACCGCCACTCTCACCGACCTTTGTGAAGCCGTGCTTACCCTTTTGGGTATATCTTTCCGAATCCGACGCGTCCCTGGGATGACAGAGGACTACAATCGCGGCCTATTACCCTCTGGAAGAAGCCTACATGCGCAATCTCGCACTGGAGCCTCTTCTTGAGCTCCACCAGAAGCGTGATATCGAGTTTTATAGGGTCATTTGGCTGAAGGGATTCACATGTCCCAATGACATCCTCGAGACACTGCGTGTCAGCATTGCGAACGAGGCTGCCATGGTGTGTGGGATGGACTGGGCAGAATCCAATGGGCAGTTCATATTTTCTGACAGGTTAGTTTTCCATTTTTTTTCTGTAATAATTTGCGCGACATTATCTAACACTTTTTTGAGGTGGCGGACGCGAGACTATTCATGGCGACCAGTTCAGGCAATCCACATCCTCATCGAAACCAGACGCAGTCCCTCCTCGAGACGAGAGCGGTGCTGCCCGATACATCCAACACCTTCCCTTCCAAGTATTCTGCTGCGAAGCAGGTACCCACATCGTTGATCCATCTCAGTCCTACTACAAAGGGCTCAAGTACCGCTGCGGTACTGACTTTCACAACGCATCCTTATCATCAGACAGCATCCCTCCACGTGCTCCCGACGCGGCATGCCTGGACAGCAGCCAGGCCTGGTTCTGCAGAGACCTGTGGATCAGTAAAGCGCTGAGTGACTTCCACGAGGACGAGCTCTCGCCTACGCCTGAACGCCAGACGCTTTCCCGCAGGCAACTCGATGATGAGGAGCAGGATGCAGACGTGAACGCTGGCTCTGATTATGATGCCATGCCGGACTCTGATGTCCCCATTGATGAGCTCCCTCCAGTGCCACTGTCCGTGCCTAATTCTGCGTACACTCCCGCGCGCATCCTGGTGAACCCCCGCTGTGTAACAACGTATGCTGGCGTGAGCCATACCCAGCTTGCGCTTGATCTTTTTGGCAGTGGAGATGATGATGAATCTCAGATCAATGCTACAAAATATGTATTAGAGGACTGGGACGGCGCTCCAGAGAGCTTCGTGTGTCAGGAACAAAGGTAAGTGCTCCGTTCGTTTCTTTGTCACTTTTCTGATACTGCCACAGTCAAACCGGAGGAAGAAAAGCAGCCAAAACGCAGCGCTTGCTTGGATTCGCTATTCATGACGAATTACGATGAGCCTCAACTGCACGATCTGTATATATATCTACCAGCTTTGTTTTCTTGCAGTAGGCAGTCTAGATGATATTATGACACTGACAGCACCTTCACGCGGACTATTTCGTTCTTCTTTTCTTGCCGAAGCCTTTGAATGTGACTCCATCATCAGAATCATCATCAGCAACCACACGCCTGCGTTTACTGGCTCGAGCACGGGCAGGCGTAGAAGGCTCTGGCAGGTTGTTCCTGGAAAGATTCAAGGCCTGCGTCGTGTTTGGCGTCGTCATCATCAGAAGCCAAGAACAACTTCTCCATCTCCTTTATACGAGCTCGCTTGCGAACGGGTTGTCTGACGGTTTCAAGAGTTTGTGATTCGGTGCCTTCCTCCTCAGAGTCGATAGCCAGTGCACGACGCTTGCCTTTGCTTTGTTGAATCCCATTTTCGGTTGCCTGCGAGTCCTTGGTGTAGTCTTTGGCTGAAACGGCGTCTTTCCAGTAACCTGCGAAACGATGAGCTCGCTCGTTCCAAGGAACAAGTGAAGCACCCACCTGCACCCATGCCATAGTCATTCTCCTCTTCAGCCACGAGTTCGATCGGTGCACGAGAAAATCCATTCAATTTCTACCCTGCGTCAACAAGGTCTTCAAGGGCGCTAATACACTCGACACTTACCTTCTTAAATTTCTTGAAGTTCGGTCGGTTCATGAAAGCAGAGTCATTCGTAACCACCTCGCGACGGCTGTTCGAGTTCTTGAACACATCCAGATCCATGACGACCATAAAGTTCCCTCTGACGTTCGGGATGTCAAAGTCCCCCATCACCGCCCATGCCTGGTCCTCGCGCTGCAGATCCGGCTTCGAAATCCGCAACTTATTGAACTCGCGGTCAAATCCGTCCTCGGTCTTCTTCCCGCGCTTCGTCGAAGCAACAGCAGTGAGGAAAGCCTCGTCCTTATCGACCGTGTGCTTGCCGCCATCAGTGGCTTTCTTGGACTTTGTCGTGGTCCGAGGTGGTTCTGACGGCTGGCGGGACGGAGGTGCCTTTGACTTCGCCCTAGGTTGTGTGGCTGGCATCTGGGACGACGGCCCTGCATCCTCCACCACCGGGGGCACCCCCTCGAGTGCGACGGACTTGGCGCGCTGCGATGGCCCGCTCAAGCTCTCTTCTTCCTCTGCTACAACCGGTAATCGCTTTGGTGGCGCTAAGGCAGGAGATCGCCCTGTTTGTGTGACGCTCTCATTTTGGGTACCCACCGCACTATCGTAGGCTGCATCAAAAGCCTGCGAGCCTTCGACAAGCATCTTGGCTGGGTCGCTCGCCTCAAACAAAGCTTTGAACTTCTTGTGCGGGGCTTCTTCCTCGACTACATCGTCGATGACCACAACAGGGGCCTCGATCTCGGGAGGCGCAGGGAGTCCCGGCAATCCGAATCGGCGCTTCAAGCGCGGGCGACCGCCCGACGGTGGTTTCTAAACGGTCTATTAGGATTACATCAATAAGGAACAGACCAGACGAACCTTGGGTTCACTGTCAACGTCTGACTCGAGCTTGAAGAAGTTCATCAGGGATCCTTCTTCTGCCTCACCTGGCATTACTAGAGGCAATCGTCGCACCAGAGGCTGTGGTTTCTCAGCGCAGCTTCTATCTACATCCAGGCACGGGTACATACCTTTCGCTTCGGCTGCGTTGGTGGAGGCTCGGGAACCGCGGGAGGTGAAGGTGAACGCATACCGACATCCTGCCTTTGGCTTCCAGGGGAAGCTGCGCGTTGGACTTGATCTACGGAGATGTGTTTGTTTGAGCCTGTTGGGAAAGATGGTTCGTCGGGGTGTGTATTGGGAACAAAAGAAGGCAAAGGAGAAGAGTCACTTGGCGATTCTGCGTGAATTGAGAAGGTCTTAGTAACATACAAAGTCTGAAGAGAAGTATAAATGGATAACCTTGTGAACCGCTTGCGGAGGATGCGATGCGAGACGCGTCGACGTGGATGACAGCCTCGAGAACTGTCTCCAGCTGAACGACATGCGCGCTCAGGCTACGAAGGAAGTTTATCAGTGGAGTCTTTCAGGCGTTTCATATCACCAACCTTTCAGCATCTGCAACCATTTCTTTCCACTTCTCCTCTTCGACAGCCCTCTGTATTACACTATCCTTCGCCAGTACGACAAGCCCCTTGCCCGCACCTCTTAGCTCTTCTACTTTCCTCTTTCCCTTAGCAATTACCTGCCTCCACTTCCCGAGCCCCGCCTTCAGATTGAATCCTTCATATTCTGCGCCACCCCTCACGACTAGCTCCCTCAGCTCTGGGTCAACTTCCCCGTCCTCCGCGGGAAGAATGAAGCGGAAGCCTCTCAGTAGGTTCAACCTCTCTTCGTTGGGCTCCCAGTGCTTGAAGCTCTTAAGCACAGGAGGGAGAGCGGGTCCAAAAGCGGGACGGTACTTGCTCTCAAGGGGCGGGACGAAAGACTTTTCGAGAACAGTCAAACCGAAAGAGTCGTTTTCTACAGGAGTACTGCCAAGTCGTATAAGATCTTGCAACCACTCGGGCTTGACAAGTTGAGCAGCGCAGAGCAGAGAGGTCATGACTGGGGTTGTCACTTCATACTTTGATGTGAGGTGATGTGTGAGAAGCTCGTGCGTCGAAGCAAGTGTGTTGATACCTGTATACGGTATCAGCAGGCATACTTGAATTGGGGACGACACGAACCGATTGAAGCGCAGTCTTCAGAAGAAAATGAGGGCATGCCTCTGACTGGTGGGACAAAACATGCTATTCGTTGCCATCGCACTCTGGACATTGTTAGACTCTACGAGAACCAGAAAATGTCGAGTCGCCTACTCCAGCACAATACCGGCAAGGACTGTAATGTGGTCTCCATCCTCGAGAGTGACAGAGGCTGACGGATTGCAGGTCACGTCGTCGTCTCCTTGTCGTTTGACCATGAGGCTCTTGTCCTTGTTATTGACTACCTCCAGTGTGGGAATGTACGATGGATCGACCTATGGAAGTAGTGAGTTGGTCTTCGTATTGAAATGTGGCTCATACCATATCATCCGGCGTATACTGGGCCCACTCTGAACTCACAAGCATCACGAGAAACCTTTTTGTTATTCACTACCAGCGGTCGATCTTTACGACCGAGCCCATACTTTTTTCCAGGCTTGAGTAGCTTTGTTTCTTTTAATTACGAGTGAGTGATAAGGAGAAGAATGAACAGCGGTCAAGAGACGGACTGGTTGTTGTCGTATCCCCCTGTTCAACGCAATCGAATGGACCGGTGATGAGCCACATGATAGTCTGTTATAAGAAAAATAATAAAGTTGAGATTATTTTTATAAGAACAATGAAACGGTGCTGCATAAACGAGCCACGGGAGCTGGTCGTTGTCGACGTCGACGAGAAAGAGCAGTCGCGCAAACGCGCCGAATTGCATGTGACACGGTCACGTGGTTACTGACTTGTAACTTCTGTCCGCCTTCTGTCCACCGCGTGTTTCAGACATTAAACCGAAGTTAAACCATTATGCTAGCACTAACACGTCACTCGACCGCCAAGAGCTTGTTGAGTTCCCCGTCTTTGGTTCCCTTTCATATAATACGGAAATAAGTAGCTGACAGTTTCTATCATCAAGTAAACCCCCAAAATAATCCGTCTTCATCGAGTTGAATTCATGTTGCCAACTAGCCTGAAAGTCGTCCTGTCCCTCTTGCTCGTCTTCGGATCCCCAGTTTTTTCGACTCCCATCAACGCCAACAAAATCTCTCTTAGTCTTGCCGCTAAATTCAAAGCAGCTGGTGCAACAAACATCGCTGCAGCCGACAGAGCGCGCGCTGGGGCGCTGCGTCAGGCTGCAACAATTGGCAAACGCGACGCGAATGCATCCATCACCAACGTTCCAGCCATAGGCTACACCATACAGGCTGGTATCGGTAATCCAGTGAAGCATTGTACGTCATTCTAGTAAAGACGCACCACCCGCGACTCATGAGTTCACTACACCAGATCAACTTCTTGTTGATACTGCAAGTGGTAATACGTGGATTGGGGTAGACCAAAGCTATACCAAAACCAAAACCAGTACTGCGACTGGAAACACGGTCGTATGTACCTACTCCTTTGTACTATCATTTGATGTTCATGTTTCATTCCAAGTCTGTCTCCTATGGAACCGGCAATTTCTCTGGGGAAGAGTACCTAGACACTGTCACGCTGGGCCCATTGAGCATTGCTCAACAATCGATTGGGGTGGCCAGCAAATCCGCGGGCTTTCAAGGTGTTGATGGCGTCCTTGGCATTGGTCCCGTGGGTCTGACAAAGGGCACGGTCTCCAACATGGACACTGTTCCCACTATCACGCACAACCTCTTCACCCAAGAATCCACAAGTTCTGAGATCCTTGGTGTCTATTTTGTTCCTGCATCGGAATACGATGCAACTGGCACGCTCACTTTTGGCGGCTGGAATAGCTCCTTAATCACAAGCGACATCACATATACCCCCATCACCAGTTCCTCGCCTGCTAGTACTTACTGGGGAATCGATCAGTCCATTGATTACGGCGATTCAAACCTCTTGTCTTCGGTGCCAGGGATTGTCGACACTGGCACCGTACTCATTCTAATTGCATCAGGTAAACTCGCATGATACGCACCAAGGCATACATGCTGAACCCCTACCAGAGGCCTTCAAAGCTTACCAATCTGCCACTGGTGCTACCTTGGATGACACCACAGGGATGCTCAAGATCACTTCGGACCAGTACAGCAACCTCAAACCCCTCATATTTACCATCGGAGGGACCACATTCACACTCACTCCTAACGCACAAATCTGGCCTCGCTCCATGAATAGCGTCATTCACGGCGACAGTGACAGCATCTACCTCATCGTCGCTGATATTGGCAGCAAAAGCGACTCTACCTTCGATTTTATCAACGGATACACATTCCTGTAAGTGTCCCTATTGTTTCGGACCATTGCACAGCTAATCGAAGTGTTTGTGCTCCTAGTGAACGTTTCTACAGCATCTTCGATACCACGAATCAGCGGGTCGGATTTGCTACGACAGCTTATACTGAGTCGACTTTGAACTGAGTCCATGGTGCGATTGAGTGTATATTGCTGACTTATTCTGCGGGCTGGATCCGCTCGAATGATAATTTTACGGACAGTGTAACGCATCATCGTGAATACAATCAACGCATGACATAAGCAGTGTTATTGTTCGGTAGCATAAAAGGGGCAGAGCTCATCGGTAGGAGATGCCCATCTAAACCATAATGTATACGGGCATCGTGACCAATATGATGAGTCTTCACCGGCACCTGTCGATAGTGTTGCCGCGAATTGAACCGAATCGAAACGAGGTGGGAGTTCGTTCCAGGTTCGATGGCCGAGGTGGAACGAACCGAAGTGTAACGAATACGGCTCGAAGCTCCAGCCAATGAGAATTGTTTGTAAAGTGAAGTAGATATGAAGTGGCTATGTTTCATTCTACGTTATCGTCGTCGACATTTTGTAATAGATCAGCAAGCTCATCGAACTTCCCCGTAACTATCAATTCCTCTGCAGCCCTTCGTGTCACAGGCCCCGAAATCTTGTAGTCATCCTCTTTTGCAATCGAATCACTAGTGAAACATAATATCTCCTGTCTGTAAGAAAATTTGAGAATCTGGAGTGCTTCCATTACTCGTGGTGAGAGTCTGCTTCGACTGAGTGTGGCAGGTTTCTTTGCTGGATGAAAATATACGTACACACGGCACAGAGGATGCCTGAGCTGGCAGGACATCCATAGCAACGCAGAAAGTAGTGGATAGACTTTTTCCATGCGCTGAAATTGACTTTAGTGCCTTCCTTATGTGAAGGAAAAGTCGAGCTCACCTCCCAGAAGCGAACGAGATCAGTCACACGCTCGCCTGCATTGAACGTGACTGGTTCACGCTCATAACGCTCAAGCTCACGCAGGGCATCTTTTCGGTCCTCTTCGAGTGCCTTAGCATGCTGTGCGTTCTTGTGTTTCTTCGCGCGGGATTTCGGTCCTGTCGCAGCCGCGTTTTTGCGTTTTCTCGTAGTAGTTGGAGCGATATTATTGACAGCCGTAGGAGTGATGTCGGCAAATGGATTTGACCCTGCAAAGCTTGCTGCAGCTGGTGAATAAGGGGCTTGCACGAAGTGATGCATGTTTGCCAATGCATTTGCGACAGGCAATGGATGTGGGAGATGCGGAGATGCAGAAGTGTTGTTCGGGAGCCCACATGGTGTGTGAGGGTAAAATGGTGGACGCGCATGAGCGGCGGACCATGCCAGACTTGTATAGCCTGGGTGAGGGTGATAATGCTGTTGCTGAGATGCCGAAGGGATGGCAGAAGCTGCAGAACTGTTCCACTGGTGAAAACTCATGTTTTGGGAATATAATACTAAACTCACAGTACGACGCACCAATTTATATGACGACCTATACATTCGTCGCCTGAATTAACCACGCTTGAGGATTGCTCAACATTTGTATTGTGCAGCATTGCAGGCGCCTGTCCTCCGGCGCTACAGCAGTACTACGGTCCGACGAAAATACGTATAATGATGTTCTACACCAAAAGGTTCGAGGACGGACAACGGAGGGGCAGAGTACATTGAGGAAATGCTAGAGATGTGAGGTTGCTGGAGTACTACTCTAACGAATCACCAAGTCACAGGCCAGATTTAGCATTTCATTTGGCAGTTCGTTCCTAATTCGATGCTTATCTAAACGAGGCGTAAACGAATCGAGTTGTATCGAACTGCCTCAATTTCGAACCGAACCGAAGTTACCTCGAGGTCACCTTGGTTCGACGGCAACACTACCTGTCGATCGTTGATTAGGACGAGTCTGGTAAGTCGCCGTGGACCATGGATATTGCCCTAATTTGGACTGGAAAGCCCCTGTCACCCTTGCCCACCTGTCCCTTTCAACGGCTGCACAATGTACTAGTGTCATCATATCGACTCATCCTCGCATATTTGAATCATCGTTCCTCTTGAATCCGCTCTGAGGGGGGGAAACAAGTACTTCAGATCTGACGATCAATGTCCCCTTGCCTGGTTCCAGATTGGTCGCATAGCTGGGGGTGTTGACCACAGCCCTCTGCAAGTCCATCCGTTCTAGTCATGTTCTGATTGACTGCCCATGCTCACGTCACCCATCCAAAGCCCGCCCGCAGACAAAATCAGTGCCCACTGTTGATGATTGGTTTCATTTCTGAGTCGATTCAACATATCGTTGTGCTCAACTTATTGATCGGTAGTCCCAAAAGATCTGTACCTGCACACACTTTCAATACATATATCATGCACACATCTTCACTCAATCGTAAGATAATACTTCCCCCCGTCCGACTCCAGGTTATATACCGCCCCTAGTATGGATGACTTCTGTTTATTCCTCGGCGGTGTATTATCAAGCGCATCACCACAAACATCGAACATCCGATAAGACAGATAAACTTATTACAGCAGACAACATTTCAGTGCAGGGAAGTGCAGCAACAATTGAGGCTACTCACCCCACTGAAGAGTGACGGTATAAACCACTGATAATGAGAAGAAAGCAAAGCACCTGATATTGGTCCGCCTGAAAACATTGGTTTAAGTTTAATGACAAATCAAGACCGAAAAGCAACCACCCACCGAGTAGTCCACCGATGGCTGACCATTTGGACTCCGTCATGAGGTCCAAAGGAGATATGTATGACACACACCAATGAAAGCAAAACACAAGCCCATTCGCGCCCTGCACAGGAGGGTCAACATTATCCACAACAGCATGTCTGTGAAAGAAGCTAACCCTAGCTCAGACAAGTTGGGGGTCAACACAGTCATCAACGGGACTAACAGCGCAGTGACTTGGATAGTTAGTGTCCTGGAATTACACTAGCCACGGTGTGAAACATACAGACTGCCAGAAAAGTAGCCATATGTAATCCCAATCGCAATCACACTGGCTATGTCACTTAGAGCTATCATGGACATGATGATCGCACTGCATGCGACATTGGATACGATCATCAAGTTTAACACGCCCGTATACGCTGCAATTATTCCTGCTGTGGAGCGTCCGATGAAACAGGCAACATTCGTGATCACAAGCTAAACGAATTGAGATTCTTCGACGAAGAGAACAGTCTCGGACGTACAGAGTAGAAGGAGAAGTCGACATTAATACCATGTTGGACAGAATCCAGTTGTAAGTAAAATATTGGGAAGTAAAATCCAATCTGACAAAGCATTGACCTATGCACAATCAACTCTGAAGTCAATTATGTGCATGTCAGAGACAACGTACCCAGCGGTCATGAGGATGAGAAGAACCTCACGAGAGCATTTTCTTGCCACTGCGCTATACCTGGCGGATGGTGTCGGCAGTGCTCTCGTTCGCATGGATAAGCAGGCGATCAATAACAGAGCACTGACAAAACCTGTACTGGCGCGAACGCCTTTCACAAAGCCAACAGTGCCATTCAAAAGGTGATCGATCATGATTGGATGAATAATGGCACCAAGTGGTGTACCGGACGTGACGAGAGACATCACCAATGTACGTCTTTTGGAGAAGTGCTGAGAGATGAGCGCTACACTTGGAGCGTACGTCAGGCCCATCCCGATCCCAGCAAGAACACCCTGGACCATAAAAACCTGGTCACAGCATATAAGTAGCCCCGTCAGCGAGATCGCCAGAGCTGCTTACCAAGTAGAACTGACCAGGTTTGGCAAGGGATAATGTGAATAAAGACAGCGATTGGAGCGACGACCCCACCATCATCAATCGATAGCTATGGGAAAGTAGTGAAAACAACTGACTATGAACATATGGCAACTTACAACCACCCTCTGTCATACAGTGGACCTGAGATCAAGGTGATATTGACTGTGAGGAATGAGGTCAATGCACCGATCCATCTGACGTTGACTGAGACTACAAACTGCGGAGAATAAGCACATTCACTTATGATATGGCAGACGGTGTTTGGTTAGTTAAATAAATCTGTGTGTAAAAATCTTCCAGATTCATTTATTAACTTTGGATACAACAAATCATGCGACTGCTGCGTACCTTGATAGACTCCAAAATATGATATGTACCTGTTATGTTGCTGTCAACTGACAATGACATGCCTTGAACAAACAGAGCTAGAACCAACCCGAAGCCACAAAACTGCATAAGGAAACTGAGCTCGTTGTGAATATGAGATATGCAGCTTGCGGGTATAATTTGAGAAACAACTTACCACCCGAAAGCAGTGACCCATGCCCGAAACCCGCCATCTGGAGGGTCAGATTCTGAAAAATGTGTTGGGGGATTAGATGACTGTTTGCATCCCAGCTCTTCTAGGTCATTGTTTGCCATGAACACATTGTGAACACTGGACTCTGCCATAGACATCAATGTATGGTGGGTGAGTAAAATGTTATGCAACAGGAAATACTAGGATTGTGGATTATAAGGCCAGTATTGATCTTGACTCTGAAGATTGGTGTGCAACCTCGAGTACTAACATAAAGAAGTCACCTGCAGCTGGTAGGAGGTATTTACACCAATGGAAGAGCGTTAGCAATTATATCTCAATGCATGCGTAGAAGAATCCAGGAAGACCCGCAAAATGCCTGACATGGCATGATAGAAGAGCGCTCTTGTAGCCTATAGCCTATAAGACTATCAAGTTCTTTCAGAAACAATTTCAAATACAGTACCATGATGTGAGTCCACAAAGACGACTGCTAAGGCTTGGCTTGTCTAGGACTACTGAATAGTTACGGTTGATTCGTGCGGTCTCTTTGATGAGCCGTGGTGAGCTTCGCCTGGTCAAATTCTCTGCGGTTTCCTGCAAATGCCTGTCCGAGTCTGCCTTCCCCTTGGAGGTCTTTGTCAGAGAGAAATGTCTAATTGTTTCAAATCTCTGCGAAGGACTACACTTACCAGGTGGCCAGTGGGTTCAGCGAGTCATGTGGAATTAGGGTTCTGCACGGGTAACACCGCGGGTCGGAAAGCTGACACCGTACCTGTACCTGCCAACACCGTACCCGTGATGGGTGCAGGTACACACCGACCCGTCAACACCGCGGTGTCTCTGAACACCGCGGGTGCATTAGCAAGAAGAGTGTATTAATGACAACCAAATAAATACTACTACTTTTCCTCGTCATCCTCCTCAGCCTCGACTTCGTTTCGCTTCTGTTTTTGACTCTTTACAGAGGCTAGAAGGTCATCCATCTCCAGAAGATCACTTCTGCCCCAGGCTCCGAGGCAGAGAAAAGCACCAATTGTTGATGGTGTGAGCCAGTTGCAAGTAAAATGAAGGAGCTGCCGGCCCTGCGAGAAGACACATTCAACTGCTTGATGTCGCTGAGTGAGATAATAAGTACTGATTAATTGAAAGAGGATTTGAGGGTGGCATACCTGGGATGGAGAGATAGTCTAATGCCATCCGATGCAGCGTTGGATAAGTATGGCAGTTGTTTTGCCCAGATTTCTCGTAAACTCTTCACGAACAAGCTGCTCGGCAGTATTGATCCACTCTTTCTCCCAGGATTGCTCACGGAAGTACTCGAGCTTCAGGCCAGGATGTAGGTAAAGCTGTCTTAGGACCCTGGCTGCTCCCTATAGTGTATGTCCACAAATTTTCAAAATTTTCCTTGTGAGGCGCACCACTTTTGAGGCTTGTGGGGTGCACTTCGGACATACTTGGTTCCCAAAACATACCAAAAAAGGAAATTTTCCGCAAAACATTGCGTGCTACTGGATTCTAGCTATGTATGGCCACAGTTCTGCTTCTTGCGAGGCCGTATGGTGAACTGCGATGCAATAATCTTGCGCACTGTCACCATACCAGCTGTTTCCCATCTATAGAGAAAGATAAATATATGTTTTACAGCATTTTGTGGAATAAAAACTTGCCGTTCAAAAGCCCACGGTTTCAGAGCGTGATATCAGCCATCTGAGATGCTCAGCGCAGATGTTCCGAGATTGTAGACAAGTTCTTTGATACTGGCAAGTGTCTATAAATGCCCTGTGGACTTGCTGTAGTGCCAAAATGAGTTTTCACTTTCTTCAGGGTGCGTCTTAGAAGTTCGAGAATTTAAATCAATACAAGCAAGCAGGAAAAATGCACCACTTACCTGAATGAAAACCTGTAATCCTAAGTTTGTCAATGAGGGAACATCTTTTGTGCCGGCAAAGAGAACACTCTCATGTCGAGTGCCTTTACCACTACCATTCTTCTTGTATATACAAACCACTTGGCCAATATAGTGGCCCTGTGAGCGTTGCATGACAACGTACGACCTGATTACTAGCGGTGATATGTCACTGACATTTTGCGTCGCGATTCCAGGAACTGAAGAGTGAAAAATCATGTTTAGTGATTGTGACTCGGAGCAATCAAGTGCGACACATACGATGATCTTCAAGGCGTGGCACAGCTGCAATTAGCTGCTTTGCAATTGCCCAGTTCCCAATACTAACAGAAGAACTTCCAGCGCCATCATCACGGGTGGGATTCGCCTTGGTGGCCGTTCAACATTCAACATGCGAGTAGCCACCCTGTTGTTTGTGCATGAGGAGCTGCAGGTCATCATTTGTGTGAATTGAATGCCGAAGGACATGTTGGATTTCATTCGGACAAGCCACACCTGCAAACTCATAAGTCAAAAATGTCTCTGAATCTATCACGCCAAAAAACACACCATTACCATCCGACATGTCAAGGCCAGCAGCCAAGTCGAGCTGCATTGTGACTCTGGCCAGGTTTTTTGGCTCGTAGTGGGAGTATTTGGCCTTCCGCTCGAATGATTTTTTGGAGAGAATACCCAAGTTTCGGTCATGAGATTTGCGCAAGCGGACCACAGCAGTGACATCTAGTGTGTGATTGAGAGTTGTGATGGGAGTAACATTGGCATGCTCGCTCGGTTGGTTTGAAGGAGGTGCTGGGTTAAGAAGGTTGACAATGCTTGGAACAATAGCATGTGGCTTCCAGGATATCTGCTCTTCGACTTCTTCGGCATCCTCAAGGTCAGCTGTGAGTGCAGACATGCAAGACATATGGTGCAAGACTTTTGCGTACTGAACACTATCTGGGATTGATGGGTCACATAAGTCACGAGCGTCACTTTCAGCTTGCACAGCAGCTAGACGGAGTGGTGCAGCATTCTCCAAATCATCGTCGTCATCCTCACCATCCTCACTGCCACTCTCATCCTCGCATCTGGCTTTCCGCTTCCCAGCCTTCTTGAGTCGTTTAGTCTCAGTTCAACTGGCTGTGAACACTAGTGGTAGTGGAGATATGTTTGAGACACCAAGTGCCTACCAGATGGGTTAGTATTAGCTACAGTGCACTTGGTACCCTACTCACATCGTTGAAAATAGCCACTACATCCTCCCAAGCTACATTTGCAATGTCTTCCATTTGCAATCGAGATGGAATATCAGTTAACTTCTTGAGGTCTTCATGACTTAACCTCTCCAGCGTAGTGTCATAGACATAACCAGACGATTTCTCCTTACGTTCGTGGACTCCTGATTGTGCCAACCGAAGGAGAACCTCTTGTCGTTGCTCAATATGACGCAGGATGCCAAGGAATTCGACGTAGCTGAAGTTGGTGAGAAATTCACATGCAATGCCAAAGATTTTCTCTAAAGGCAATGAACCATGCTGCCAGGGAAGGAAGGGGACAGTGGGATAGTACTCACGGTAAACAAGTGCAAGTTTTATGAGCACATCGCAACATGAGTCGAGTGACTTGAAATTTTGGGAGGAGATAAAGCTGCGATGTAGAGGAAAGAAATGGCCATAGACTGGGTGTTTGCTTTTGTCGATAATATGATTGTGCCAGAGTTGAAGGAAGAATTTTGCTTGCATTGCTGCACGTACTCGTTCAGCATGTGAAAGGTCACACTTGAAGTATGCATCGAAAAGTTCACCTAGTACCCATGTGTCATGAATGTTACCAACTGCATCTAAATTTCGATTATCAAACCCTAAGTCACCTTATCCGATAAGATTAGATTAGATAGATCCCTGATAAGATAAGATGGATAACCAATTAACAATCACTATCTTACATCACATCTATACTACATCGACGTCATCCATCTATATCTGTAACCCTAAACATCCGAAGTCATAACATCCTTAGAAGTCCTACGATTAGGCAACAGGTTACATCATAAGCACTACATGCCTCTATGATCGAACCATAACCGAGAGTCCCTTACGAGTCATCTCTCGAAGAATCATCCCTTCATATCGCAGACCTTCACTTCCCACACATGACATGTTAAGAGTTACCTCTGTCATTCACCGAACTCCTTACATAAGAACCTGTTGTACAGTCACAGCTACACCCCTGAACCCCTATCACAGAAGCACCGCTCATAGAGAAGCATGCTCATTACCGAAGACCCTGGAGAACCCTAGATCCGATCGTACTCGATACATCTCCAGATCCCATCTCTTATCGAGATCCTTTAATCACCGCTTGAGACTTCTTGTCACAGAACTCTCTCACCCTTCTTCATCTCCGTCTACCCTGAATAGAAGCAGTACCCTGAGAACCCTGCTTAATCACCGATACCCCTATGAACCCTTTGCATTCCCTTGTAGTTGATTGGTTGATAAGACGCCCTATACCCTAGGTGCAATGTTATGACCGTATATAGATATATCACAACCTTTCATACTCAGATATCTCCACTTAGAGAGTAGTATATAGTTTAGGTCGTAGTCAGTAGTACTCCTTAGACTTAACCTCTTCATTCTTACGTTATCGTAGACCTAGACGTTCCCTCTCAAATCTATCCTTGCTTTATCCTCTTCAGACGAGTCCTGTGGTGTGATCCAAACTCCAGACACCTACTAGTTAGGTTAAGGGACGTTGGTCATAACACCATGTGTCAACTTTAGAGATACTTCGGACATGAAAAAAAAACAGAATCTTACCGCAGATGAAATGCACCGCAAATGCAAGATGATAGGGCTTCTGTATCGACTGACCATCACCCGTCAAACATGCTTGTAATGCATTAGAATGGAACAATCTAATGGCCGCCCCGTCATCCTGCTTGTCCATGTTCTCAACATCCTTCTTTACCATGCCACTGTTGGGCTCCTTGCGTAGCGCTACAAGTGTTTGATGTGTCAAGCAGTGATTGCCAACACTGAGATCAACCATAATCATCATTCTCAAGCAACTGATACGCTCGATGTACCCGTGGGTCCTTCAAGTATTCCTTCAGCTGGGTGGAGCGAATTTGAACAAGTATCAGTGATGTGTTTGTGACTCGCCACTTTTCGACCTTATTCCGATCTGTCTCTGAAAGCTGTGCATCAGCTTTGTCTCGTTTTGAAGCCTATTATTTCCATTGCATCAGCTGAAACATACTGCTGTGATGATGACCACTTACACGTTGAAGCTGCCGCTGTAGGCTCTTGTCTTTGTCCAGTGCACAGCATTGCTCACACATCACTTTCCCATCTGAATCAGGGACAAAGCGGTGTGTACAAGTCGCAGAATGTATGATACGTGAACCAGCATCACAGCCATTTTCTATGAACCAACGCCGACGGCTCAACAGTTCCTGTCCAAGGATTGCAAGCTCCTCCTGACTAAATTTCGTGATGCTGGTATGCATGTTTCTTTGAGATGGTGAGGCAGATATGTCACCAGTCGTTCCTTCCTGTGCTGACACTCCATACTTGTATGGAAAGAGACCCTTCACCATCTCAATGTGACTGGTGATGCTGCCAACCCCTCCCATGTCTCCGGCAACTGCATTCTTAGCAAGGAGTGCATATGTACCATCAGCTCGTCCCAGACATGCCACACTCATATCAATGTTGGCCCCATCAGCCTGCGCTACAGTGAGTGGAGGAATGCTTTGCGGAGACTTCTGCTTGATTGTCTCTGATGATTTTTTGACCGATGATGTGAAGAATGAAGTGATTGATTTCATCTATATTGGATTGTGGTGAGCGAAAGGAATGTGATTATTTCCGACACAAACTTATGGGAATGTACTCTTTTTTAGTTTTGGACTTTGATCTGGATCCAGTTGCCCAAGGACATCACTGAAGGTGGCGGTCGTATTTGCTAAGGTCATATTGGCATTGTTGGGGAAGTTTGTTGCGATTTTTTCCGCTCTCAAGCTTCTGAAGAGTCCGATGGTCTCCAGAATCTAGCTTTATACTGACTCCACATCGACACTTGACAAAAGTTGGCCCAAACTCGATTATAAGCCCTAGATTCTTTGCCTCGTTTAGCCTCTGGACCCGTTGCTCTGTGGTTGTCTGTTTAGTGACTCTTGAGCCTACAGCTGCCTGAACTCGAGTCTGGTGTGTCCTTTTTGACTTCAGTTTATTAATATTTGACTTATTGATTTGACACCTACCATTCATCATCAGTGTCATGGCCCTCTGACCCGTCAGTACTTTCTTCGTCTTCCTTATCTGAGCCCTCTGAGATCTCGATATATTCCTTTTGCTGGGTGTCAGGCCTTGCAGGTGATGGTGTGCCAGTGGTACAAGATGGATTTGTGTGCAGGTGCAGTGGCTCTGACTGGTTTCCGTGCACAGGTGATTGGGGAGCCTTTTGACTGCGATTGCCCAGTGAGTGATGACCCCTCACCAGAGCTGAACAAAATAACTCACCAGAGCTCAAGTGCTGTATGCATTCGAGGAACCATTGCAGACAGACAGGATCCTTCCCCGACATCTTGCTCAACATGGGCAAAGGTATTCAGAAAGTCGTGTATAAGGAGAAAGTCTGCCTGACTCGATTTCGAAGATAGTAGACCTCCTTCTTGCCCCCAACCGAAGATGGCATGAACGGGAGCATGAAGCTCCTCCCAGTGGTCTGCGGAATGCTGGAGTGTCAGGTGCTTAACTCCGAGGATACTCTCAGATGCTGGTCCTTGATTGCTGACTGTCAGAGCAGCTTTTTTCAGCTCGTCTAGGATGTTTTGCCAGGTCATAGCACAGACTTCACAAGGGTGGGGGGTTGGATGATACAAAAAACAGTTCGATTCTGGTTCTACTACCACAACTAGTGCTACCAAATGTTCCGCATAAGTATACCATATGTCAGTAAACATAGCTACATGGTGAATCCCTTCGTCAGTTGGTAGTCAACCAGTGCCTGTTTAGGGAAACTGGACACCTGTTTGAGCTTTGTCGTCGGATCCACGGCCTCTCGGGGCGCTACCAACGGACATAGGGTATGTGCTACAGGCTTCCGAGGTGCAACATTTAGGACCATAGGATGGGTGATTTCGAGGACGTATGAGGCGCTACCGGTGGACATACAGTATAGGAAGCAGCCGGGGTCCTGCTGTCTTACACTTCCGTGCACCACACGGGAAAAAATGACACAAGCAGCCTTTGTGGTAAATGATTCACAGGGGCACGAAAGACATGACAGAAATCAATATAGCATTGGGTTGTGATCCTCAAGCACTCAGAGTAAGCCGACACGGAGAATTATAGTACAGGCGTTCAGTGGCTGTCAAGGTTCCCGATTTGGTAAGTCATACCTGTCAAACACCGCCAACCCGCGGTAAAGGGTCGCGGTATGGTCGCGGGTATGAATATCCAACACCGTACTACCCGTACCCGCCAAACCCGTCAGCAAAGAACCGCGGTGTTACCCGTACCCGTGCCTTTCCCTATGTGGAATCAGCTCGACCTTTTTCCTCACGGAGTCGGGAATTCGCTCGGGATGGACGTACACGATGTCTCGAGTGCAAGTAAACCAGTCAACAACACGACTATTCCACAAGACAACGTCGAACACCCCAATTTTACACGTACTTGCGGCTCCGGTTGCCCCTCGCAGAGGGCATGGTTGTGGTAAGTCCGAATCTTGCGTGGATTCTTCACCTGCTTACTTCGATAGACTATTGAGCCGGTGATCTACTTCCATGAACATCTACTCGAAGTTATAGAGGAGTCTGATGAATATGTGGATTACGGCTTGTTTACCGCGAAATGGGCGGTATGCGCATCGAAGATTCAAATGGGTGCGAGAAACCTCACTAAGGTTAGGAGTGATATGGAATGGCTGAAGTTAGTGGGGAATATTCACTAGCGAGAGTGACAATCGTCGGGAAAACGGCTGATGCTGAATATTGAACATCTAACAAGAGTTTCTAGAGATTCCATGCTTTTATTGGGTGACTCAGATTTCCGCGACGACTCCAATATTGTCCATGCTACTCACCAGTATGTATTGTTCTCCTCCCTTGCTTTCGGATTCACATTTCTCAGACTCCAAGAACACTCGATATCATACTGATATCGAGGTCGGCATCCCACTGCAACATTCAAAATTATCCTCGGTAAGATTTTTTTTTCCGCCATACACTCGGGATTCACTCAGGGTTCACAGCTCCGAGTCGTGCTTCTTCGATTCATCCAGTATGGTACTGGCTCCATGGACGACTCCGTCTCCTAAGATGTCATCCACATAGGTGACTCTATCCATAGGCAGGACTTCGCAGATGCCACAGACGAGCCTGATATCGCCTTCGCCTTCAGCAAGTATTTCCAACGGTGATTAACGAGCGGAATAGGTTCCGTCGGACGGTGTTCTCCGCCTTGCCTACAATGTGCATCTCAGGCTGCGTTTATTTTTATGGTTTGCATATTCTGGATTGTTCATCCGCCGACCCCCAAGTTCTACTGGGTTCTACCTATATTATCGCCGTGTGGTTCTACCAGGTACAACCATTCTGCCAAACAATTGACAGAACCTCCGAGTCCTGCCCACAACACGATTTTCAGGGTATAAAAGCAAGCCATCTTCAACGTCCCCCCACCTCATAAAGATTCTTATTCACAAATCTCACAAATAATGCGGTTCTCCTTCCCCATCATCATTGCTACTTTGACAGCATCTATGTCTGTCAATGCATGCAGCAACCCAGGCGCGGTTTGCTACAGGGACAGTGATTGCTGCAAGCACAATTGTAATTTGAGGAGTGTGAGTATGAGTAATTTGCTTTGTATCCTGGATTCATTACTCATTACTCACCCCTTGCGCCTCGCAATACTCATAGCCTGCCAAAGTAAAGTTCTGCAATCCTTCCTAGCCCGATGAGCTGGCGGCCTGAGGGACAGTGTGTCATGTTTCTACTTTCGCATTCATGATGTGGCTGATGGCGAAATGAGTAGTTCTTCGCTGACTTGGTCAATATGGTTGCTCTTGGAGTCTCGACAAATTTCACTGTTACTTGTGCAATACTAGTCTCTTGCGGTAGCTTATACGTTATGACATGATATGTCCACTCAAAACTCAATGGATGCATGGATGAAGCTTACGTTTGAGCTGGACTGACGATCAGGATGTCAATGACAGAGTGTTGGCACTATTACAGCTGTTTATTTCGGTCAAGAAATACATGCTTCAATAGTTACAATATTATACCAATCGAAGTCGGGGACTGACCGCCAGGAGTAGATGCATAAATACTCTCAGCAAAGGGGTATGTTGGGGTCCTTGTCATTCTTCAACACTTCGCGCGAAGGAGAAAACGATGTAGCAAAATAATAACATCGATAATATCATTAATAGCGTACGAGTAGCTAAAAAAAGCCGAAGCAAATGGTCCCACGACAGCTCTGAATGAAAAAATAAGTATACACTGCAGAAGTTCTTGGTTTCTAATTCATTGACCCCAAACTCTCTACGTTCTCATGCGTCCCTCCGGTATATGGCTGTTGCCATCGCAGCTGAGTACCATTCGGAGCCTGAGTCTGATGTGCGTTATTGTTATTGGTATTACTGACGGGCTGCGCATATGCAGGATGCGAATAGAAAGCGGCGTATCCATGGGGCACCTGCGGCACTGGTTGATGTGTTGGGATTTCATATCTGGTATGGTAGGACCAAGCTCCTGAGCCATAGATATTTGTGGGGTGGTACTGCTGATGAGACGGGGGCGCATAATATGGGGCATAGTGCGGCGTGGCGCTAGTCGACTGCATTGGGATCGTGGACGTTGGGATCATGGACGTTGGGGGTCGCGGACGATGGGATGACGGACGATGGGGTCGCAGACGTTGTAGTCGCGGACGACGACAACGCCGCCGCCAATAAGGACGGATAAGTCGTGACCTGCATCGAAAGATGAGGAACTGTACTCGTAACGAAATGAACAACAAGAGGGGTGTGGGAAAAATGCCCACTCACGCTCAGGTGCAGGTTCCGAGGGCTTCCGATCACTATCCCTTGGTACACTCCGCACGTTCTACACAGCGTTTAGCAAAGCCACAACTGTTTGTAAGTCCATCTTTGGCTGTCACCGTTCTCGCACTGCTGATTGGACTATGTTGGTCCACAAAGTTACTCACGAATGTCTGTCATACTTCACCACTGGAGCAGTGACTGCGCCATCAAGGTTTGTGTTCTACCGAGTATCGCTAATCGACATACCGAAGGCCGACCATATTTGCGATACAACTCCACCCGCCAAGGCACCTACCCTGCCTGCCATCATATTGGAAAAGAAATGTTCATTTGTATGGTCTTCCACTGAGAATATCACCGTCTGTTCTGTCCTGGCACGGTGGCTCAAGCCTGAACACAGATTATCACACCTTCCCGGGGTCGACCTCACCCTCCATGATGCGCGCAAGAATGGATTGGAGCTGAACGCAGCTAGTATATTTATGGTGCGACCCTCGTCATGAGCACAATCATCGACATGCTCATCTCACCTCTATTGCCCCCTCATCTCGGGCTATCAACTTGTTTAGGCGCTACTTATGTCGTGACTTCGTCATACATATACTTCTCGAATCACGATACTTCCTCTTCACTTCCTGTTGTTTTGGCCTGCTGTCCAATATCTCATTGTTCGTTTCTTCTTGTCGATCCAGTGAAATTATATTCAACTGTGCGACTATAATAAAATCCTGTGATCGCCTGTTGCATGGTCTATCTGTTCGAAGTTCAGCGTGTCCCCCAGACCTTCATGTGCATGACTTGATTCCCCCACGCAGCCCGGGCGTGTTGTTCTGATGAGCATTGTCAGTAATGTCAGTCGTCATACTGGTCCGTTGAAGAATACTGAAGTTATATCCTCAAGCTCGCGGTCTACTTGCTCCTAGAAGTAATAATGAACTGTGATAACTTGACGAGCGCGAGTCTACATTGTGCAAAACAAAACGCGATAGAATGATATCTGAAAAAAGGGTGTTGAAACCCCACACAATCTGCAGCGCTCAGCAGTTGAAGCTGGAGTGCTCGGTATAGTACATAGCAGTATGGGAAGGAGCATTGAAACTTTGAAAGCAGGCAACAGCACTCAGCAGTTGAAGCTGGCGTGCTCGGTATCGTATACAACATGAATGCATAGCATGGGAGAAGCATCAAAAGCAGGACACTTGGCCCGAGCGCCGTCTACTTCTTTGTGAGCAGCTCCTTCGCTGCGCTGCTAGTAAGCTTCGAGTTCCGGGTTCAAATCAAGGCGAGAGACGTACACATGCGATTTTCAAGGATGAATTCGAGAATCTCCGTCTTCAGTTCCTCTTTCTTATAGCCTCGATCAGTAATTTGCCTCGCGACTTTCTCCACAGCGATAGCCATAGGAGATTTCACGTAGTAGTCCACGGCAGACTTCATGAACCCCAGTTTATCGTCCCAGTCATGCCGGAGGAAGGCGGAATATTCGAGGACCAAAATGGTAGCTGCTATGCGTTATTAAAGTGTAGCTGGCCATGCGGTCAGAAACTAACCAATGCCAATCCGAATGATTCCGTTCGCAGTGGTGAACCATGTTCCATCGCCAGCCTATTGAGCACTCTCAACAACGGTAAGGATCATTGTGGAGAAACAAACTTACCAAAGGCTGAAGAATCGGCGAAAACTCTCCTCTCCAGGTGGCAGTCTAGTCATTGAGATAGCATTAGCATCAGAACCATTTCAAACCGAACACTTGCCGTCTGTTATACAGTAATATCGGAAATATGAGGTGGCGTTCTTGGAATTATCAATGCCGAGACTTACATTCTGTTTGTTCAACAATTATAATTGATCAATCACGAGGTAATGACACTGTCCAAATGACTTACAAACTATCCGGGAGTAAAAACGAGATGATTATCAGTATGTGGCACAGCCAATGCTAGTGGATTGGACATACAAGCTGTATAAAATCAACGAAATTGAGTGTGTCAGTGTACCAATGGTGCATAACAAGAAGGGAATAACATACACCCTGTGAACACATAATGAGTAGAAGAATAGAAATTACATGACTAGAATCTGTAGCGATTGAAAAAGGACTGACATCCTAGAAAGAAAGAGTCAATCAGAAAAATGAACAATCAATGAGCTTTGACACAGCACTCACATTCTGTACAGCACATGAGCAAGATGAGTGAACATGGAAAACAAGTTATAACAAAAGGATACTCGACAAACTATGCATCATGTGAGTGATGAGGGGTCAGAATGTCTGAGGACACTTACATCAGGCTATTACAGTCATTGAAGATCATGATCTTCAGTGTCATGTATCAACACAAGACATGATGATTAAAGACACCTACCATCTATCAAAGAATGGGCAGTGACAAAATATCAGGACAGTCAGTGTGGGTTCCAGAATTAAGGCACTTACTGCCTGTCAACAGAGCAGGAGCAGCAAGGGATTGGGATCATCAGCATGGGATGAGGAGCAGAAACCATCAAGGCACTTACTTGCTGTCAACAGGCCAGGAGCAGCAAGGGATCAGGATCATCAGCATGGGACGAGGAGCAGAAACCATCAAGGCACTTACAAGCTGTCAACAGGCCAGGAGCAGCAATGGATCAGGGTCATCAGCATGGGACGAAGAGCAGAAACCATCAAGGCACTTACTGCCTGTCAAGAGGCCAGGAGCAGCAAGGGATCAGGATCATCAGCATGGGATGAGGAGCAGAAATCATCAAGGCACTTACTTGCTGTCAACAGGCCAGGAGCAGCAAGGGATCGGGATCATCAGCATGGGATGAGGAGCAGAAACCATCAAGGCACTTACAAGCTGTCAAGAGGCCAGGAGCAGCAAGGGATCAGGATCATCAGCATGGGATGAGGAGCAGAAACCATCAAGACACTTACAAGCTGTCAAGAGGCCAGGAGCAGCAAGGGATCAGGATCATCAGCATAGGATGAGGAGCAGAAACCATCAAGGCACTTACTTGCTGTCAACAGGCCAGGAGCAGCAAGTGATCAGGATCATCAGCATGGGATGAGGAGCAGAAACCATCAAGGCACTTACAAGCTGTCAAGAGGCCAGGAGCAGCAAGGGATCGGGATCATCAGCATGGGATGAGGAGCAGAAACCATCAGGGCACTTACTCGCTGTTAACAGGCCAGGAGCAGCAAGGGATCGGGATCATCAGCATGGGATGAGGAGCCAAAACCATCAAGGCACTTACAACCTATCATCATAAGACAACTACAATCAAAGATATGATATCAGTATGTTTACTGTCTTGATAGTTTCATATTCACCATTGATTAGCACCATCAAAAAGCCACCATGATTTTGAACCAATAGTAATCTTACATAAAGATGCAAAAACCACTTAGCAAGGTCCAACTGGTATGCTTCATGATCTGTTGGAAGTGGTAACAATTGCTGATGTGCACGATCAACAAGTAACCTGATGATGTTGAAAGACATGCAGGTGGACTTGCAACTTTGTAACTCACCCAACAGCACACTTGATACAAAGTTCCAGGTTTGACTGTTGTGTTGAGACGAGGCACAACTGTAATTCTTCGTCATCCAATGCAAAAGTAGTGCATTCTACCAATGTGTCACAGTTTGTGTTTGGCTGGTTCATATCTGGGTTGGTGACTCATTTTGACTTTCACTAGATAAATCGATCAGAACCACTCACTCTCCAAGCGTACATAGCCCTTAGGGTGGGCAAGGTTATTAGTGTCACATAACCGATCCAAGACCTGTGTATTCTTGAACAATTCTTCGACGTGCTGGGCGATCCTCTTCAGGCACTCTTCGCTTGATAGCCCGACGAGCTCCTCCTCCAGTTCTCCAAATGCCACTGGACAGAGAGCTTCAAATTTTGTGAATACTGCAATTATGGGCACTGAAGAATTGTGATGTAGTCCGAGCACGACGAGGGACACTGGAGTCACAAGCTCACCATTCCCAGTATTGCACTCGGAGAAGAACTTCTCCTCCGACCGCTGGAATGTTCGACAATGCTCGTCCATTGGAATACAATACCTGTTTGACAGCGATGAACGAGCACGGAATGCAGGAGGGGTCATTTACCAAATAGTATGCAGTCGCTCCTCCAATTTCGTCGCATTTGCACATTTTGAGATAAATTTCTTCATCTCCTCAAATTCTTCTACAGAGCCCACTTCGAAATCACACGAGTCGTGAAAGACAAAACCGGGATTGCTTTTGAACACCATCTCATTTGTGATCTTATGATTCCCACGCTTTAGCATCTATCAGCGCATGCATGCTCATAGGGCAAATAGTGCACACACTGATCTCGAGCCTTCTATGACGGCAGCATCGATCTACTCACAAGTGATCAGCGCTCAATGCATGCATGCTATAGAACATACCGCACCTTGTGTCCTTTGGCATCGTAAATCTCTGGCTTCTCCGTGGTGTTGCAGACCTTCTGAAGAATGGTAGTTTTGCCTGCGTTCGCTCTTCCTACGATCAGAACTCAAAAGCGCCCAAATGTCTCTCTGAGGTTCTGAGGGTCGATTTTGGGTGCCATCTGGAGAGATTGGTGTGCGTCCTGAGAGCGGAAGTGGTCGTGCAAGTAGTGGGGAGTGACACGGAACGAGATCGCAGCGAGGTACAACAGCGAATGAACACGAAGCAAGGGCTCCTATGACTCGCGTCATAACAGTTACAAACGGCGTCTATTTCCCTGGACACTCAAATCTACACTTGCACCGAGATCAAGTTCTCTGTAGATGTCTCAACCGTTCAATTTTTTGTGCAATACAGCACAAAATTCAAGTACACGACAAACAACTTTGAGTTATAAGATCGTTGATACACAGATAAGCTATAATGTATGATCAGATTATGACAGAAATGACAGAATTTCCGTCTTCCCTCCCTGCATGCCCGAAAAGAGGTGATATAAATCTCTGTAAAGGTGCGGGCGCTCAAGCTCTTTCAGATGATGGATCTTTAAGTCGTTTGGAAGTGCAAGAGCATCTCAGGGTATCCGTCCCACTCTGGAACAGGAGTGATCTCGTGGTGCTGGACAGATTCTGCATGTCCGTTTGCTCCCTGAAAGATAGCAGTGCTTGATGTGAACACCGAGGCAGCACAGGTGTGTTGGAGCAGTAGGTGATGCGCGTGTTGTTGACCTCGGACGTCGGCTACGCTAGTCGACGATGGGAGAAGGGCTGATGTGATGGGCCCCGGTAGCTTGTGGGATTCATAGCTCGGGCCAGGTTTGGTTGGATGAGTTGGGCTGCTCATCCAAGGGTGCATATAGATATGTTCTTGTCAAGTATCAGTGAACACGTACCGTACTCAGATTCGGAGGGCTGGCATGCGTTTTTATAAATCACGACAAAACCCACCCTTGAATCCTGGGCTGAGCAGGATGAATAAAGCTTCCTGACGTAGTGTCAAATTCATCAGCAAAACCGCCCGGAACCAGAAAGGCCCGGCAGCTCCCGAGAGGACTCTCACTGCCGCATTGCTGACCTCACTAACCTCACAAGTATGACAGCGTCGTCGTACAGCGACAGGGATAACCGCTGATGGAATTACAAGGACTGAATGAACCGTGTGTGACCAGAACTGAACCGTCCGTGTTTTACAAGGATTACCCAATTGGGAAACCACGTGAGTTCTCTTTTTTCTTTTCAGGATCGCCCCAAAGCGGTAGTGGCTGAGTACTACCGCCCAAAACATTACTCAATTAGGTAGTCTCATAATATCAATGTTTCCCAGCCTCCCCAAGCCTCCCCCTGCTCCCTCCTGTGTAGTAGGCTCATATAATTCATGTATATTAGCCATTATATACCTAATAGAACATACTTGACCACTTTTATTTGCTACCAGCTACCATTAGGCAATTAGTTCTATTAAAACAATATAATTAGCATTTTTAATGATTTTATGTATCATCATACACTGTACATGGGACTATATACTTATATTTATGCTATACACACTCTAGATGACATTTTAACACAGTCTCATAGCTCCAGGAGGCCGATAGTTTGATTTCATAGGGATAGGGGACATATGAGAAGATCGGTGTTCTGGAGGGTTAATCAAACATATATTCGAGATCTGAGAGTTAGAACACATGCAATGCACATATAGGCAACCATTTATACACTCCTGAGCAATCAGACACTAAGCTAAGAGTTGTGGAAGGAATGTAGAGGTGGGACATGCATGGGAAAGTATACAAAACATATGAAAAAGACATAAAAACATATCATAGCGTGCTACACAATGCCCCCCATGATCTAAAATGTGTGTAGTATGATAGGGGGATGTCAGAAATACTATTTTCGATGTTTCAATTGTGATACAAGGTCACTTGTATGCCTAGATACTAAAAACTCAAGATTTGGTATAGGCTTCTGTAGGGAATAGTGTGCACTATGACAAGAAAGCTCAAATCAACATATATACTTGTAGCCTGTAACACTTCAAGAACATTGAAAATAGTATTTCTGATATCCCCCTATCATTCTACACATATTTTAGATCATGGGGGGCATTGTGTAGCACGCTATGATATGTTTTTATGTCTTTTTCATATGTTTTGTATACTTTCCCATGCATGTCCCACCTCTACATTCCTTCCACAACTCTTAGCTTAGTGTCTGATTGCTCAGGAGTGTATAAATGGTTGCCTATATGTGCATTGCATGTGTTCTAACTCTCAGATCTCGAATATATGTTTGATTAACCCTCCAGAACACCGATCTTCTCATATGTCCTCTATCCCTATGAAATCAAACTATCGGCCTCCTGGAGCTATGAGACTGTGTTAAAATGTCATCTAGAGTGTGTATAGCATAAATATAAGTATATAGTCCCATGTACAGTGTATGATGATACATAAAATCATTAAAAATGCTAATTATATTGTTTTAATAGAACTAATTGCCTAATGGTAGCTGGTAGCAAATAAAAGCGGTCAAGTATGTTCTATTAGGTATATAATGGCTAATATACATGATTTATATGAGCCTACTACACAGGAGGGAGCAGGGGGAGGCTTGGGGAGGCTGGGAAACATTGATATTATGAGACTACCTAATTGAGTAATGTTTTGGGCGGTAGTACTCAGCCACTACCGCTTTGGGGCAATCTGAAAAGAAAAAAGAGAACTCATGTGGTTTCCCAATTGGGTAATCCTTGTAAAACACGGACGGTTCAGTTCTGGTCACACATGGTTCTTTCAGTCCTTGTAATTCCATCAGCAGTTATCCCTACACGACACCACCACCAACCCCCCACGCCTCCTCGCTAAACTCACACCCTCACAAGCCTCACGTGCCATGTTACAAGACACCCGCAAGCCTCCCACACTCCTCGCAAGGACAGTTGTTGCCCTTCTGCAACTACCGTCTCTTTCTAGCAAGGGAGTAGCAGGATAATGAATTCGAACACCAACCTACCTAGTTGTACTTGTTTGTTCACTTTCGGGGTCTCGTATTTGACTTTTTGTCTATCTTTTTGTTCTTCGTATGTTTGAACATGATGTATTAAGAGGATATCTTTCTATAGTATAAATGAACATATTTTGACGAGCATGAAGAATACTCGCCCGTGAAGAAGTGGCTGCAGGAGGTGATGTAATTTTTACACCAAAGATCTAGGGGGAGAATTACTGCATTTGGTCACTGCGGTCTGGCAAACAACGTGTCGTCCTAGGCCCATGTCTGATGCTGTATGGCCCTCCAGTCCCTCTTTTCACTACAATACATTGCATAATAAGGTGTTACACAGCACCTGCCAGTGGCCACTGGATGGCTTCTCCGACCCCGACTTTGAGCTTAGCTCTGATTCCGAGCCTACCCCTGAGGATGGAACCACTCTCACATGTTACAATCCAGAGCCTGCACCTGCCGAAATTCTTTATGTGCTGGATCATGACTCGGAGGTGGATATGACAATAGAGGATGACTGCCAATTTGAATCAGTGTTCAAGTCGAAAGAGCTGCCCTATGATAATATCAATATCAACTTACTGAACATGGACATGCAAGTTGATGGCACAAATGCCTCACCACTGGCAGATGAAATCAGGGACACAGACCCTGAGATCCATTGGCAGGATGGCAAGAGACAGGGTTACTGCATCTTGTGTAGTGAGTGGGTTGGTCTCAAACAGAGCAAATCATCTCTGTACCAGTTCTACAGGCATAGTGCATCTGCTTCCTGTCAAAGAATGGCACAGAAGAAGGAGAGGGAAAAGACTAGAAAGGAAGAGGCTCACCTTCGAGAACAGTACTTCACCACCAGAACATCCCCGCAATTCTGCGCTGCATCAATATCGACCACTGAGACAGATATAACCTCCTGCTTCTCATTGTCTGTGACGACACACCAGTCATCACCCTCTGCATCTCCATCTACCATTCCCTTGAGTCTATTCAACACTCCCTCGCCACCCCCTGAATGGACATCCGACCATCACGAGTCCATCACGTTTGAGAGTCCTGAGCCCACGGCCTCATCTCTGAGTCCTCCAAAATGCCCGTAATGACGGAACAACCCAGTGTATGCAATGGCATCATCCTCAATTGGCCTGTTGGTACTGTGTTCGAAACCTATCCCTGGACTCAGCATGAATATGGAGCAAAGAGTTTAGGTTACAATTTTTGTGCTGTTGAAAAAAATGGGAAGACTTTCCGCATCCGTTCACATAAGTGTTCAGGGTTCGCGGGAGAGGGGGAAGATGCTTGTTGCACATGTCGTAGTGCACAGACAACAAAGGCCCATCTTATGATTGAGGAACGTGCTCATGTTGCATTGCCACATACACCATATTTGTTCTTGACACATCAGCAACTTTGTGAGCTGTTACGAGCTACAAACAAACAATTAAACAAGTATAAACTGAAGGTAAATACCACCCAGCTGAGCTGTTGCCGTATTTCCTTCATATTCTAACACTGGAGCTCCATCAGATCTTGAACCTTTCGCACAAATTGAGCACCATGATTTGACGTCTTGGAGATTCAAAGAGATTTATTATGGCCATTGCTTCATCCGACTACCAAAGGTTAGGTCAGCTTGTCGGTGTTGCACTTCACCAAGGATCAAGCTGGCAAGCAATAGTGAGGATGATTCAGGAGGCAGCAAAGAAAGTGAAACAAACACACTGCTATTCGCAAAAGGATTTTGATATTGTTTGCCTGATTGATATTATTGGTGGACCCAAACTTGGGTATGCAATGAGTCATGCTCTAGGCCTCCCCTCTGTCATGGCTGCTATGTGTCATTTTGAGTGTAGAAAACTGATGCCCAGTGTTGGACCCATCAAGGACACAGAAATCAATCACAACATCTCAGAGTTCTTCGGGAAGCTTTCCCCCCGCCCCAGGCATGGTCACAATCTCCAATTGGATGAACTTGCCATCAACAAGGGGGCATACTACAATAAATCTTGCAATGCCATTGGGGGACTTTGCCGTGATCATTCAGAGCTGCTTGACCTGAAAATTGTCGACTACAACTCTGTCCTCCATGCCTCAGAAGCCATCCACGGCAAACATTGTGTTTGCCACTATGGGAAGGAAGCAACTGTAGCTGCCATCGTAGCATTTCCAAAGGACCATTATGGTCCCCTTCCCATTCTAGTGTCTCCAACGCGCAAGGCAGCTAATCTCATTCAGTGGATGTTGGATTGCTGGTGTCATCATGCTGCTGGAGAGGCTTGTTTTGGTCCTATCCGGTGCTTCTCCACAGATGGAGATGCAACGTGGAGATTAGCGTGCTACTCGCTTTTCATGAAAAGGGACCTCGACCCCTCGAGTGAAATATATGAGAGCCTTTCCCAGCTGTCAGGGTTGAATTTGAGGGTTGGTGATCACGACGTCATGATGGATTTTGATCCCAAGCACCTGATTAAATGCATGTCATATTAACCTAAGCATTCTGCGTCAGTGACTAACATGCTTTCCTGTTCTAGGTTATGCTACACTATTGCAGTCCCCTCAAGGGATCTTGGTTTTTGACATACTCGTCACATGTGAGATTCTGGCTCAGCATTTCTTGTGCCTGGGGCATCTATCCACGAAGGAGATTAATGATCTCCTTGCTCAGGGTGATGGACAAAATGTTCCCCATGCCATGAAGCTTCTCTGCAGTGTCGCTATGCTTCAGGCACTCAACTCCACGTCCTCACAGTATAATCCCACGAACCAGAAAATTCATGCTGCACTTCGAGTTCTTGCTGTCCTTTGTGAATCCCTTGTCGAGCCATTCTTTAATTGCGAGATGTCTCTGAAGCAACAACTCAAGTGTCTCACAACATATGCACACCTTAGCTTTCTTCTCTATCGGAATAACGGCACCTCATTCATGTCTAATCAACTCTATGGCGACACTCAGGCCACTGTCAAGAATGTCATGTTTCTTGTCGTGAAGGTGCAGATCCTCGATGACACCCAGCCATTTTACCTCATTCAAGATGGTGATGACAGGCTTGAGGGAAGCTTTGGCCATGTACGAACCGATGACCACGATCCAAATATGGGCATTCAGGGGCTGTATGAGAAGCTAGGATCTGCAGCTGACCACTCTGACATCTTCGAGCATCATGCAGATTGGGACAGAGGTAATTGGAGACTTGGTAATGGAAAACTAGGTGCTGACCACATGAATCCTGCATTGTGGAAGGGTGATGTGGTTTCTGGAGGTGTCTCTCTGCAGATGGAGTGGATTCGAGGCACTGGTGCTGTCACGGTGGTCCTTGAAAGCCTTGGTCGAGACGTGCCAGACTGGACAAAGCTATTCTACAGTGGAACTGTTGATCTGATGAAGCCGATGGGAGATGGGAAGTATCCTGGAGTGTCGCAGGATCCTGACCACACTACTGTCAATGTGCCAATCACAGAACAATGTCTTGCAGCTACTGCAGGTGATGTTGCTGAAGCTTGGTCAATTGATGGTTTGGACACGGACACCCAACATGAAACACTCGACGCCGATGAGACAGATGGGTTGGTTTTCGCAACGGACACCTTAACCGCTGGCGATCATCCAATAGATGTACCTGCAATAACCCTGCAAGATCTCATTCCTGAGCCTAATGAACAAGAGAATGAGCAGCATGATTGGCTTCTCTTTGAAGGGAAGAAGGTTCACAAAGCTTCTGTCATACGGTGCCTCTTTTCATCCGATAAGGCAAAGAAGTCCAGAGAATGCCTCCTTCGTGTCCATGGATATACACGCAAGTTCTCCCCCAAAAGCAGCCTTAACTGCGATGATCTCACAGGGGATCACTTTCTTGTTGGTGACCTCGCAGCTATCATCATCCGCTGTGACCAGGTAGTATCTCTTGCTATCATGCAGGTTGCCTCAATTGAGCAGGACTTGCAGAGAGTAACTGCCATCAAAGAGGAGAGTCTTCGCTTGTCGACAACTAGTACCTTTGTTTCTGGTCAAATCCTTGAAATGTGCCCTGCAGCAATGCACAACGACGCTGGTGATCCTTTACCTGACGATGTCCAACAATACCTCCTCTGGACTGGATCCTATTGCAGATTTTCACCCTGGAGAGGTGGCAAAACTCCAAAAGGCAAGACATCAAGAAACACATTGGTCATTCGAATTCCTGGACATATGGTACACCCACTCAACCTCCGCATTGAGCCCATTGAATATATCCCTGCACCTCAATGGCCCCCTTTGCAACAGCATGAAACATGGGCTGTATCTCAAGTGGCACTTGCAGAGGCTGTAGACGCCCTTTGGGAAGTAACAGAAATGAACCAGGCGTCTGGTTCAATTCCAAAATGTAGCCTTGCATCAGATGGGTTTCCCTACAAACAGAGTGATGGTATGTTCATTGTGCTGCGTCATGGATTTTGCTCACATTCTACTACCTACAATACAGGAAACATTGTATTTGTCGCACAGACAGCTTCGGTGCCTTTGCAGAACACGACCCAAAAAAGCAACACCATTGCCGATGACTGTGTTGTGTGTGCTGTATGTGAGAAGCGAGTTAAGCACAAAGCACTTCGCAGTCATATGGGCGGACATATCCTTTGTGTGCAATTGGGTGCACAAGACAACAATGTAAGGACACCTATATGTCAGCTTTTTTTTCTTTGGCTGTGCACTTGCTAATGTGATAGTAAATCAGGTCTCTATGATTGACCCATGTGGATTTTGCGGACAGTCAGGCCATCCAGTGAAACTCATCAAGCAAAAAAGAACATTTCAGCCACAATCCTCATGTCCCCAGGCAATAGCATTCAGTCTTGGGGCAGTCACAAACAGCTCAAAGGCATCCCCATCCACAAATGCACCAATTCACTGTCAACTATGCTCAGTGTCATCAGGTGATCGCGCCATCTTCTGGAAATACAATGTCCACCAACACATCACCAGTTCTCATGACGCTTCATATGAATCCCTTCCAGCTGGCTTCGCGAAGGAAATTGAAATCTTGCAACTTGAAAAGGAACACCTTGGGATACCACTGGATTTGATTGACAACAGTGTTCAGGATGACTTGAATGCAACTGCTGTGGCTAGTACTAGTCAAAACTCATTAATGAAGCGCAGGCAGCAAACACTTCAAGGCAACACCAGTTCCAAGCGCTCAAAGAAGGTTTAAAATTTAAATTTGATTCACGCTGTGGGTACAACAAGTGCAGCAGCGGGAAATCGATCTACTACAAAGTTGGGTCTTTGCTGCCTGCTGCCTTGCTTGGGAACAAGCACGTTCGACCCTAAAGGGGATTGCTACTGGGGAGTACTGGTCTCTGTCTAAACGACCCTAATCAACCCTACCGCAGGTAGGATGAGGATCCACAAAAATGCAGAACAAGCGGAACAAGCGGAACTCAAGCGGAACAAGTGGAACTCAAGCAGAATGAAGCGGAACGAAGCGGGACTCAAACAGATAAATTGCAGAACGTACGGATTCATCAGAACTTGCTGATCAAGTCAATGGAAGTATATCACAAGGTTAGATTGATAGTGAGCATAAGTCAAAGTGGTCCTCTAGTAAGGTGAAGGAAAAGTGGGAAGGTAAAAGATGGGATTCAATGATAAACACACAAGCCCTGAGTACCACTACTTATAGGGAACATCATTTTCAAGGAACACTGAGGTACAGGTAGTAAACTTCTCAGGAAGCGGAAGTGAAGGCAGGCAGTGCACATGGGCGCAATAATCTGGAATAGGGGTCCGTGCCATAAGGGCATGTGTCAGTGTGATCCGGATAACATTAGAAGCAACGGGAAGAGAGATACAGCGTACCAATGGACCTGGAAGGATGGGGACAGGACATGCGAAGGTTGTCCAACGATGTGCAGGAATATCGGATAGTGCGGGCGGGTTCCGAAGGATGTGCGGGAATGTGGAACCCATCGGACGATGCACGGGAAATGCGGAACATGTGGAACATGTGGAACTGATGTGAGACGATGTGGAAAGGATGGGGTTTTATGCCTACAGTGGGGGAATTCCCCACAACGCACATACAGTACATCGAAGCTACTCCTACTATTACCTTACTAGACCTATCATAATAGTTCTATGTAACTGCGCAATACACAATTTAATGTCACAAGTTGCTTTGCCTCGAAGCTGTGTTCTGAAGCCATTACTTACTTACAATTCAATATGTAGTGCGTGGACTTAGCAAAAATTTTGCTGGTCGAGTATGGTACAGTATGGTATAGTATTTGACTCATTTTCGGGGTCCTGGTCACTCAACTTTTGTGGGTCAGTGTTCAAAACTTTATGTCTGCTACCCCCTTGCTTTCTAGCATCTCTTTTATAAATTCATCACTGTGCACCCCTCAGATTCTGGCATTTGACTCAGTCGGTCCATTCATGTTTCAGTGTATTCTAATTGTACAGTAGCTATGAGTACTGCTGGCCCCTCAGTGTCATAAATCCGCAAATCTGATCCCCTCAGCCTCATCATAATTCAGCCCACCTTCAAGTTCTTCACCGTCTTTCGCCCCAAGAGCATCGTCATCTAATAGTCCATCATTGTCCTCATCTTCCACGAGGACCTGATCTAGGCTGGTGTACCCAAATTCATCCATCTCATCTGCGATACCATTGTCGATGAGATATTCTGTGGTGAGTGCATCTCAAGTCTCATTTCCTTCGTCATCCTCAGCATCTTCAAGTTCATGACCCTCCCCATCACCGTCTTCGTCACCACTGCCACTATCCTCGTCCTCATCTTTGTCATCACTGCCCTCCATGGCATCTTCTTCCTTGGAGTCTTCTTCCTCAGTGTCTTCCTCTTCGGTGTCTTCCTCCTCGGTGTCTTCCTCATCCTCACCATCATCTGTCATCTCCTCATCAGAATCTCGACTTTCGTGCTCTTTCTCCATCGTAAATGGGAGTTGGTCAAGTGTGTTGCAGTCATTGAGCAAGCATCATGTGGCTTCATGGATAGGTTTGTGGTCAACACCGCCGCCATGGTATCGCATAAATGTGTCTCGGTCAATGAACCTACATGGGTAAGTACATTATTATGCTATTTATCATGGAAACTCACATATTGACATAAAAATAATTCCAGTCATAAGCTCCGTCCTCCATCTGACGACCAACAGAAGTTGATGGGATCAGCTGAGAGCAGTTATATGCAAAGGCTGGGATTAAATGGACACCACAGATCACATGTATCGGATCTATGAATCCAAATGCAGATGGATCGTTGCCATTCAGGAATCCAACACGAGGGAGCCGCTTTGCAGCCCAGCCAGAGGGATAGGTCATGTCGTGCCCGAGCCAGCAGACCCAGAGCAGGTCTATGCGCTGCAGCACAGAGCTTCAGGACTCTGGGCCTGTGTGTCAAACCATGACATGGAAAATTCCAATTATTTGTGCATACCAATATGGATGTGGGTTCTCATCCTCATCCTCATGAGCAAGAACCATCACATCTGCTCGTGTGTGTGGATTGAGTGAATCTTGAGCTCGGCGAAGGTCATATGTGGTATAGTTGACATGGAGAACTTTGTGTCGATAGATTCAATTGTTAATGATATGAACTGAATTACACTGTGCTGGTGTAAATTCTGTTTCATCACCTTCATATTGGGTATCAAGCAAGCATCCTAGGATGTGCACTTTGAGTCGTGGGAGGAAATCCTTCGAGGCCATATAAGCAATCATTGCACGCTTATAATTGAGATGAATTCTCACCTGAACAGCAATATCATCACTGTATCTACCAAGCCAAGCCAAGATATCCCAGTAATACTTCTTCGAGGTTGAAATTTGATAGTGAGATTCAGGTGAGGAGTAAGGAAGGGGTTCTTGATCGACAAAATGAAGAGAGGGGTGCTGTTCAGTCTCGTCAGCTGGTGGGTTGTTCTGAGCTGTTTGAACTGCCTCCATGTGCTCGTGTTTTTGTCTTAGCTTACGGAGTATCCGTTCTTGTCATTGATTTTAGTGATACCTCATGTGAATCAATTTTTGTTTGTACGTGCATAAAACCGTTTGACACAACAATGCTCTAACTCACCCTGTCGAGTAATTAGTCAGAGTTCTTTGCATGTGATGCGAAGAGCCTACTTACAACTTGAGTCGAGTAGTTGTCTGTCGTCCCATACAGCCAAATTGATTTCACATAATCACCGAGTGCATGAAGCTTATATGTGATAGTGCTGCCGGAGTCCGGTTCAGAACTTTGGTTTGAACGTGAACCCTTCTGAACTGGACTGTCTGTTCGGTCCAAGGTTCAACCTACTGTAAGGACTGAACCTATTATTAGGTTCAGCGTTCAGCTGATGCCTCAGATTTGCGAACCTGTCTGGACCCATCTGAACATGTTCGAACTGTCCTTGTTTCTGTCTATGAACCGCTTGAGGTCCTCAGGCTTATTTCTATCCATCTATACTAATATTTTCTCTGATCACCTGGCAAAAAACTCATATGGCCTGTTAGGTACCATGCCAGCTCAAGAAGTGGAGGGGTCGGGGCTTGGCTTCAGCTCTTGTGCTGTGCCGTTAGCCAAGTATGTGCCCTGAATTTGGAGTGGGTCCGACATTGTCTGATGGTAGGACAAGTAGACTGCTTAGGTCCACTTTGGGGGTCGGGAGGTAAGTGCTACTAGCGGCGGGCCGACTAGGAGTGGAGTGGAGAAGGCTGGAGGATAGTGTGGAGGGTGGATAGGAGCAGGGGGAATACTTGATAGGGGCGGAGAAGTAAGGAGAAGACTTAGAGCGAGGCTCTAAGTTGGAGTGGAGAGTCGGAGGTGACAACAAGATGAAACTTGTGTCCAGGAGGAGGCAAGGTCCTACTGGGAATTCTCACAAGTAGAAACTGCAAGAAGACAAGTAATATTAAGACTGGGAAAAATATCTAAGTACAGGATATGTTATATACTTCTAAGTATGAGGCAGTGATCAGGATAACTATGTTGTAAAGCTATGTACCAAGGATATAATTTGTAAGTACTTACACAGGCAAAGACATAAGTCGGAGTGGATATCAATATGTACGTGTCGGATCAGTGATCGAGCAGTAAGAGGAATTACCAGTGATCTGGAAGTAAGGGTCTATGTACCGAAGGGGAAAGTATATATCTAAAAGGGGAAAGAGGTTCCAGTTGAATGGAGACATTATAGAAGGAGGCCGGTCAGGAGGTCAAGCGGAAGCATAGGAGCGGAATGTGGACTGTGATTGGACGGAGCAGAGGATGGATGGAGTGGAGGTGGTTGGAAAGCAGAGCGGATATTAATATTGGAGCAGTCGGATCAGGTATATGATAGGCCATTGTTAGTCCTGGGAACATTGATCTCCAGAATGGCTCTTACTTCACAACCAAAACACTGAATGTATTTCTATTAGTGATGTCTGACTTCCTCAGTGATCTACTCAACATTTCAGTAAGCCCAATGTTAATTGTTATTAGGATTATAATTTAATTTATGTTCAGAACATATTTTTGGGATGCTCGTTCAGCATTCCAACTTGTTGATAAGGGACCATTCTGTTGCCTTCTTCAATACCTCTGGCCCTCACTTTCAGAGAGGGATATTCCTCATCGCACGAAAACTTGCGACAAGATTCTTGAATGGGCCAAGCTTGCTGTCCAGCGTGTCAAAGAGAAGCTTAAGCAAGTCAACAGCAAGATTTCTATGACCTTTGACTCGTGGACTTCGGAACCTGGTGTCCCTTTCCTCTCCATTACAGTGCATTACATTGACTCCCCAGTTGGGAAACCTCAGGAGTGGGAGCTGAAGTCTGAGCAGCTCACATTCACCACTATCAATGGTAATCATAGCAGCAGCAACATCGGCAGAATTCTAATCAAAGCTATTGATGACTATGGTATTAGCAACAAGGTGGGTTGGTTTACGGCCAACAATGTCACCAACAATGACACTGCAATTCAGACTGTCGCAGATGCTATTGACCCTTCCAGTACAAAATGGATTGCAGGCAAGCACCATGTGTGGTAAGTGATTTATTTATTCGATTCAACATTACTAATGTCTATTGTCTATTCAGTTGCATGGAGCATGCCTTACACTTAGCAGCTAAACACTTTGTCGAGGATGTTGCTCCTACCCTGGCAAGTATTCTCAGCAAGAATGTGACTGATGACGATGAAAATGATGAAATGACTGAGTTTGAAGTTGCCAACACTGTTGGAAAAGTCCTCACACTCGTTACACAGGTAAGTTTGGACGCTCATCTGACCAGCCCTGCCTTACTAACAAACTATTTATTCACTTAGGTACAGAAATCTCCCCAAGCACGTACCTTCTTCCAGAAGTGCTGTGTGGAGGTCAATGAGCCAAATATTGAGCTATTGAAGTGGATTTGTACCCGATGGGCATCACTTTTGGCATGATTGAGTGCACACTTAGGTTGTGCAAGGGGGTAAATAGATTTATCCAGCTTGTGGATGACAGTGACAAGGCTCCGAACTTGCAGGGCAAGTCTTACAGGAGTATTCAAGCTTTCAGCTGCCAAATGGACGAAGCTGGAATTAATGCGTGATGTGCTTCAGGTCCATGCAAGCTTCCTATTCGTCATTTTTGTGCTAACCATTCTACTACACAACAAGGAGCCTGCAAATGCCCAACAATCATTTTCTGCAACGCGTGAACCTACTGTATGGCGTACTATTCCGGTCCTCGAATTTCTCCAAGAGACATGGCAAAACATGGCCAGCTATCCAAAATTCAACAACTTTTCAATTACCATTCAATCTGGTCTCAATAATCTGCACAAGTGGTACCACAAGATCGACAAGAGTGACATCCACTTTATTTGCCTCGGTATGTGTTGTATTTACTATGATAATGTCCCCTCTAATGTACCCTGCCATCCTAGCACTCAATCCCAACTATAAGGTTGCATACACAAAGAGTAAATGGGAGCATCATGACTTCAATGCATGTATGAAATGCTTGAAAAACATAGTAAGTCCATGTCTGCCTTATGTTTGGTTGCGAGTGTGTTAATTTCACTTAGTTTGACAAATACTATCATTGCACTTCAAGTTCTTCACCTGATACTGAGCGGGCTGTTCCTGCTCCTTCCTTGCTTGCTTGTCAAGGGTCATATGGCCATAGTTGGATGTGTGACACCATCAAATCTCGCATCGAGAATGACACTGCAACTCAAAGGCCTCGCCAAGAGCTTGACGATTATCTTACAGCACAACTAGAGGATGTTGATAATGTAGTGGCGTGGTGGGGTGTAAGTTAGTTCTTGGTGTTGTTATTTCTCCCAAGTTGACAATATTTCTAGCATCATTCTCTTCAATATCATACTATCTCTTGCATTGCAAAGGATTACCTTGCTATTCAGGGCTCTGCCATTGCCTTGGAATGAGCTTTTTTGAGTGGGGGCATCACTGGGACTTCATGCCAAAATTGTTTGTTGCCGTCGACTTTTGAGGTCCTTCAGCTATTGAAGAGTGGGTATCGTCAAGGCCATATATCTGCGATGGCTCAAGCTGAGTTTGCTGCTGCTTGTGAATACTATGTCGTGGATATGGTGTAGTTAGTAGTTGTCATATACCTGATCCAACCGCTCTGATATTAATATCTGCTCTGCTTTCCGACCACCTCCACTCCATCCATCCTCTGCTCCGTCCAATCATCGTCCACATCCACCCCTACACTTCCGCTTGACCACCCAACCAGTCCCATTCCATAACGTCTCCATTCAACTGGAACCTCTTCCCCCTTTTAGATATATACTTTCCCCTTCGGTACATAGACCCTTACTTCCGGATCACCAGTAATTCTCCTTACTGCTCGATCACTGATCCGACACGTACATATTGATATCCGCTCCGACTTATGTCTTTGCCTGTGTAAGTACTTACAAATTATATCCTTGGTACATAGCTTTACAACATAGTTATCCTGATCACTGCCTCATACTTAGAAGTATATAACATATCCTGTACTTAGATATTTTTCCCAGTCTTAATATTACTTGTCTTCTTGCAGTTTCTACTTGTGAGAATTCTCAGTAGGACCTTGCCTCCTCTGGACACAAGTTTCATCTTGTTGTCACCTCCGACCCTCCACTCCGACTTAGAGCCATGCTCTAAGTCTTCTCCTTACTTCTCCTGCCCCTATCAAGTATTCCCCCTGCTCCTTTCCACCTCCCGCATTATCCTCCGCCTTCTCCGCTCCTGCTCCTAGTTGGCCCTGCCGCTAGTAGCACTTACCTCCCGACTCTCAAAGCGGACCTAAGTGGACCACTTGTCCTATCATTGGACAACTGTCGGATCCGCTCCAAATTCAGGGCACATACTTGGCTAAGGGCAGCAGCACAAGAGCTGAAGCCAAGCCCCAACCCCTCTGCTTCCTGAGTCAGCACAGTACCTAACAGTAGTTACTCATCAAATTTTTCATGTAGTTCTTGCAAATTTTTGAAATTTATATGTAGCATTCAGACATTCAAACACTATTCTGAACTTGAACTGAACATTTGTGAACTGCATTCATAAGGGTCTGGTCCAGCATTCGCCCTCCTTGCCTGAACCGGACCCAAGGTTTGGTTCTAGATTTGACAAAACACCCTTGAGAACCGGACTGAACCAGACCACTGGCAGCACTAATATGTCAACATGTTGAATTTTCAGTACTTTGAGGCTGCTTGTGGTGTGACATTAGCCTTCCCCTTCCCCTTTGCTGCTTTGGCACCTCATCGACGTGTACAAGCAGCAGTTTCTCATGGAAGATCATGTGTGTCGAATTTGCTGCATGTCATGCTGCAAAACTTGTGCAAAGCTCTGTCAAGATGTGTTGTGCAGTTGTTGAAGTGATGCAGTGTAGTCTCAGTATGCATCCACAGCTTTCCAAAAGCATGCCAAGTTGAGAGTTCAAAGAGGAGGTCAAGAATAGTTGAGTTATGATCCAGAATGAGTAGTTCAAAAACAGGCATAGAGCACTAGTTGATGAGAAATCTAAGTTTCAAGATATAAACACAAAAAGTGAGTCTTTTACCTGGAGAAGATCCTCGAAGTCATGAGCAGCAAGTTTTGTTAAGTCAGAGACATTACTGCTGAATTTGTGTATTGTGTCTCAACCAAATGTTGGGACCATTCAATATCTAGAAAATTTGCATGAGTCATCAAGAAGAGACTTGGAGGCAACATACCTTTCATTAAATGTCGGAATGAGATCATCTCCACATGCATGGATAATCCAGATAAGGTGTGTCAGAGTTGCCTTCCATGTGCCGAGCTCAAACTCATGCATAAAATCAGGGACAAGCATTGAGTGGAAGTCAAAGCCGAACTTTGAGAATTTCTCAGAGAATGCATTTTGCAAGTACAAATAATCAGTTACTATTGACTGGATGAACTGAACATCACAAACCTGAGTGGGAACCATTGACGTCACACCAATCAAGTTCTCCATGAAAGTACTGACAACACTGCAACCCAATTTGAATATGAATTCATGTACATGTTCAATCATAGACTGCCGGTGACAGTTGTCAACTTGTATACCCTTTTCCCACTGCCATCAGTCTGCTCTGTTGCCCAATCTGTCAATCTTGTCCTTATTGACAAGACAGTGGGGACAGGGGCATCGCCCGAGAAATTTGACACATGCAAGGAGAATTTTCTCAGGATAGTCTGCTGCATACATGAAAAACTGAGGAAAAACTCTGTGAGAAACACCATCAGGGAATTTGATGATGGTGCCATGTTCCCATGCGTCAATGAACTCTTCATCAAGCAAAAATGACCATATGGCATGCATAAGTTCCTGTTTGCAATGTGTGAGGACAGCGGCTGTAGCACTCCATCTGAACCATCAGAGATAAAAGTCTTGGATCATGTCAGGCAACTGAAATTATTATTAGCACTAGTGAGTGAAATTTTTTGTACAATTGACATACCTTTGAAATGTAGGCGAGATGGTGAGCTGCAAAGGATGTCGGCTTTGATCGAATATATTTTGACTGATTACCGATGAACATATAGATCAGCCACAGGGCAGCATTACCAAAACTGGCAAGGTGTGTAGAGTTGGACCATAGCATGATTGCTGCAATGACTGTTTCGAGATTACATCCAGGCTCACGAGGCTGTGCATGTATCTTCTCATGTTCTTGGAGCATTGCATCAGATGTGTAAAGCTCTGTAATAATGCGTTCTGGTGGTTTATCTTCATCAGGTTGCCAGAAAAGCTTGTAAGGGCTTGTATGAAAGCCATGTGCAGCTTCCTCCTGAAATGCGGCTTTGAGAACCTCCAAAGGCTTCCGATAATAGAGGCCCTCAATCTCAAACATGGGTGCTTCTTCTTCAGAACCAATTTTTTCCTTCTCACATGGCAAGTGTATGTTGACAGAGGCTTCATGCCATCCATCGGACAAAAAGATAGATGAAGATGGGTCCTTTTCGGCATTATCTAGACGCTTCGCTTCACGTGCAGGGTTAAAATCACGTAAATCTTCACAGTCAAAGTCTTCTGCCAACATAACATTGTCAACAAGATGCCTAAGATCCTCAATTGATTTCTAGAGAGATGCGTTGTAGAACCAGTTCATGAGTCGAAAGGTTGTAGCATTAAGAAATGGTGCGAAGTAATCCCGATGGACAGCCTCCAATGATGAACCAAAGCCTGCCCACCATGGACGTTCATGCTCGACACCTCCATCAATGCGACTGAAGGTCAGGGCATCACAAAGGTGGTCGAAGTAGCTCAGGTTCTTGGGGTCATAGGTGGGGAAGGAATGAGGATACTTGCAAAATAGTTCAAATGCATCATGCTCGGTTTGTACCCAGTCTACACGTTGTTGAATATCATCATTCATTAAATTATTGGCAGCTGGAGCATCAGGCTCGACAGGTGCAGGAAGTACAGGTATGGGAATAGGATTGGATTGGAGTTCATCACAATAGTGTGCAGTGAGATGCCTTGTCCATGACAGGAGTCCAGAGGGTCAGTACTCCATCTGAACATCTGACAAAGCATTATACTTGAACTCGTTAGAAATATCTTGATATACAAAATGAAACTTACATTTTCTTCAGCTTCCATTTGAGTATGGTCCTCAGGCTCTCGTGTGTTGTTGCTAACAGTTGGGGGAGTAGCCTGTTGTTCACGACGCTTCTCAAGAACATCAGCTATAACTGATTCCTGAGATTTACACCAGCTGAGTCAGGTGAATTGAGAGGCCATGTTCGGAGACTTCAGTGTCACAATTAGGACATTGGACCATGATTCTGAGAAGAAGAAAAAGAAAAACTGCATAGAGATGCAGCATGGGCTGGTATGAGTGAGTTGAGCACTTTTGCTGCACAGTGGATGACTTAAGACAATGTTTACATTAGGTCGTTTGGCACTGTTGTATCTTGTCCTAATTAATGTTCCTTGCCCCTCATACTTTGTCCCCAATTTGTCCATCATCCCTTGTTCTGTCCCACTATCATTGTCAGCATGTCATCTGACTCAGACATTGACACTCTGCCCCCATCGCCGAAGCACAAGATCAAAAAGAACAACACTGACGAGCTACTTCAGGCAGTTAGTGTCCACAAGACGAAGAAGATCAAAAGGTACAGTGCATCATGAGACTCATTGAACACACTGGCACTAACCATGAAAAGACTGGAAAATGGGAAGGTGGAGTTAGATCCAATGGAGATCTACCAGAATGCAGGACGAAAAGTCTCATGTGTCCTCAATCTCTTTGGCCTACTTTCTGTTGCTTTTCATACTGGTCTTCAACATGACCATGGAGGTAAAATCAACAACGACCTGTGATTTGATAGTTGAGCTTTTCATCATGCTTCTCATACTGACCATTTGAGTATAGGACTGAAGAGATCACAAGACGTCACCTCCACCTGTACAAAGGCATCATCAAAATCATTCCAAGCCTTTGCGATGAGCCCATCACAATCTCCAGTGACAAGCTGTCAAAAATTGTCTCTGCGGTGAGCATATGTGCTCTCCTTACCATTATATACATTGTCTCGCTGCATATGTGCACTGTTTGCACGCATATATGCACTATTTTTGAATGATCTGACATGATCTGACATTATCTAGATCACCAAGGGGATGAGTGACACTCGATCGACAGCATTTAGCTCCATCAAGCACAAAGGACTCAAGTACGTGCCTCTGAACATGCACAGCAAAGTGGATGCCCTTGATTTACCAACACCTGAAGTCAAAGATAAGTCCATGCAAGGGATTACTCATCCCCAGCTCGCCCGGTGGCTTTGCCCTCAAAACAAGTTAGATGTGTTTGATCGTGACCCCGATGAGTGAGATATTGCTCATTGGTGGCAAGATAGTAACTGACCTATTACATTTTGACAGAGGAATAGAGAAATTACAGTTGGGAAAGCTCAAAATGACTGTGATGAATTGGCCGACAGGATTTTACAAAGCTGGCATCTATGATCCAACGGACAAAACCAAGGGTTTGTTTAGGAACCATGTTGTCACACGTGTGAGTTCTGCCGCTGCAGTTCAGTTTCACACTATATGTCCCTCATATTTTCTACAGTTCTACATGCACTTGTATATTGGCCCATCAGCTGCAATGGCTGAGTCTACCACTAGCAAGGCCTCAAAGGTGGCAAGAAATCATGTGTTTGGGTTGACATCCATCACCAAAAATATTATTGCCATCATTCACATCATTGTAAGTTCGTAATTCTTGCTTCGAGATCAGTTCTCACTATTATTATCTGTCAGACGTACTTCACTCTCAGTCACGCACAGAATTGGACGCATGAAATCGGGACAATGAATCTTGAGGAGTTGTTTTGGGCTATCATTGACATGCTCAATGATGACGAGGACCCATGGGTTAAAGACACCATGTCGTGGTGGAACATGTATGTTCAAATTTATCAGGGTCATCATTACTGATTGTGAAATTGTAGCCACATTGGACCAGGCACCCATCAGGCCAAATTTCTCAAGAAGCCATCCAACTTGGAGGATGACTCAGATCAAGAAAACAATATTGCCAAGATCAAAGCTCAGTGTTTGGCTCGACATGGTGCTGTGCCACCACAAACTAAGGCTGGTGATGGTCATCAGGAAAATGTGGTAAGGCTATATAGCCACCCATAGCGCTATAGACTGCTATACAGACTCCATAGCCCTATAGCTCGTATAGCCAAGTGCCCAATTGTGCAGGCTTACTACACCAGTGTATAGTGCTATATAGCTCTATTAAAGTTGCTATAGCTGGGTGGAACATATCACAACTATTGTAGCTATTATAGCTCAAAACACAAAGCAAAAATTTCTCTTAATAGCTGTTTGTTGCCATGATAGTGTTCTCAAAATTAAAAAAAAGCGAAAATTCCAAATTATAGTTTCAACTACTACAATACATGTAAACTAATAACTACAAAACAGGCAAAAATGCGAAAATTACAGGAGGAAGAGGCAAGAGAACTAGAAGGAAGAATCAGAGAGGAAAGATGAATACAAAAAAAAGAAAGACTTACCAAATAGTGAAAATTGCGAAAATTCTTGAGGGAAGAGGAGGGAAGGGAGCTAGAAGGAGAGGATCAGACAGGAGGAAGTGAGAGTCAGAGAAAAGACTTGCCAAATGGTCAAAAATGCGAAAATAGTTGGGGGGAGGAGGAGCAGGAGGGAAGAGAGCTAGAAGGAGAGGGTTAGAAAAAAGATTAGTCAAATAGTCAAAAATGCGAAAATTATGGAGGGAGACTTACCAGAGTTCAAAGCACCAGCACCAGTACCAGCACCAACAACATCAACACCAAGAGAAGGATAGAGAAGCAAGAAGAAGAGAAGAGAGGCAAAAACTCGAAAATTGTAAGAAAAATATGGAAGATAATCTAATGAGGGGGCAGTAGGGGGGGGAAGGAAAGAATGGGAAAAGACTTGTTGGTTGACCGCATTTTTGCTTACATAAGCAGTGCCAAACAAAGCCACAACACAAGACTTGGTGAATTTTCGAGTTTTTGGTTAATAGGACTAGGATTATGACAGTAAGAAAAAGACAATGAAATTGACTGTTAGCATTAGGATTTTGAATACACATAAGGTGAATTTTCGCATTTTTGCTTACATAAATAAGGTGTACCTTAACACTTTTGAACCCTTCAATTCCAAGTATTTTCCTTATAACTCACTAAGATCTTGACCTATTGAAGTCATTAGACTATGGATAGACTTCCCTTGACAAGGACTACAACTTTGATTTAATCGAAAAAAGTTCCCATGGTCAAGTTGCTTTCTTGAACCCTTCAATTTCGAGTATTTTCCTTATAACTCACTAGGATCTTAACCTATTGAAGTCATAAGACTATGGATAGACTTCCCTAGACAAGGACTACAACTTTGGTTTTCATCGAAAAAAGTTCCCACGGTCTACTGGGGTCTATAGTTGTTGAAATGTTTTACTTCTAAATACACTTACCAAACTTTATGGTAATATATAGACTTTCATGATGTCTATACTGGTCTATAGTCACTGCGAAAACAAGTTTTTTACACCAACCGTAATCCGAGGGAGACAATGTGTATAACACGACTGTAAACGTACCTAGCTCGTAATCAGACGTAAATCCGACATGTCGCAAATTTTGCTCGCTCGGTCTGAAGCAACAGATGTAAACAGACGCTTTTCCAACTTCACCAACACACTTTTTCGGACCTCCGTTTATTCTCTTCAGATACCTGCTATTCCACCACTATCCAGCCCAGTAAATTCAACTTCTCGATGTCTGCTTAGGGTAGACTTGAAGCAAGGTGAGTTTTTCGAAAATTTCGCTAAGTCCGTAACTCGAGCGCTATGTCAAATACTATCAGGCTCGAGTTGCCAGCTCATGTACAAGCTTTTACTTTTACCTTCGAAACGATGCGTCCGGGACCCACGGTGAGTACTAAGTGTATTTCTATGAGGCCACTACCATTAATCATTCTTTTGTAGAACGAGCTCCTTATCGGTGTGCTGTGCGTGTTCGGTCAGTCGTTTGACCTCTGTGACAAGATATGCAATGGTCTCATTCAAATTTGGCAACTGCTCAAGTGCCCCATTTCGCCTATTCACGTTCTGGTTCACGTGCGGAAGGTGAGTGGCAGGCTGTCGACCCATTGAATATAGCATCATAGCTTGATACTCCTCGCTTCCAGGAACAACAGATGGTGCCCGCGAAGATGCCTCACTACCCGAGTCTCCTGCGAAATGACGGTATGGTGTTTCGCCTCGAGAGGATGTACTATTTGAGCTGAAATTCTGTGGCACGCTACCAGCTCGCATGGACTGGACGGGTGTCTGGTGTGCACCGAAAAAAGAATACGGGGATGGCTGACGCATATCGGGTGAGTGCTGCGGACTGGTGGAACGAAGCCTGTTGTTTAAATGATCTTGGTACATAGGTCCCCCAGCGAATGCGCCGCTGGTGTTGTGGTCACCGTGCTGTCCATTGCCTGACTGAATCGCATCCAGTAAGTCGCTTGACTTTTAGTGGGCGATCTACAAGCTCTTACCATCTCAAATCGAGGTACATTACCACTGAAGTATGGATCGTGTTGAGGCGGCTGATACGACACTTTCCCGGCGACCTGGGGTATATTATATTGAGGATATGCTTCTCCTGCCCCTACCAGTGCTGGCTGCTGAGAATCAGGAGCGGGAGCACCACTCGGGCGTCTCTGAGTCTGTTGGCCTTGGAACCCATACATTCTGGCGTGCAAGGTGGTGGGGGATATCAAGGACCGGGGAGCATATGTAGGGACCTAGCAGGACGAGTTCTTTGATACGGCACATGTCTATTCAGAATAGAAGCGGATCCGTTTATGCATAAATCCAGACATAAAGTAGACGTGCGGATCCTTATAACCTGGTCTGATACCGAGTTGGTTTAGATACTAAGGCAACAAACCCTATCCCTGCAAATCCCTAATATTCAGAGTCGGTTTTAGTTCTCAAACGAGTACCTTTTTCGATCTAGACGGGTAGGAATATGCTTGTTTGGCATTGTCCGTTTACATTCCGTTTACAGCCTCTAAACATACATAATTCCGATCCGTTCTAAATCTCGTTTCCACAGTGAGTGCTGTGATAGCTTGCCATAGACTGTATAGAGCTGTGGTGTGCTATCGGGGCTATATAGAGGATGGTCCTCTATATAGAGATATAGTTTTTCCTGATGCATAAGAGGATCAGTTTTAGTGAGCACTTCAGTTCGTCACTATGTTTGCCCTTCCCACCAGACTACTTTCAGATATCCAGCAGGTAAGACCAAGGAGTCTCTTCAGAATGCCTCATCAAGGAGGAATCAGGTTACCACTGTCAGTCAGTCAAAATTAACAAGCTACTTTGACATCATCCCTTGGCCCAGCTGTCTCAATGATATGCAGCCCTATATAGAGGATGGTCCTCTATATAGAGATATAGTTTTTCCTGATGGTGAGTATATGCTACATTGTAAGACTCATACTTACTACACAATATAGCGAGACAGCCAGTGTTACACCGAAGTATAACGCAGGTAAACAATCAACCAATAAGACCAAAGGTCTGTTGATACGTTCTAGACAACTGTCTAAAGAATGTCCAAGTTCAAATAAGACTAAGTACCAAAGAGGTAACTTAGAACCAAGTCAGAATGATCAGAGGAAAACCAGTGTAGGTTAAGCTGAAGAATCAGCGTCACCTAGCCAGGGTTTATATAGTACACAGGGTACAGGGCATTACGTAATAATAGGTAATGATCAGTAAGCTACATGTGTAAGCAATGAGGCGTCTGAGTCATACTGAACTAAATATAGACTGATAAGAGTCGTGCATAGTCAGCGTGGATCAAGGGAAAGAAGAAAAGAAGTTCATAGAACAACACAGCCGTAACAGCCAGCTCCTCCCCATAAAAATGTTGCACTAGCCACAGCGCTGTTTGATGATGAGGAGTGTCCTCCGAGTGAGTCATGTCAAGAAAACATCCACAGCTCCACTCCCTCGACCTGTAAAACTGAAGCCTTGTCCTGAGCCCCAACCTCCAGCTGAGTCCAGTGACGAAGATCCCGTACCAGTGGTACCACCTTCGACATGCCTGACATCAAAGAAGATTTGAACCAACCTACCTAGGCCTCTGATCAAGCCACCGGATGATGATGATCAGCGCTCCCCTCTTCTGTTGCATCCTGCAAAGAAAAAACCACCAATTGAAAAAAAAACATGCACCGTCGACCCACACTCCCTGAATCTGATGAGGACAATGTTGAGGAACGTGCATCATCGCCTTCTACACCCCCAGTGAAGAAGACTCCATCTCACTCTCAGACTACCAAGCGCCATCAAGCTATACTCTCTGAGGATGATGAGGAACGTACACCATCGTCTTCCCCACCCCCAGTGAAGAAGATTCGATCCGACTCTCCTCTACCCCCACTTACCGAGGATGAAGATAACAAGCCCTCCCCTCTGCCACTACCGAAGCCTATGAAACAGGCAAAGAACATAGCACCTCGCACTGCTGTCACTCCCTCCCCTCAGCCTGCTGCAAAAAAGGTCAGTTTGAAGTTGAAACTTCCCCCCGCTAATACATTCATTGAGGACGAGGAAATCTCTCCCAACGCACCAGTGGCACCGAAGAAGAAAGGGAAAAAGACTTCTACCAAAGCCACCAAACAAAACCCTTCTCATGGCAAGAAATGAATGAACGGCTTCTAGTTCTCCATCCGTCTTTCCGCATTCATTATCCAACCTTCGTACCATTATGCTTTACACATTAGTTTCTGATCATACTCATATTCTGCCTTGTTTTTGCTCACACTTATCACTGCTGATCATTCTTCGGACTTGATTGTATTTTAGTATCATACTGGAGCTAATAGATTGGCCTGGATGGCCTTGCAATGTACTACCTGGCTCATTAGTCCGTGCATGCACCTTAAGTCTTAATGAACCTCTTAAGCCTTGATAACCTTCTCAAGCCTTGCATGACTACAATTGCTTCTCCTTCATACGAGGCTAGCGTTACATTTCTGGATGGGAGTATTTCCATTCATAGTGCTGTGAGCCTTGCACAATCCGCCAGGCCTACAGCTACCTTGTATGGCCTTGTTAGGCCAGTCAAGGCCTCATAAGACCTGGGCGGTTTTGCTGATGTTACACCAATGGAAGAGCGTTAGCAATTATATCTCAATGCATGCGTAGAAGAATCCAGGAAGACCCACAAAAT